GTTATGGTTGTAGTTTATTCATCCCTAATCTCTGCCATTACATACAATGAAACAAGAAAAGGTAAAAAAGAAAAATCAGAGCAATGTAATACAATACACTATTAGACATTATTGTAAAAAATGAATAGAAAGTCTATCCTATGTGTTAGTGAATTTTTTTTTTATTTTAGGCAGGAAATTCGTTTTCAAAATTTTTTTTTTTTCTGGGGGGGGGACCCCCAGACCCCCTGGAAGATTTGGTCCCCCCCCCCAATGTTAACTCCATGGCTATGGCCTTGGGTCTCAGAGTGGAACACAATTCGAGTGACTTCCTCCAAAAAAGCATCCACGGTGCCAGGCAGGGCTGTCCAAACGGAGGTGCCCCTTCCCCCAACAATACATTATGGAACGTTAACCCCTTCCTGTGTGTGAGCCTTACCTGTGTGTGGGGAGCGGTAGTGTAGCGCTTAGCGCTACGCTGCGCGACGAACCTGGCGACCCAGGTTCGATTCCCAGTTCACGGCCAACACCGGTGACGATTATCTGAACCGGTCGTGGGCCTCCCCTAGGTCGACTCAGCCTCAAATGAGTACCTGGTGCGGTGTGCACACATCGTCACTAGAAAGACAAAGGCGGCCGGGCTTGGTGTTGGCCACCCACCCCCTCGTGTGCCGTGCCGGCCTTCATAGGTGCTCGCTAACAGCACTTGCCCCAACAGTCTGTTAAGGCTATACGGGAGATCGTTGTCTTCATCTTTCTGTGAATCACACCCAGGTCCCCGTTGCTTCATCATGATCACCATGATCACCATGATCACCATGATCACCAACACCGTCACGTGCGGTGTTCAATACACGGTAGTGGGTGGCAAACAGCGCTGAGGACCCGGCGACCCAAGTTCACTTTCACGCTCACGTCCAATAACAGCGGCGAATATCTGAACCGGTCCTGGGCCTCCCCTAGGTCGACTCAGCCTCAAATGAGTACCTGGTGCGGTGTGCAAACATCAGCACTAGGGAGACAAAGGCGGCTGGGCGTGGTGCTGGCCACCCAGCCCCTCGTGTGCAGTCGTGGCCTTCATAGGTGCTCGCCAACAGCACTTGCTCCAACATTCTGTTAAGGCTATACGGGGGATCTTTGTCTTTGTGAATCATGCATATCTTGGTTCCTACACGTGTGTGTGCACAATTATATTGGCCATACATCCTTGTCCGTTAACACATTTGCACAATAACAATTATACTATGTATACGTCGATGTTCCTATCACTTCACTTTACTCTCTGATTTTTTAAATATATAAATTTGTCAGAGCCAACTTTTCTTCTAGGAAATAAATGTAATATTTAATTGTTTGTGTATGCGTTTATGTGCGTGTGTGTGTGTGCGCGCGTGTGTGTGTGCAGAGTTGTATGGAATTCCAACAAGGCCTACATCTCTGCTTTACTGACCTCCTCAAGGCCTATGATACCATCAACAGGCCAGGATTGTGGGAAGTTCTTCGTGCTTTCGGAGTCCCTGTCTCTCTGTTCACAATCGTTAAGGGCCTTCATGATGGTGGGCAGGACCCGGGTAAAGCTAAGTGGCGAGGAATCGGAGCCATTCCCTGTTCACCTTGGGGTGCGACGGGGATGTCCTCTAGCTCCCACATTATTTAACATAATCTTTGACCACGTAGTTCGAGAAGCTTTCTATGGGTGTACCGTAGGAATTTCCATCTGGTACAGATACAACGGGAGGCTGATCGATGCCCGGGTGCGGTCTAAGAATGGCTACCTATGGATCAACCATGGTATGCCGATGATCTGGTGATTGCCGCTCACTCAGAGGAGAATTTGGAGGCGCTGCTGCTAAACCTGGAGTGTGCCACTAAGAGGTGGGGTCTTACCATCAGCCCCACTAAAACTGAGCACCTGCTTGGGTATTTTGTGCCACCAAACACTCCACCCTCAGCTCTCCATTGGTGATGGAGCAAGTGTGGAAGAGTTGGACTGATGCGGTACGGGAGAATATGGAGCTGAGTGGACTTGCCGACGGCTGGTACCAGCGGTGTCAAGATCGGCCTCTGTGGAGGAGGCTTGTGAAGGACGCTACTGGGCAGTTGGAGGCAGTCGCCCTTCAACAACAACGGAGGGCGGAGGAGCGACGCTCACAACAACGAGCAGAGAGCCGGGCAGCTAAACTACAGCAAGTTGGCACAGCGGGGGGTACAGCTGGTGTGCATCAACTGGTCATCTCAGTCAGCCAACCCATAGCACCTGCTGGGTTTTTGTTCCGTGACCTCCTCTTGTCAGCAGCGAGCCTTCGACACTTCACGTGATAGCCTCAAAGTGCACCTGGCCTGGCATAGACGCCGTGATGATGTCACCATCACTTAGTAGCGAATGGCGGTTGTTGGTATTGGCGCGTTGTTATTAAAGACGTCTTCCGATTTCTGCTGAGCTGCTTTTGCTCGGATTTCCGTTTGTTTCAGTGTCGGACTTATGTTTGTTATTGTTGGGGGTTTTTTTGTGCCATGTTTGTAACCCAGGCCAGTCGCTCTCGCATTTAAACCATTCGTGATATCTTGAGTCCTCAGCTAGTTAAATAAATTAAACTCAGCCCGTGCTAAAACCGTCAGCATCGAGTTAGGGGCGAGAGTTAGGGGCTCAAGTTATGGCTAGAATTCGGAGTTATAGCGAAAGTTAAGGGCTAGAGGGTTAGGGATATAATCAGGGGTTAGAGGCCGGGGTTAGGGGCTATAGTTAGGGGCTAGAGTTGTGGCTGGAAGTAGGGGTTAGAGCTCGGGTTAGGGCTATCACGAGGGGTTAGAGGCCAGGGTTAGGGGCTATAGTTAGGGCTATCACGAGGGGTTAGAGGTCGGGTTAGGGCTATCACGAGGGGTTAGAGGCCAGGGTTAGGGCTATGGTTAGGACTATCACGAGGGGCTAGAGGCCAGGCATTGGGCTAGGTTTAGGGCTATCACGAGGGGTTAGAGGTCGGGTTAGGGCTATCACGAGGGGTTAGAGGTCAGGGTTAGGGCTAGGGTTGAGGGCGAGGGTTGGGCTGGCCCCGTTCCTGGTTTGCGTCACCTGGCCGCGCCTCGTGCCGAGCAGCGCGAGTCATCGCGAATGATCCACCACTAAATCAACATCCACATCAAACATCCTTTTACTCCCCTTTGCTGTGAGCCAGATCTCGTCCGCTCGCAACGCATTCCCTGGTCCTCGTAAACGTCATCAGCATCGCTCATCGTGAGCAGCAGCGGCAGCATCAGCAGAAGTAGCCACTACAGCAAGCAACAGCACCACGATTAACACCACTGCCATCAGCACCAAAGATAAAGATTCCCCCTTTAAGCCTTCACAGACTGTAGGGGCAAGTGCTGTTCGTGAGTAGCACCTATGAAGGCCGGCACGTGGCACACGAAGGGGTGGGTGGCCAACACCACGCCCGGCCGCCTTTGTCTCCCCAGTGGCGATGTTTACACATCGCACCGGGTAAGGTGCTGATTTGATGATGGTGGTGGTCGGCACCACCATCACCACCATCACCACCACCACGGTACGTAGCGAACATCACTTGTGACGTCAACGCTCATCAGCAGAGCCATCGACCCCACCAGCCGTCACTCAACAATGGGGCGAGAGTCGGGGGGGGGGTCACGATCGTCATCGTCGTCGTCGTCAACGAACTTGGTCACCGCAGCTGCGAGAAAGCCGCGTCAATTAAAGTTGATCGCTACGTCAACGAGGGCTCCATGTAAATACATTCCGGGGCGTTCAAGCGCCCTATGACGTCATCACCCCCCCCCCCCCCCTATCAACCCCCCCCCCCCCCCCACGTGGCGGGGGGGGTCAAGTGACGGATGGCGGGGAGGGGCAGTCCCGGGCCATCACGCCCCGCCCCCCGCCCCCCCCCTTCCCCCCCCTCGCCCCGCCCCCTCAGCACGGGGCATTCTGTAACCAGGCTTGCTGTGGGTTTACTCTGTAAAGTCACGTAGGTAAAACATTTTAAATTAATAAAAGTAAAATAAATACTTACTTGATACAGCAATCGTGCTGACGGTTCTGACCTGAAGACGGAAGCTTGTGTTGCCTCCGAAACGTCGTGATTTTTATTTTATTTTTATTTTACTTTTATTAATTTTAATTTTGTACCTATGTGACTTTACCGAAAAAACCTAAGAATATGAATCCTTGCAGTCACGAAAGTTTCAAATCTAGAACACAACATCAACTTGAAACCTTCAACTAATTGATATATACCGTCCCTGTTTGAAGGCCACGGTGTTACTGAAACATGCATTGAGATTATTTAGATTAAAAAAAACTAAAAATATTTTTAATTTTCTTTGAACCTATCTACGTGACTTTACCGAAAGACCCAAAGAATATGAATTCCTGCAGCCACGAAAGCTTTAAGTCAAGATTATTTAGATTCGTTTGCTGCTATAAATGTTCAAATTATAAGCCACTTTGTTGAGCTATCATTTGCAATGGCGAAGTTGCTTCTGATAAAAAAGAAGTGAATTCCTCAGTGGACTTTGCCTGGGACTTTACACTATTATCATCATCATGTTGTTGTACTGTTTGTTGTTGCGACCTTATTACCCCGTGCACGACTAGGCATCTGTGAAACATAGCTTCATAGCTCATCGGATTCCTCCAGTTATTTTGACGCGTGTTTTGATTTTTAGGTAGGACTACCTTCCTTTAACTTAAGACTGTAGAGTATTGCGACGCCCTCTTTAGTGGGTGGCGAGTTTTTTTTTAAAACTCAAATTATAAATCTAATTAATGAGTTATAAATACATCGATTCCGATTCTGAAAAAAAAGTGGTAAACTTGAAGTCACCGCCCACCTCCCACCCTCGCCCCGCCCCCTTTCCATCTTCGCCCCGCCCACTTTCCGCCCTCGCCCCGCCCCCTTTCCATCTTCGCCCCGCCCACCCTCTCCGTCTTGGCCCCGCCCCCACCCCGCGCACCTGCTTAAATAGCCGCGCTCGCCGCAAGGAGCGCCCCACAGAGCGCGCGCGGGGCAGGCGCAGAGCCGACGACTGAAGTTTGTCACTGCAGGCTGAAGAGGGGGGACTTGGGGTTCCGTGTTATGATAGGCGAGGAGACTTGCGATTTTTTTTGTTTTGTGTTCTCAAGTGCTCATTGCAGGCTGATCACAGAGTTAAGAGTGGAACCTGAGATCGGTGTTTTGATAGGCTAGGAGACCTGCGGTTTTTTTTGGTGTTCTGATAGGCTGATATCAGTCTCAGAGGGGAACTTTGGATCTGTGCTCTGATAGGCTAATCCAAGTCTAAGAAGGGAACTTGAGATCTATGCTCTGATAGGCTAATCCAAGTCTCAGAGGAGATCTTGAGATCTGTGCTCTGATAGGCTAATCCAAGTCTAAGAGGGGGGCCTGGGATCTGTGCTCTGATAGGCTAATCCAAGTCTAAGAGGGGGGCCTGGGATCTGTGCTCTGATTCAATAATCTCGACGAAGGGGTCTGGACACGTGTAGAGGACCATGTGTCACTGGGCGCCATCGACCCTGACGCTACTGGCGCTGCTAAGACTCGCTGGAGGTGAGTGGTGATGAGGTGATGGTGGTGAGGGGTGATGAGGTGATGGTGGTGAGGGGTTGTGGTGATTGTGGTGATGGTGAAGGTCTGACGGTCACGGTGCTAAGGGGGAATTGTGCTGACAGTGATTAGGGTGACGGTGATGAGAAGTGATGGGGATGATGGTGGTGAGGGTGGTAGTGATGGGGATGATGGTGGTGAGGGTGATAGTGATGGGGTTGATGGTGGTGAGGGTGATAGTGATGGGGTTGATGGTGGTGGTGTGAGTCGTGGTGAGGCGTTGAGGTGAGATGGTAATTGTGGTGAGTTCTAGCTTACTATGTAATAAGGGGCGACTAGGTGGTGGGGCGTGATAGGGGCGATAGTGATGGGGTTGATGGTGGTGAGGGGTCATGGTGATTGTGGTGGTGGTGGTGGTGAATGTTTGATGGTTACGGTGGTGAGGGGAAATGGTGATTGTGGTGAAGATTTGATGGTTACGGTGGTGAGGGGTCATGGTGATTGTGGTGAAGGTTTGATGGTTACGGTGGTGAGGGGAAATGGTGATTGTGGTGAAGGTTTGATGGTGACGGTGGTGAGGGGTCATGGTGATTGTGGTGAAGGTTTGATGGTGACGGTGGTGAGAGGAAATGGTGCTGACAGTGATAGTGATTGCGTTGATGGCGGTGTGAGTCATGGTGATGATGGTGGGGAGTGGTGATGGACCATGAACAGGTTCGCATGGCGAATGCAATGCCATTGTTGACGGTCGTAAATGAAATGAGTCAGTAAGCGCGCGGTGAGTGCGGTTGTTGCGGTTATTGTAGGCACAGGTGTCGTTGTGGTTAAAGTAGTTAGTGTGGTTACTGTTGTGGTTAAAAGTGTGGTTAATGTGTTACATTCTGGCGTGGCTAAAGCGGTCAGCGTGGTTGTTGTTTAATCCCGTGCGTGGTCATGGCTGTGGTTAAAGTGGCTTCGTGTGTTCTTCTTGGTTCTTTCGGTAAAGTCACGTAGAATGGAAATAATAAAATGATAATTAAACATAATAAAATAATTCTCACGACGTTTCGGCCGTAGAGTCTTCTCGACAGACCTGTTCTCCACCTGAGGACGGCTGCTTGCGTTGTGGCCGAAACGTCGTGAGAATTATTTTATAATGTTTTATTTTATTATTTTATTATTTCCATTCTACGTGATGACTTTACCGAAAGAACCAAGAAGGTGAATCCCTGCAGACACGAAAGCTTTAAATCGAAAAAAAAAATGACTTCGTGTGGTTGTTAGGATTTTTGCGCACAGCGTTGAAATACGGTGCTTTTTCTGGAAGACTTTTCCTGCTGTTTTTCCCCAAGATTTTCCTGTTGCGTGTACTCACTTTAAGATGTTTTCTTGTTCATGTTTTTCTTCTTTTGTTGCGGTCGCACCCGAGTCAAGAGCCGCGTGGCTCACAGGGTTATACACCTCATAAATAAATGAAAGCGAACACTGAAACTCCGTGCGTGGCTAACGCAGTCTTCTGGCACGGTTAACCCGGCGCGTCCCTCCGTGGTTGCCCTGCAGGCGAGCCGGGTCCGACGGTGCCTCGCTCTGTGCGCTTCTCGTCCCTCAACCTGAAGCACGTGGTGAGCTGGGAGCCGCCGCTGATGGGGCCGCGTCTCGCAGGGCGCCCCGCTCTGGCGCCACGCTACAGCGTGCAGGTCCTGGGGTGAGTGCGAGACGCCAAACCACACCGCTGCTGATCCTGCTGCTGCTGATCCTGCAGCTGCTGATGCAGCTGCTGATGCAGATGATGATGCAGCTGCCACAGCTGATGATGCAGCTGATGATGCAGCTGCTACTTGAGATATTTAATCGTAGCATTTTATTGGCAAACGCTGTGTTTTTACCGCCGGTACTTTTTACGACTAACCCTTGCGCTTTTATTTGTATTGCTTATTTAGTTCACAACTTTTAAAAGATTAATTTTATATTTAAAATAATATTTCATAACTTTTTGGGGGAAAAAAAATGCAATTGTATTATCCATTTTTTAAAATCTGTTACATCTGTCACGGAAATGGCGTCTAGTTTTTTTTTTGTTATTGATAAAAACCAGACTTAAGAGCTTTTTGGCTCACGGGGGTACTTCAAAATGAAAGCGAAACTCAACTGCGAAGTGAACTGGGGAGGTTGGGAGGCGGTCGGTCACCCTCCGGCAGCAGCAGCAGCAACTAAAATCGCGAGACGGTCAGAGGAGCGACAATGAGCGGGGGGGGGTAGCACGGTCCACGCTTCTATCTGTCAGTCGTCTCAGCCAGTCGTCTGCCAGTCGTCTCAGTCAGTCGTCTGCCAGTCGTCTCAGTCAGCCAACCCGTGGCCACCTGCAGGGTCTGTCCCGTGACCTCCTGCCAGAGAGCCTTCGACACTTCACGCGATGGCCTCAAAGTGCACCTAGCCTGGCGCTCGCCACTTAGCAGTGAATGGCGGGTGTTGAGTTGCTATATAATACCCCCCAACCCTAAAACCTTAACCGGCCGTTTGGCCGAGCGCTGTTAGCGAGCGCCTATTAAGGCCGATGAGGTGTTGTGGCCAGAACCCCGTACCCGGCTGCCTTTGTCTCCCCAGTGCTGATGTTTTACACGTACCGCAACCAGGTAACTATCTTTTTTATTTTTCTGGCCGAGTCGACATAGGGGAGGCCCAGGACATTCGCTTCAGATATATTCGGCACCAATGTTGGGCCGGGAGCGGCAATCGAACTCGGGTCGCCGGGTTCGTAGCGCAGCGCGTTAACCAATGCGCCACCGCTCCCCACGCCCACACGCAGCAATGGACACGTGTGCACGTCAATACGAGTAGCCAAGGCCTTCATGACAGGCGTGTCGTTGCCTCTCGGCTAACAACAGATATAAGCAGGTCCACTGCATATTGCCAGTCTGCGGCTCCAGTGTCACACGCGTGGTGTGTGTGTGTGATCTGAAAGGGAACGGTAGTGGAGCGATTAGCGTGCTGCGTCACGAACCGGGCTACCCAAGTTCGATTCCCACTCACGGCCAACACCCAGTGACGATTATTTGAACAGGTCCTGGGCCTCTCCTAGGTCGACTCAGCCTGAAACGAGTACCTGGTGCGGTGTGTAAAACATCGCCACTGGGGAGACAAAGACGGGCGGGCGTGGTGTTGGTCACCCGCCACCTCGTGTGCCGTGCCAGCCTTCATAGGTACTGCTAGCAGCAAACAGCACTTGCCCCAACAGTCTGTTAAGGCTATATGGGGGGGGGGGAATCTTTGTCTTTGTGGTCCGATGACCCACGCACGATTCTACACGATCGGCGTAATCGAGAAAAATGCGCACAAGCCATTAGCAGTCCACGTGACCCCATCGGCACAACGCAGGAATTCAGGGCACGCACCAACTCCCAGCGCCCTGGCCCTTTTCTTTTCACTCCTCACGGTCACAATCAGAGAGCCGGCGCTTTGTCAAACCCCGTCTGTGACGCCACCCACGACGAGCCTCTTGCTTGCTTTTGACTCGATGACGAGACGTCAAGCTGCCCAGCGAGTCGAACTTGCAGCGGACGCCGTCGGAATGCGTTTAGAGATATTCAATCGCTCAGTGACTCAGTGTCACCCACCCCCCCCTCCTCCTCCGCACTCACGCACCCCCAGCGAGTTCACAGAACGAAACTCCTCGGCCCGTGCGCCAAATCTCGCCCACGCGATTCAAGACGCGCGGCCGCAAGCCGCAAGGGGTGTTCACTTACTTACAAGCGCTCGCCCCAAGCGGCTGTACGGGGCCGTACGTGTGACCTGTGCCCTCGGTTGTATAAAGTATGGGGTTGTTCTGCACGGTGTACGTTTGGGCAGCGGTAGTGTAGAGGTTGTCTCACGGAGCTACGAAGGCAGCCAGTTTGACATGTAGTAGGAGGGCTTTTGCGAACAATATTGTCCGTAATACACGTTTTTGGGTTCGATCGCGTAAATATAAACGTGTCGTTAAACCGGCCGCCATCCGACACAGCCCATTAGTAAGGTTTGTCACGTTACCTGCATGTTTGTTTACGTGACAAACCTTACTGATTGGCCGTGTCGGGTGGTGGCGGGTTTGACGACACATTTATATTTGCCTCAACTATGAAGCCAGCCAACTGAGTATGCTGCTCACAGCTGGCATCAGCGGCGATCGTCTGAACCAGTTGTCGGTCCCCTGTCGGGTCGACTCAGCCAAAAATAAGCACGTGTCGCTGGTCGCACCGTAACCCTGGCGCGTTGTGTCGGAGTTCACAGGTGCGCGCTCACCCCACCTGTCCCAACAGGTGGGGTGAGCGCGCTTCACATCTAAACTTAACACACATTTGAAAGGGGGCACCCCCAGTGGCAGCTGTCCCTTGTACGGCACCACGTGGTGTTGGCCCACCCACCCCCTCGTGTGCCGTGCCGGCTTTCGCAGCTACTCGCTAAGCAGCACTCGCCCCAACAGTCGAGTTACAGGCTACACGGGTTGATCTTTGTCTTTGTCTATAACTCGTCCGTCTTATCTGTACATCCGCGCGTGCGACACAGCGAGGGCTGGGAGGTGTGGAGAGACGTCCCCGGCTGCGTGTCCACGCCGCGCACCGAGTGCGACGTCAGCGACCCCCTCGACGAGCCGGAGCTCGCCTACCGCGCCCGCGTGGCGCTCGACCCCCCGCCGACGACCCTCCTGCCGGGGGCCCCTTCTCCGCAAGCGCCCTCGGGGACCCAGTGGGCATACAGCGACGAATTCATGCCCTCGCGCGACAGTACGTTTGCTGTCCCCGGTCCCCGTCCCCCCGTCCCCAGCACCTCCGGTTATGTACGCACGTATGTTGAACGTCTCTCGCATCGTACGTAGCAAATCGTGGTTACGTAGCGCGGTTGTGCTACGTACGGTGTGAAAGAAGGTCAACATGTGTTCTATTTACATACATGCATACTGACATGCCTACACACCCACGACAATTTCACACAAAGACGACCCCCCCGGTATCGCCTGAACAGACTGTGGGGGTGAGCGCCTTTAGCGAGCAGCTACGAATGCCGCAAGGCACACGGAGGGGTGGGTGGTCAGGACCACCGCAGCTGCCTTTGTCTCTCCCAGTGGTGATATTCAGACACCGCACCAGGCACTCGTTTGAGGCCGAATCGACCTAGGGAAGGCCTGGGACCGGTTCAAATAATCGCCACTGGTTTTGGCTGTGAGCGGGGGGTTCGTAGTGCAGTTCGCTTACCGCTGCACCACCGCTCCCCCCCCCACCCCGCACGCACGAGAGACGCACACGCGCACTGCCGCTGGTGGCGTTGACGATCTGGTCATTGCTGTTATAACATAATCAACAGCGTTGTTGTGGAGAATATAGGTGACGGGAGTAATATAAATATCCAGGTTTGGTTTGATACATTGCGTTGCCAGGCAGCGGCAGCCGCGACGAGCCACCGCTACCAACACTCGCCCGAGCTCTGCAGTCCTCTATATAATAAGATATTTTCAGCCAAAGAATGAGGGTTTGTAGACAATATGCCTCCATCTTCTTGGTTCTTTCGGTAAAGTCACGTAGAATGGAAATAATAAAATAATAAAAATAAAACATCATAAAATATTTATTATTTTATTATGTTTTATTATTATTTTATTATTTCGAAGAACCAAGAAGATGAATCCCTGCAGTCACGAAAGCTTTAAATCGAAATATGCCTCCACTTCACATCCGTCCACGTACAAAATAGAAGTTGTATTCGTTGTTGTACATCTCGTCAGCCACACGGCCTCCTGGCGGTGCCAAACTTGAGCAGCGTCAGAAGTAAACGCGCGGCGGATTTCGGCATTCAGTGCCTCATCAGCAGAGCCTAAGGCTCGCCTGAAGCAATGCTGCTGAACTGCTCGGCATTGATAGGCAAGGACTTCCCAGACGTTTCGTGGTAAATGCTGCTCCCTCTGAGGAGTGATGTCACCACCACCTCGTGGTGAAAGGCAGTCCGTGCTGTTGGTGGCCGTGCTTGTGGCTACAGTGGTGGTGGGGGAGCGGTGGTGCAGCGGTTAGCGCGCTGAGACCCGAGTGCGCTGCTCCCGCTCACGGCCAACACTGGTGACGATTATCCAGAACCGGTCATGGGCCTCCCCGAGGTCGACTCAGCCTCAAATGAGTACCTGGTCCGGTGTATAAGCATCACCGCTGGAGAGACAAAGGCGTCCGGGCGTGGTGTTGGCCACCCACCTGCTCATGTGCCGTACCCGGCCTTCACAAGTGCTCACGAACAGCACTTGCCCCAACAGTCTGTCAAGGCTATACGGGGGATCGTTGTCTTTGTAGTGGCACCACTCATCCCATACAGTCAATCCATGGCGCCTCGGTCTTCGACACTTCACCTGATAGCCTCAAAGTGCACCTAGCCTGGCACGAACGCCGTGGTGACGTCGCCGGCACCTCGTGGCGAACAGCAATTGTTGTTGGCGCCGAGTGATTGTTGGTGCCATGGGAGTCAATGTTGCGATTTTAAATTTTGATGAGAATGATGGCGGTGGTGGTCGTTTTCCGACAGCTACATCCGTCTCTGTACACGCATCTGTGCGTGCGCGTCTCTGCGTATGTCTGTCTCTGCGCGTGTGCGTTCGCGTCTCTCAGCGCGTCCGCTTACCTCCATCCGTGTCTGTGCCCGCGCAGCGCTGCTGAGCGCCGTGTCTCTGTCGGCGCTGGGTGGCAACGCCAGCGTGGAGCTGCTGCTTACGGAGCCGCTCACTCCGCTGCGGGACGCGAGCGGTGAGCTGGTGCCGCTCAGCGGCGCCGTGCCCGACCTCATCTACCTCTTCATCTACTGGAGGGACGGCAGCTCGGTAGAGGTGCGGCCCGCACCGCGGAGACAACGGGGGGGGGTAGTTGGTGGGTGTGATGACGGGAGATTTGGATAGGATGGCGAGTGGGAGATTGAATGGGAGTATTGGCGGGAGAGTGGGTGAGAAAGTTGGTGGCAGAGTGGGTAAGGAAAGTTGACGAGAGTGTGGGTGGGAGATTGTTAAGACAGTGAGAGTGCGCGACCGAAAATGAACACGTGAGTAGTCTCAACAGGTGTGTAATCATTGGGAGAGATATTTGGCAAGATGGTCTAGGAATGAGTGGCATATCGGGTGGCAGAGTGAATGGGCCTGATGATCGGAGGAGTCGGTGTGTGGGCGAGTTATTAGGGAGAAGCGTGGGTGGATGGGCGAGATGTCTGGATATTTGGCGAGCGGGCGAGTGTGAGATCGGGTGGAATAACGTGGGTGGATGAAACGATGGAACATTGGCATCGTCGGCGGGTGTTGTGTTCCTGCTTGTTTGCATGGGGAGCGGTAGTCTGATGGTTCGCGCATTGGGCTTCGAACCCAGCGACCCGAGATCGTTTCCCGCTTGCCGCCAACACCGGCGACGATTACACGAACCCGTCCTGGGCCTCCCCTTGCATCGACTCGGCCTCAAACGAGTACCTGGTGCCGCCACTAGGGAGACGACAGGCGGTTCTTTGTGCGCGCGCGCCGTAACAGGAGGCGCTCACGGTGGCGGGCGACAAGCGCGCCGTGCTGCTGGAGGGTCTGGAGGGCGGCACGAGCTACTGCGTCCACGCGCAGGCCTGGGTGGACGCGTGGTCCCGCTGGGGGACCACCAGCGAGGTGGTGTGCGCCACCACGCTGGGCGACAGCGACGAGGAGCTGGAAGCACCGACGACGACGATGGTTAGAGAGGCGCGCACGGAGCCGCCCCGCGACACGGGGTGCGGCGACGCGCACTGGGAGGCACGGGCCGACACAGGTGAGGGGGGTGTACCTCGTGGCACACGCATCAAGGTCGTCGTCGCCATCACTATCACCGGCTTCCGTTCCTCCCTTAAAACAAAACCCCGAGCCCATCTTCATCCTGCTGCTGCTGCTGTTGCCAGCTACGACCAGTGCTACCCCAAACACTTACCCTCATCTCTATCAATACCCCAACCCCTATCACTACCCCAACCCCTATCACTACCCCAACCCCTATCACTACCCCAACCTCTATCACTACCCCAACCCTACCTTAACCTCTCCTGCCCATTCTCCTGTCACCCTAACTACACACCACCACTTTTAACAACAACCCCACTCTTTATCTCAACCACCATCATCTTACGTACAATTTTGTCATAGTTTTAAATAGCGCCTTGGAATAAGCCGCCATGTAAAACTAGACGAGATGAGACGACATGAGAGTAATGTCAGCACGACGCCCCTCCACTCCGTCCCCTCCACTCCGTCCCCTCCCTCCCCGATGGCCCTTCCGTGACCCATGTGCCCTGTTACGGTCACTCATCCCTCGGCCCGAGCGTTGCCCCTGCCATCCGTATCGCTCGATGTTGTTACCGCTTTTTAAACTTTGTTACGGAACGCCTTGAGTTCCGCTAAGACGCTAGATAAATCTAAATTTAGATAAACACGAACAAAAACCCCAGTGGAGCATCGACTTGACATCAACCAGCAAATGCACCGTCAACACGCGGCCAACATCAACACCATACCAACATGATATCATGATATCGACACTGACCATGTAGAGATTGGGTCATGTGGACCCCTGACTGGAACATAGAGCATTGGGTCGAGATAACTACCCGAATGCCTCATGTATTAGTAATGTTTGCAAGTGTGTGTCCGCGTGTTGTGTCTGGCGTGTGTACATGTCCCAATGTCTTGTGTGCGCACACGTCTGTGAGCATCCCAGTGGCCTGTACGAGTCTCTGTTGTGTACCCTTGTGCCCACGTGCATGTGCGTACCCGTGTGTCCATGTGTTGATGTCTGTGTGTGTCCGTGTGGTCCCACAGGCACGGGCTGGGTGTACGGGCTGGTCGCTGGGGCGGCCCTGCTCGGCTTCGGCACGGGCCTGAGCCTGAGCCTCTGTCTGGTGAAATGCATCCGTCGACCCAACTCCGTGCACCCCTTCAGCATCCCTGCTCCCTCCGACATGCCCACGTCACCCACCCGGCTCACGGGGCCCGAAAGGATAATCTAGGGAGACCAAAACTCCCCCGGCCCATTCACTCCACACGTCCGATGGGCTACGTGCGATGTGGCAGAGGAGTTGGACGTGACACGCACACGCGGGACGCTCGCCTGGACAATGTGCAAGGGGATGTCTCCCGGAGAGCGACCGCTTGTATTTGGAAGCAAGCGACCGTTCTCACGTTCGTGGGGTGGGGTCCAGTTGGGGTGTCGTCTCTCTGAACCTCAAGCCGTGGCCTTCTCCCAAGTCCACTCAGCCTAAACCAACAAAATGAACACTCGGCGGTGGCGGCGAGGTGAACTTCAGTGGCGGGGAGGCAGCGCAGGTGCTGTCCCACGCCGCCCGCAAGAGGCGCTCGCTAACAGCGCTGATCCCAGCTCTCTCTGCAAGGCAAGGCAGGGACGTGCACACACCCTCGCACGCGACGCGGTACTCGGAGTGAGCACGTGCATCAAGGGCGCGCCTCGGATCGGGAAGGAAAAACCAGCGCAGGACGCGAGGTTCAACCGCCCAACCAGCTGCCAGGATATGAGATGCATCCTTGCCAACTCCCGTCTCACCCCCCCCCCGGCTCCCACCACCCTCCCCCCACTCTCCCATCCTCCTCCCCCAGCTCCCACCTTCTCCCTCTCCCACCCTCCTCCCCCAGCTCCCACCATCCTCCCCCCACTCTCCCATCCTCCTCTCCCCTCTGCCACCTGCACCCCCCCATCCCACTCGCCCTCCTGTTTACAACCATTTAGGGACAACGGCGACCCTACCTGAAACTTGAATAATTTTATACATTGCACTGCGCGTGGTTTTATATCAAAGATGCCTTATTTATTGACGCTCTATTTATTAGTAATGCGTGTTGGTTGCGCCGCGGTTTTATATCAAAGATGCCTTATTTATTGACACTATTTATGAGTAATGCGTGTTGGTTGCGCAGCACTGCCCCTGCGTCACGCCACGGTGGAGTTGGCAGCATGGATGATTTTGTAACGAAGATAAAGCAACGGGAAAACACGTGCTGCGTGGTGGTGTGCTCTGTGTGGTGGGGTGATGTACTGGCGTGGTGGTGTGCTGTGTGGTAGCGCACTGTGTGGTGCGTAGTGTGGTGGGGTGTTGTGCTGTGTGGTGGTGCACTGTGAGGTGATGTGCTCAGCTGCGGTGGTGTGAATGTGTATGCTGTGTGATGACGTGACAAGACCGGCAATGCATCAACGCATCGACTCCACGACGCTTTTCAACTCGTCTGGTCTCCAAAGTCTTTAATTGGCGACAGTGGCGTGGCCTTCTGAGCCCCGCACGACTTCACGCATCGTCGTCGCTAGGAAGCCGCCCACGTAATCACCGCGGCCCCAAAGTCTCGTCCCTGGCTTGCCATCGCCTGGCTTTGGCCAACTCTATCATCGATTTGGCCAGTTTTCTCTCGGGCGCCATTCTTGATAGCAAGACGGCATTAGGCTAAAACAATTTGCATTCACATCGGATCATGTTTAGGAGAGTTATCAAGATGCCCCCCCACCCCCCCCCTGCTACAGACGGACGGAGCCCACGACTAAATGCTTTCAACAACAGTTGGAAAGTGTAAAAAAGCACCAATGGGCTCTCAATCACCAAACCCCACCTCTCTCCCCGTGCCACTCGCTCTCCGCCTTGTCACACTCGCGAGCCACGCGCCTAAGCACTGCTGAAACCCCCCAGAAGGGGGTTTGTCGACCGTCCGCCGGTGATACTCCGACCGTTTATTTAACTTCGCAAGACATCGAACGCATTTCTACTTATAAAAAAACACACAAACGTGGCGCAATCAAGTATATCGAGACGCAATCGCGGCGGCCTCAATTCAACGGTCACAGTTGAGGTTACCGTTGCGGTTATCGCCCGGCAACGGCGGTTCTGACGGTGCAACGTTAACCCCGCGTCACCGCCACGAACGGGGGCCTCCCACCATAATCCTCCAGCACCACCTCCGTTGTTGAACTCCGGGCTCCCCTGTTTGTTGGTCGGAAGTGTGGCACGGCCGTCAGCGAAGCCGCGCTGCTGCTGCTGCTGATGATGCTGCTGCTGCTATTGGTTGGCCGCCTCGCAGGCGTCTATCCAGTCACTGTAAACGTCCACGGCTTCCGAGAGGTCTGGGCGCAGGGGTCAAGGGTCAAGGGGCAAGCGGCAGACTGGCGTGCGGCACATCTCGTCAGCACGGCTCGTCGGCACGTCGCTCGCACACTCCGCGGTCCGCGTGTGGGCGTGCGAAGCACCTCTCACACTCCCACTCTCTCGCACGCACATCACCTCGATTTGATACCGAAACGGGGGGCAGGATTTCTCCATAACTGTGGTTGTCAGCTGACGAGGTCGGTTATTGTAATTCAGCAAAACGTCACACGAGTACTCGAATTGTAAATGTTGCAGTGGGTTTACTCTCCAACACACTGTGCTCAACTAATAACGAATTGGCACTTTTTCTTACGTGACAAACCTTACTAATTGGCTGTGTCGGATGGTGGCGGGTTTAACGACACATTTATATTTACGTGATCTCACCCAAAAAAACTCTCATGGGCATATCACACGCTCGCAGCGACAACCTCCATTCGCCACTAAGTGGTTTTGACGTCACCACGGCGCTTGTGCCAGGCTAGGTGTATTTTGAGGTCACGTAAAGTTTAAATGTCTCACTGCTGGCAGGAGCTCACGGACCAGACCCAGTTGCCATGGGTTGACTGAGATGACTGGCAGATGCACCACCTGTGCTCTCCTCTATGCCAGCTTGCTGTGTTTTTGGCATCTGGGCGTTTCGCTCGTTGTTGCGAGCGTCACTCCTCTGCCCTCCGTTGTTGCTGGAGGGCGACTGCCTCCAACTGCCCAGTAGCAGCGTCCTTCACGAGCCTCCTCCACACAGGCCGATTGTGACACCGCTGGGAGCAGTCATCGGCAAGTCAACTCAGCTCCACATCCTTCTGTACTACATCAGCTCCACCTCTTCCCACGCCCATGCTTCTCACTCACCCACTCACTCACACATCAGTCCCATCTCTTCTCAAGCCTGTGCGGCCCCTGTTTAGCCCCTGTTTAGCCCCCTCTCTATCCAGCCAAACAGAAACTGCGTGGGCATGCAGTGGCTGGGCACGCGAGCTAAATAACCCAGCCAACGCAACCTCGCCTGCCGGCGGAGCTCACCGATGGAACTGTGTCCAGACCTTTCAAGCGTGCGAGCTCCTCACGCAATGCGGTCTGGGTTAAACCCAGGATTTACCGGCACAGATGTTCAATTAAAAGGGCTCCACGTTTCGCAAGCACAGAGAAGGGAGGGCGCCTAACCGTGGCGGAGGAGAAGCTCTCACAAACACTCGTGTGGGTGTGCGTATCCGGTCGGCAAGTCTCTCAAACACACACATGTGACTGCGGGCAGCCCCAACCCTAACAATAGTTGGGTCTGGTGGAGTGTCAACGTGTGGTACAGCATGTGTCGACGTGTGTGTGTGTGTAAGAATGTGTGTATATAGTGTACGTGTACAAGTGTGTTCATGTGAAAGTGCGTGTCTGTATTGTTTGCGTGTCTGAAAGTGTACGGGTGTGCGAAAGTGCGTGTAAGCATGCGAATGTGTTCGTGTGTGTGTCTGTGCCCGAGTCTGGGTGAAAGGGTGTGTTTTAGGAGTGTCTACGTAAGAGTCTCTGTGTGTGTGTCCGTCTGTGCGAGCGTCCTTGTACGGCAGGTGTAGGCGTGACCTCAAGAGGATACACGTGATGGGCGTCTGAAACTCCTCCAGGCAAACGGTACACGAGATCACGCCCGTGTTCCTTTCGCGATCCCTACACACACAAGACAAAGATTCCACAATATATAGCCTTCACACACTGCTGGTGCCGTTAGCAAGCACCTCTGAAGGCCGGCAGGCAGGTGCACGAGGGGAGGTGGCCAACGCCACACCTCAGCTGCCTTCGTCTCCCCAGTGGGGCGATGTTTACACACCGCACCAGGTTCAGATAATCGTCTCTGGTGTTGACCGTGAGCGGGAATCGAACTCGGGTCGTCGAGTTCGTAGTGCAGCACGCTAACCGTTGCACTACCGCTCTCAATACAATACACACACAGCACCCAATTACCAGCATCACAACACGGAAACGCTAACCACACACACTGCTCTCTACTAATGTAGGCGACAGATGCCATTCGCCGCTAAGCAGCGTCACCACAGCTCTTGTGCCAGGCTAGGGGCAGTTTGAGGCAATGTAAAATGTCAAGAGGTTCGCTGGGAGGTCAAGGGACAAACCCGGGGTAACTGGCCGAGTTGACTTACAAAGGCAATGATCCCCCACACAGCTTTTGACAGATTTCTTGGGCAAGCGCCGTTAGTGAGCGTCGATAAACGTCACACAAACAACATTCACCACCAAGTGCTTGTGATGTCACCACGGTGATCGCTTGTGCCATGCTAGGTGCACTTTTAGGGCAGGTGAAGTGTCGGAGGCTAGCCAACAGGAAGTCACGGGACAGATCCAGGTGCTGTGGGATGACTGCTGTGCCAGGCTAGATGCAGGAGGAAAATAACATTTACAGTATACAATAGGCAACGTTTCAGGCAATGGCCCTTCTTCACGAACACATAGAAGCCAAAGAGGTTGGGTGTCCTCTACGTGCCGTTAAGGGCAATCGCCCAAAACGTCGCCTATTCAATATTTGACCTTTGTAAGGTCACGTGTTGAGGTACGTATTTGAGTTGGGTTGTTTGGAGTTTGCGTGTCTCTTTCCCCGTGGTCGCGTGGATTTTTTTTCTCCGGGTCCTCGGGTTTTCCCCTCCACATTTAGAAACATGCATTGAGATTATTTAGATTATTAAGCTGGTATAGATTTCCACACGATATGCCAATTTGTTGAGCTACAATGTGGCCAGGTCGCTTCTGAAAAGTATGTTAATGGCTCGGTGGGCTTGACCTGGCAAGAAAAGTTTAGTCTTATTTGAATACTCTTTGGTTCTTTCGGTAAAGTCACGTAGGTTTCAAAGAAAATAAATAAAATCACGACGTTTCGGGCGCAACACAGATATATACCTACGTGACTTTACCGAAAGAACCAAAGAGTATGGATCCCTGCAGTCATGAAAACTTTAAATTTATCTGAATACGTTAAAGTGATTTATTAACCTTTCCTATACTTGCTACTCCGATCATGTTTTTGCACCAAGTGTTGCTCTGACGTTCTGACCCCATGCCCCCTAACTGGACACCCGTGAAAGAAAAGCGCTTGACAGCTCCTTGGATTTCTCCTGCAGCAGCAGCATCCCCCCTTACCAGTGCCCAACCTTATAACAGACCCATTCAGACCTCATCAATCTCAACGTTCATCCTACAAAGTCCCATCACAAGGGAGAAGCACAAACAGAAAAATGTTGTGCCCCAATTGAAACGGCTGTACGCCGTATGGACCTGAAAACTCAATTTCCATGCACAAGAATGCGCGGTAAACCGTGTTGGTTGACACGGTATGCTGCAGTATAAAATATTGTGATTGGATTGGTTTTGTTGGTGAGGTTGTGGTGTTGTTGGTGAGGTTGTTGTGGTGTTTGTGAGGTTGTTGTGGTGTTGTTGGTGAGGTTGTGTTGTTGTTGGTGAGGTTGTGTTGTTGTTGGTGAGGTTGTGGTGTTGTTGGTGAGGTTGTGTTGTTGTTGGTGAGGTTGTTGTGGTGTTGTTGGTGAGGTTGTGGTGTTGTTGGTGAGGTTGTGTTGTTGTTGGTGAGGTTGTTGTGGTGTTTGTGAGGTTGTTGTGGTGTTGTTGGTGAGGTTGTGTTGTTGTTGGTGAGGTTGTGTTGTTGTTGGTGAGGTTGTTGTGGTGTTGGTGAGGTTGTTGTGGTGTTGTTGGTGAGGTTGTGTTGTTGTTGGTGAGGTTGTGGTGTTGTTGGTGAGGTTGTGTTGTTGTTGGTGAGGTTGTTGTGGTGTTTGTGAGGTTGTTGTGGTGTTGTTGGTGAGGTTGTGTTGTTGTTGGTGAGGTTGTGTTGTTGTTGGTGAGGTTGTTGTGGTGTTGGTGAGGTTGTTGTGGTGTTGTTGGTGAGGTTGTGTTGTTGTTGGTGAGGTTGTGGTGTTGTTGGTGAGGTTGTTGTGGTGTTGGTGAGGTTGTTGTGGTGTTGTTGGTGAGGTTGTGTTGTTGTTGGTGAGGTTGTGTTGTTGTTGGTGAGGTTGTGGTGTTGTTGGTGAGGTTGTTGTGGTGTTGTTGGTGAGGTTGTTGTGGTGTTGTTGGTGAGGTTGTGTTGTTGTTGGTGAGGTTGTGTTGTTGTTGGTGAGGTTGTGGTGTTGTTGGTGAGGTTGTTGTGGTGTTGGTGAGGTTGTTGTCTTGTTGGTGAGGTTGTGGTGTTGTTGTTGGTGAGGTTGTGGTGTTGTTGGCGAGGTTGTGGTGTTGTTGGTGAGGTTGTGGTGTTGTTGGTGAGGTTGTTGTGGTGTTGGTAAGGTTGTTGTGGTGTTGTTGGTGAGGTTGTGTTGTTGTTGGTGAGGTTGTGTTGTTGTTGGTGAGGTTGTGGTGTTGTTGGTGAGGTTGTTGTGGTGTTGTTGGTGAGGTTGTTGTGGTGTTGTTGGTGAGGTTGTTGTGGTGTTGTTGGTGAGGTTGTGTTGTTGTTGGTGAGGTTGTGTTGTTGTTGGTGAGGTTGTGGTGTTGTTGGTGAGGTTGTTGTGGTGTTGGTGAGGTTGTTGTGGTGTTGTTGGTGAGGTTGTTGTCTTGTTGGTGAGGTTGTGGTGTTGTTGTTGGTGAGGTTGTGGTGTTGTTGGCGAGGTTGTGGTGTTGTTGGTGAGGCTGTGGTGTTGGTGAGGTTGTGGTGTTGTTGGTGAGGCTGTGGTGTTGTTGGTAAGGTTGTGGTGTTGGTGAGGTTCTGGTGTTGTTGGTGAGGTTGTTTGGGTGTTGTTGGTGAGGTTGTGGTGTTGTTGGTGAGGTTGTTGTGTTGTTGTTGGTGAGGTTGTGGTGTTGGTGAGGTTGTGGTGTTGTTGGTGAGGTTGTGGTGTTGTTGGTGAGGTTGTGGTGTTGTTGGCGAGGTTGTGGTGTTGTTGGTGAGGTTCTGGTGTTGTTGGTGAGGTTGTTTGGGTGTTGTTGGTGAGGTTGTGGTGTTGTTGGTGAGGTTGTGGTGTTGTTGTTGGTGAGGTTGTGGTGTTGGTGAGGTTGTGGTGTTGTTGGTGAGGTTGTGGTGTTGTTGTTGGTGAGGTTGTTGTGGTGTTGTTGGTGCGGCTGTTTCGGTGGCGCCGTCACCACACGCGACCCGCTGGGTGCAGCCCCCCCCCCCCGGGGCACCGTGGCTCACATCTTGACGTCGCACGAGCGCTCGTGGTTACAGAAGGGGCAGGTGAACTGGGTCGCGAGGGTCCCCACCATCTTCTTCTTGGTCGGCGGCTTCCTCTTAGACTTCCGCCGGCCCATGACGGTGCCGCACTGCGCGCCGGGATAGATGACGGTGGGGGGGGAGAGAGACGCGGGCGGGGTGAGGGGGGGGAGACGCGGGCAGGGTGAGGGGATGGAGAGACGGGGGGGGGGGGGGTGTAAGACAGATGGAGAGACGGGGGGGACAGACGCAGAGAATAGGAGACATTCTAGATTAGAAGTTTTCGTGACTGCAAGGATTCATACTCATAGGTTCTTTCGGTAAAGCCACGTAGGTAAAGAATAAATAATAAATATTGAAAATAATTATCTAAATAAAATAGTAAAGCTATTATTATTGGTAATATCATTATTTATTATTTATTTCTTTTTCCCTACGTAATTTTACCGAAAAAACGTAAGAGTATGGATACATATTCTTTGGTTCTTTCGGTAAAGTCACGTAGGTATAAAATAAAATAAATAAAATCACGACGTTTCAACCGCAACACAAGCAATCATCATCAGGTGGTGAGTGTTGGTGGGTGGTGAGTGTTGGTGGGCGGTGGTGAGTGTTGGTGGTGAGTGTTGGTGGGTGGTGGTGAGTGTTCGTGGTGAGTGTTGGCGAGTGTTAGTGGTGAGTGTTAGTGATGAGTGTTGGTGGTGAGTGTTGGTGAGTGGTGGTGAGTGTTGGTGAGTGGTGGTGAGTGTTGGTGAGTGTTTGTGGTGAGTGTTAGTCGTGGTGAGTGTTGGTGGTGAGTGTTGGTGGTGAGTGTTGGTGGGTGGTGGTGAGTGTTCGTGGTGAGTGTTGGTGAGTGTTGGTGGTGAGTGTTTGTGGTGTTAGTCGTGGTGTTTGTGGTGAGTGTTAGTCGTGGTGAGTGTTGGTGGTGAGTGGTGGTGAGTGTTGGTGGGTGGTGGTGAGTGTTCGTGGTGAGTGTTGGTGAGTGTTGGTGGTGAGTGTTGGTGAGTGTTTGTGGTGTTAGTCGTGGTGTTTGTGGTGAGTGTTAGTCGTGGTGAGTGTTGGTGGTGAGTGGTGGTGAGTGTTGGTGGTGAGGGGTGTTGGTGGTGAGTGTTGGTGAGTGTTCGTGGTGAGTGTTGGTGAGTGTTGGTGAGTGGTGGTGATTGTTGGTGAGTGTTAGTCGTGGTGTTTGTGGTGTTAGTCGTGGTGAGTGTTGGTCGTGAGTGGTAGTGAGTGTTGGTGGTGAGTGTTGGTGGTGAGTGTTGGTGGTGAGTGTTGGTGGTGAGTGTTGGTGGTGTTAGTGGTGAGGAGTGTTGGTGGTGAGTGTTGGTGGTGAGTGTTGGTGATGAGTGTTGGTGGTGAGTGGTAGTCGTGGTGAGTGTTGGTGGTAGTGAGAGTGGTGAGTGTTGATGTGAGTGAGAGTGGTGAGTGTTGGTGGTGAGTGAGAGTGGTGAGTGTTGGTGGTGAGTGAGTGTTGGTGGTTAGGAGTGGTGAGTGTTAGTCGTGGTGAGTGTTGGTGGTGAGTGAGTGTTAGTGGTGAGTGGTGGTGAGTGTTGGTGGTGAGTGTTGGTGGTGAGTGAGTGGTGAGTGTTGGTGAGTGAGTGTTGGTGGTGAGTGTTTGTGGTGAGTGTTGGTGGTGAGTGAGTGAGTGAGTGTTGTTGTGAGTGAGAGTGGTGAGTGTTGGTGGTGGATGGTGAGTGTTGGTGGTGAGTGAGTGGTGAGTGTTGGTGAGTGAGAGTGGTGAGTGTTGGTGGTGGATGGTGAGTGTTGGTGGTGAGTGAGTGTTAGTGGTGAGTGTTGGTGAGTGTTTGTGGTGAGTGAGTGGTGAGTGTTGGTGGTGAGTGAGAGTGGTAAGTGTTGGTGGTGAGGAGTGGTGAGTGGTGAGTGTTAGTCGTGGTGAGTGTTGGTGGTGAGTGTTGGTGGTGAGTGTTGGTGGTGAGTGTTGGTGGTGAGTGTTGGTGGTGAGTGGTGAGTGTTTGTGGTGAGTGAGTGGTGAGTGTTGGTGGTGAGTGAGAGTGGTGAGTGCTGGTGGTGAGGAGTGGTGAGTGTTGATGGTGAGTGTTGGTGAGTGAGAGTGGTGAGTGTTGGTGGTGAGGAGTGGTGAGTGGTGAGTGTTAGTCGTGGTGAGTGTTGGTGGTGAGTGGTGAGTGTTTGTGGTGAGTGAGTGGTGAGTGTTGGTGGTGAGTGAGAGTGGTGAGTGTTGGTGGTGAGGAGTGGTGAGTGGTGAGTGTTAGTCGTGGTGAGTGTTGGTGGTGAGTGGTGAGTGTTAGTCGTGGTGAGTGTTGATGGTGAGTGTTGGTGAGTGAGAGTGGTGAGTGTTGATGGTGAGTGTTAGTCGTGGTGAGTAAGTGGTGAGTGTTAGTGGTGAGGGTGAGTGGTGAGTGTTAGTCGTGGTGAGTGTTGGTGGTGAGTGAGTGTTAGTGGTGAGGGTGAGTGTTGGTGGTGAGTGAGTGGTGAGTGTTAGTCGTGGTGAGTGTTGGTGGTGAGTGTTGGTGGTGAGTGAGTGTTAGTGGTGAGGGTGAGTGTTGGTGGTGAGTGAGTGGTGAGTGTTAGTCGTGGTGAGTGTTGGTGGTGAGTGTTAGTCGTGGTGAGTGTTGGTGGTGAGTGTTGGTGGTGAGTGAGTGGTGAGTGTTAGTCGTGGTGAGTGTTGGTGGTGAGTGTTAGTCGTGGTGAGTGTTGGTGGTGAGTGTTGGTGGTGAGTGAGTGGTGAGTGTTAGTCGTGGTGAGTGTTGGTGGTGAGTGTTGGTGGTGAGTGAGTGGTGAGTGTTAGTCGTGGTGAGTGTTGGTGGTGAGTGTTGGTGGTGAGTGTTGGTGGTGAGTGAGTGGTGAGTGTTGGTGGTGAGTGAGTGGTGAGTGTAGTCGTGGTGAGTGTTGGTGGTGAGTGTTGGGGTGGTGAGTGTAGTCGTGGGAGTGTGGTGGTGAGTGTTAGTCGTGGTGAGTGTTGGTGGTGAGTGTTAGTCGTGGTGAGTGTTGGTGGTGAGTGTTAGTCGTGGTGAGTGTTGATGGTGAGTGTTGGTGGTGAGTGAGTGGTGAGTGTTGGTGGTGAGTGAGTGGTGAGTGTTAGTCGTGGTGAGTGTTAGTGGTGAGTGTTGGTGGTGAGTGAGTGTTAGTGGTGAGGGTGAGTGTTGGTGGTGGTGAGTGGTGAGTGTTAGTCGTGGTGAGTGTTGGTGAGGGTGAGTGGTGTTAGTGGTGAGTGTTTATGAGTGTTGGTGAGTGAGAGTGGTGAGTGTTGGTGGTGAGGAGTGGTGAGTGTTAGTCGTGGTGAGTGTTGGTGAGGGTGAGTGTTAGTGGTGAGTGTTTGTGAGTGTTGGCGAGTGTTAGTCGTGGTGAGTGTTGGTGAGGGTGAGTGGTGAGTGTGAGTGGTGAGTGTTAGTGGTGAGTGTTTGTGAGTGTTGGTGAGTGTTGGTGAGTGTTAGTCGTGGTGAGTGTTGGTGGTGAGGAGTGGTGAGTGTTGATGGTGAGTGTTGGTGGTGAGGAGTGGTGAGTGTTGATGGTGAGTGTTGGTGGTGTGGAGTGGTGAGTGTTAGTCGTGGTGAGTGTTGGTGGTGAGTGAGTGGTGAGAGTAGTGAGTGAGAGTGGTGGTGAGTGTTGGTGGTGAGTGTTGATGGTGGTGAGTGAGAGTGGTGAGAGTAGTGAGTGAGAGTGGTGGTGAGAGTGGTGGTGAGAGTGGTGGTGAGTGTTGGTGGTGAGTGTTGGTGGTGAGTGTTGGTGGTGAGTGAGAGTGGTGGTGAGTGAGTGTTTGTGGTGGTGAGTGTTAGTCGTGGTGAGTAGTGAGTGTTGATGGTGAGTGTTCGTGGTGAGTGTTGGTGGTGAGTGAGTGGTGAGTGAGAGTGGTGGTGAGTGTTGATGGTGAGTGTTCGTGGTGAGTGTTGGTGGTGAGTGAGTGTTGGTGGTGAGTGTTGGTGGTGAGTGTTAGTCGTGGTGAGTAGTGAGTGTTGATGGTGAGTGTTCGTGGTGAGTGTTGGTGGTGAGTGTTGGTGGTGAGTGTTGGTGGTGAGTGTTGGTGGTGAGTGTTGGTGGTGAGTGTTGGTGGTGAGTGTTGGTGGTGAGTGTTGGTGGTGAGTGTTGGTGGTGAGTGTTGGTGGTGAGTGTTGGTGGTGAGTGAGTGGTGAGTGAGTGTTAGTCGTGGTGAGTAGTGAGTGTTGGTGGTGAGTGTTCGTGGTGAGTGTTGGTGGTGAGTGGGTGGTGAGTGAGAGTGGTGGTGAGTGTTGGTGGTGAGTGTTAGTCGTGGTGAGTAGTGAGTGTTGATGGTGAGTGTTCGTGGTGAGTGAGTGGTGAGTGAGAGTGGTGGTGAGTGTTGGTGGTGAGTGTTAGTCGTGGTGAGTAGTGAGTGTTGATGGTGAGTGTTCGTGGTGAGTGTTGGTGGTGAGTGAGTGGTGAGTGAGAGTGGTGGTGAGTGTTGGTGGTGAGTGTTAGTCGTGGTGAGTAGTGAGTGTTGATGGTGAGTGTTCGTGGTGAGTGTTGGTGGTGAGTGAGTGGTGAGTGAGAGTGGTGGTGAGTGTTGGTGGTGAGTGTTAGTCGTGGTGAGTAGTGAGTGTTGATGGTGAGTGTTCGTGGTGAGTGTTGGTGGTGAGTGAGTGGTGAGTGAGAGTGGTGGTGAGTGTTGGTGGTGAGTGTTAGTCGTGGTGAGTAGTGAGTGTTGATGGTGAGTGTTCGTGGTGAGTGTTGGTGGTGAGTGAGTGGTGAGTGAGAGTGGTGGTGAGTGTTGATTGTGAGTGCGAGTGGTGAGTGTTGGTGGTGAGTGTTAGTAGTGGTGAGTGTTGATGGTGAGTGAGTGGTGAGTGTTGGTGGTGAGTGTTTGTGGCGAGGAGTGGTGAGTAGTGAGTGAGTGGTGAGTGTTGGTGGTGAGTGTTGATGGTGGTGAGGAGTGTTTGTCTCCTCGCCACCCACGACTCACGCTGAACGATGGCGCGCGCGCGCGGCCTCAACTCGCGGTGAAGGCCTCTGAGGTGTCCGCAGCGCGAGGCCCCCCACCACGAAAAGTGCCGGTCTCAAAATCAATAAAATAATTAATTAAAAAATACATCGATCGTTATCTACGTGTACCGTCATGATATCGTGTGTCTCCACTCCCGCTACACCCACACACGTCGTCGAAATTATTTAATTCAAATCGTAGATTTATTAAAGTTAGACGACAAACGAGACAGGCAATGGGGTGGCCGCGGCTGTGGGGTGGGGGGGGGGTCCTAGCTGGTCGAGGTCTCGTGGTACGACACCGCCTCGGATTCTTAGGTTTCCTACGAATTGTCGGGGACCTCGGCCGAAGCGGAATGTTTGTGATTTAAAGATCGATTTTTTAAATATCGATTTTTAAAATATCGATTTTAAAAATATCGATTTTTAAAATATCGATTACAATGAGCGATCCCGATTTAAAAAAGCTAAAGACCCCCCCCGTGTAGCCTCTAACAGACTTGGGCAAGTGCTGTTAGTAGCGAGTAGCAGCAGCAGCGCCTATGAAGGAGACAAAGACAAAGATCCCCCGTGTAGCCTCTCACAGACTGACGGGGCAAGTGCTGTTAGCGAGTAGCAGCAGCAGCGCCTATGAAGGCCGCCTTTGTCTCCCCAAGTGGAGATGTTTTTACGCACCGCACCGGGTACTCATTTGAGGCTGAGTCGACCTAGGGGAGGCCCATGTACCGGTTCAGATAATCGTCACCGGTGATGACCGTGAGCGGGAATCGAACTGGGGTCACAGCCGCGTTCAGCAGCGCTCACCGCCTGCACCGCCGCTGAATTGCTAGCGACGTAGTTCCGTCTCCCACTCACTGGGCCACGTCTGGGAAACACAAATGTCACTTGGATCGAACGGGCCCCGTGGCTATGAGATGTTGACTACCTCGCCTGGTACACAGGAGGTCGTGGGTTCGATCTCGACCTTGACGCCTGCTGCTGCTGCTGCTGTATATTTGGAGTTTGCGGTGTTTCTCTCATCATCATCATCACGGTGGCTAGGAGATGTTGACTACCTCGCCTGGTACACAGGAGGTCGTGGGTTCGATCCCGACCTTGACGCCTGCTGCTGCTGTATATTTGGAGTTTGCGGTGTTTCTCTCTCTCCCTGTAGTCGCGGGAATTTTTCTCCGGGTCATCCGGTTTTTTCCCTCCACAATTAAAAACACGCCTTCAGATCAGAGTAATGTGGCCGCTTTGAATTTCCACGTGATAAGCCACTTCGTTGAACTATCATTGGTGGCCAGGTCGCTTCTTAAAAAGAGCGATATGGCTCAGTGGGCCTTACCTGTTGAAATTGAAAATTGTTCATGAATAAAATAAGAAGAGGTGTTTACCATTTCTGGCAATGAAACAGGTGTTAAGATGTTCAAACACAAAATATAAATATTTAGCATTAATCACGCGTACTTGCGGTGAACAAGCACGCGCTGATAATATACGGACGGCATTGTCTTTGAAACTGATTGGCCTCCACCAGACATCAGCAGCAGCCTTCTTTATGGCGCAGTCTCACCAGTGTTAGACCAAAAGGCGAAAAGTGCAAAGACAATTCACTATCAGGGCATTTATATATCGGGGTGAGCGGCTACAAAATGGGAGATTTTTTGCCAGTTTTTCTACTGGCAAAAAAGTGTAGTTTTTAAAAGTTGCCATTCGTGAACCATGCTTCATCATCATCATATCACTATCCATGGGCAAACAGCCCGGAGAACGTGTCCACTGCACATTTCGTCATTTGTTGTTGCCACTCTCCTCTGTCTTGCAGTGCCAATATGCTCAAGTATAGGCCACATTTTTCTGGCGCCAATCTTATGTCATCGCCAAGATATGCTCCATTAGGTCATCATTTTTTTTGCCGTTCCTTTCATTTTTCCCAACCACACCATTTTAGTTTCCATCTTGTCCATCCTACATTTGTCCAAATAGTGCCAGTTTCCTTCTCGTCATTGACCTTCTTCTAGCGACCCATGTAGTTGTGTAAGAATCAGGAGTTTGCCATTGTGAGCCTGCCAACACACAACCCGAGTGAAACGACGCTTGGAGTCTACCACGGAACGTGGCAGTGAAGCCATCTCAATGTGCCAAACACTCGTTATTACAGTGATAGGTTTTTACCCTTTCAACTGGTACAAAAACTGACACCTTTATATAAGGCATCATGTTTGCAATAACCACAACACAAGCAGTCAAAATGCAAACAAAAAGAAACAACTCTGATAATGATATACACTGTCCTTGAAGTTGATTGGTCCACACCCAAGACAGCTTTTCTTAGAGCCTAGTCTCCATTGGTGTTGGACCAGATGACGCCAAAAGGCGTACAACTCAAAAACAGCGCACTATCAGAGTATTGAGAGCTCGGGGTAAGCATTTACACTATGAGACCTCCTTAACCAGTGGCAAAATATAGTGATAGTTTTTTACCCTTTCAACTGGTACAAAACATGATGCCTTGTATAAAGGTGTCAGTATTTGTACCAGTTGAAAGGGTAAAAACCTATCACTATATTTTGCCACTGGTAAAGGAGGTCTCAGTGTAAATACTCGTTATTACATTGGCCAAACATCCCAGTGAGTGCAGGGTTAGACGGCTATGAGGGCCAGGGAGACTCGAGGGTTGTGGATAGGGGGTCTGAGCGGTAGGGATAGTGGTCTGTGAAGGGTTGCTAAAGGAGTCGGGTCTTTGAGGCTTCGGGATAAGGAGATGACGAATATTGATGAGGGGTTCGAGTGGTGAGGTGGGTGGGTGGTAGAGTTATGGGGACTCTGAGGATGAGGTGTAGTGGTCAGATGACGGGTCTTAGTGAACGATAGGGGTAGAGGGGGTCTTCGTGAACGATAGGGGTCGATAAGGTGCCATGTTGAAGGTTAGAGACACGGATATAGGGTAAGTGGGTTGGAGTATGTGAGGAGTATGTAGATTTAAGAGTGTAATGATTTCCCCTTCACCTGCCCAGGCACCCTCCTCCCGGTCAAAGTCCACGGCCAAACAGACGCAGTGAGGTCTCTTCCGCTTATAGCATAGCCCTGTCTTACCTGCCCTGACTACCTGCCCTGTCTTACCTGCCCTGACTACCTGCCCTGTCTTACCTGCCCTGTCTTACCTGCCCTGTCTCACCTGCCCTGACTACCTGCCCTACCTGCCCTGTCTATCTGCCCTGTCTACCTGCCCTGTCTATCTGCCCTGTCTTACCTGCCCTGTCTTACCTGCCCTGACTACCTGTCCTGTCTTACCTGCCCTGACTACCTGCCCTGTCTTACCTGCCCTGTCTTACTTGCCCTGTCTTACCTGCCCTGACTACCTGTCCTGTCTTACCTGCCCTGACTACCTGTCCTGTCTTACCTGCCCTCTCTACCTGCCCTGTCTTACCTGCCCTTTCTCACCTGCCCTGTCTTACCTGCCCTGACTACCTGCCCTGTCTACCTGCCCTGTCTTACCTGCCCTGTCTCACCTGCCCTGTCTTACTTGCCCTGTCTTACCTGCCCTGTCTTACCTGCCCTGTCTTACCTGCCCTGACTTACCTGCCCTGTCTTACCTGCCCTGTCTTACCTGCCCTGTCTTACCTGCCCTGTCTACCTGCCCCGTCTCCTCTCTGTATCAGTCTCTGTCTACCTGCCCTGTCTTACCTGCCCTGTCTTACCTGCCCTGACTTACCTGCCCTGTCTTACCTGCCCTGACTACCTGCCCTGTCTTACCTGCCCTGTCTCCTCTCTGTGTCAGTCTCTGTCCACCTGCCCTGTCTCACTGCCCTGCCCACCTTCTGGCCGCATGCCCTGCCAGGGCAGCGGGGTCTAGCTCGGGCTGACTGAGCCCCCTTGGTGCAGAGGGGACACCGACCCCCAGATGGGCCACCCGCAGGTACTGGCACGGGGGTTGAGGCCCCCTCACACTTTACATCGCACGACTGGCACGGGTACAGGGCAATGTGACACACACAGCGACACACACACACACAGTGACACAGTGTGACACACACAGCGACACACGCACACAGTGACACAGTGTGACACACACAGCGACACACACACACAGTGACACAGTGTGACACACACAGCGACACACACACACAGTGACACAGTGTGACACACACAGCGACACACACACAGTGACACAGTGTGACACACACAGCGACACACACACACACAGTGACACAGTGTAACACACACAGCGACACACACACACAGTGACACAGTGTGACACACACAGCGACACACACACACAGTGACACAGTGTGACACACACAGTGTGACACACACAGTGACACACACACACAGTGACACAGTGTGACACACACAGCGACACACACACACAGTGACACAGTGTGACACACACAGCGACACACACACACAGTGACACAGTGTGACACACACAGTGTGACACACACAGTGACACACACACAGTGACACAGTGTGACACACACACACAGTGACACAGTGTGACACACACACAGTGACACACACAGCGACACAGTGTGACACACACAGTGACACATTGTGACACACACACACAGTGACACACACAGTGACACAGTGTGACACACACAGCGACACATCGTGACACACACAGTGACACACACAGTGACACACACACAGTGACACAGTGTGACACACACACAGTGACACAGTGTGACACAGTGTGACACACACAGCGACACAGTGTGACACACACAGCGACACAGTGTGACACACACAGTGACACAGTGTGACACACACAGTGACACAGTGTGACCCACAAAGTGACACAGTGTGACACACACAGTGACACACACAGCGACACAGTGTGACACACAAAGTGACACACACAGTGACACACACACAGTGACACAGTGTGACACACACAGCGACACACACAGTGACACAGTGTGACACACACAGTGACACCCAGCCAGTGTGCGCGACATTACAACAAACACAAAGATCCCCCGTGTAGCCTCTAACAGACTGTAGGGGCAAGTGCTGTTAGCGAGTAGCAGCAGCAGCACCTATGAAGGAGACAAAGACAAAGATCCCCCGTGTAGCCTCTAACAGACTGCTGGGGCAAGTGCTGTTAGTAGCGAGTAGCAGCAGCACCTATGAAGGAGACAAAGACAAAGATCCCCCGTGTAGCCTCTAACAGACTGTCGGGGCAAGTGCTGTTAGAAAGTAGCAGCAGCGCCTATGAAGAAGACAAAGACAAAGATTCCCCGTGTAGCCTCTAACAGACTGTAGGGGAAAGTGCTGTTAGCGAGTAGCAGCAGCACCTATGAAGGAGACAAAGACAAAGATCCCCCGTGTAGCCTCTAACAGACTGTAGGGGAAAGTGCTGTTAGCGAGTAGCAGCAGCACCTATGAAGGAGACAAAGATCCCCCGTGTAGCCTCTAACAGACTGTAGGGGCAAGTGCTGTTAGCGAGTAGCAGCAGCGCCTATGAAAGAGACAAAGACAAAGATCCCCCGTGTAGCCTCTAACAGACTTGGGGCAAGTGCTGTTAGTAGCGGGTAGCAGCACCTATGAAGGCCGGCACGTCACACGCGGGGGGGGGGGTGACCAGCACCACGCCAGCCGCCTTTGTCTCCCCGGTGTGACGTTAAAACTACACACAGCATCACCAACTACTCATTCTCGGCCGTGTTGACTTAAGGCTAAAAAAAGGCAGTAAAACTCACTCAGGCGTTGTGTCGCAACGCAACGCAAACGCGCAGTGTCACAGCCGGACGCGTGGCTCTGCGTGTGTATGGGGGGGTACAACGCCTTCACAGGTTCTGTGGCAATTCAAACTCTTTGTTTCTTTCGGTAAAGTCACGTAGGTACAATATAATTTGAATCTAGGGGGAATTGTGCTGGGATTGTGCCTGTGTTGTGTGTGTTTGATCTTAATTTTGGAGCTTTCGTGACCGCAGGAGTTATTATTTGGTTCTTTCGGTAAAGTCACGTATAAAGATAAAATAATAAATTAAATAATAGCATAATACGACGTTTCGATTGCAACACAAGCAATCATCATCAGGTATAAAAGGAATAGCAACAAAAATCTAACCAGAAAACTATGTCTGTCTTGTGTGTGTTTGGCCCGCAGGTTGTGTTTGTCTCAGTCGTGTGTTGTGTTTGAATGTGTTTGAATGTCCACGTTAATTCCAACCGGTCTCAGCGCCGAGTAGCAGCTCTGTACAGCGTTTGCGTTTTCTTGATTACGATGTTTGAGCTCCCGATTTGAATTGGCCGGGGGGGGGGGGGGTAATTCCACCGTCGCAATATGCATCTCGTTTGCATGGGTAGGTCAGAGCGGTGCTTACCGAGTATGGCACTGTGGGGTTTTTATTTATTCAAAGTTATTACTTGATCAACCAGGTAAGGAGGAGAACTCAACGAGAGCGGGGTAAGGGTCTCATTTGCAAGAGTTGACCCTGGAGGCAGCAAAAATTTACTAAAGCAAAGCAAAATAAAGTAACGCAATGGAGCAAATAGCAATCCGAGCAACAGCAGTGACGATTGTCTGAACCGGACCTCCCCAAGGTCGACTCAGCCTCAAATGAGTAGCTGTTGTGGTATAGACATCGCCACGAGGGAGACAAAGGCGGCCGATAGTGGTGCTGGACATCCACCCCCTCGTGTGCCGTGCTGGCCTTCACAGGTGCTCTTCGCGAACACCACTTGCTTCTCAAGTACGTGAAGACGACTGGGGGCATCTGTGTCTTTGTGATTAATGTGGAGTGTTGGTGGGCGTGGAGGTGGCGGTCCGGTTGATGTCAGGATGTGTGGTCATGGTGTTGGTGTCTTTGTTATTCTGCAGGCGTTCACAATGGCAACCTGCTGGGCTCTCTGCGCGATGCTCTGCTCTCTGCTCATCGATCCGTGCCAGGTTTGACCCCCACAGGGCCCAGAGATTCTCTCCCAACGATCACGGAGCCCACGCCGTTCTCCCGGGCCGCAGGGCCCTGTGGGCAGCAGAGGGCAGCAGGGCCAGGCTACGTAGAGGGTCTGGCCTCCCTTCACCTCCCTACACGGATTTTCGAAACGTTTTTTGGTTTGGCCATGTTTGTTTGTTGTAGTACAGAGTTAGACTGATGGCCTTAAACTAAGTTTGCTTGTGGTTATTGTTGTTGTCGTTTGACTTGCATCCCACTGGGATTTTTGCACACAGCGTTGGTGTACGGTTCTTTTTCTGCAATATTTTGCTGTCTTTTTTCTGTTTGCACTTAGTCACTTTAAGATGTTTCTTGTTCATGTTTTTTGCTTGTTGCGGTTGCACCCGATTCAAGAGCCGAATGGCTCACAGGGCTACACCAAATAAATGAACTTGAACTGCCAATCTGAGACACCACACTGGGCCTCAGAATAAGTCCAATCAGGGCAGATCTCTGCAGCGAAGCAGATGTGAGCCCGACTAACACTTGGCTGGGTGGCTGCCCAGAAACACCAGACTCGGCCTACGAGGTGGCCAGGAGATGGCAGGGCAGCGTTGGATTCTTCAACCAATCTGTGCGGAGTGTTTAAGTGTCACCCTTTCTTATGAGTGATAGGTTATCTCCGGGGTCACCCGTTTCCTACCACACAAAGCCACTCTCATTCATACATTGGCAGACATCTCAATGCAGCGGCACTCTTCTGAGAGCATCTTGAGACATCACTGAGGCTCTCCTAGGAAGCGTCACGGTGGCGATGTTAACTACCTCACATGGTGTACAGGAGGTCGTGGGTTCACTCCTGACCCCGACTCCTGCTGCTGTATATTTGGAGTTTGCGTGTCTCTCTCTCTCTCTCTGCCTGTGGTGAGATGTTAACTACCTCGCCTGGTGTACAGGAGGTCGTGGGTTCACTCCTGACCACGACTCCTGCTGCTGTATATTTGGAGTTTGCGTGTCTCTCTCTCTCTGCCTGTGGTGAGATGTTAACTACCTCGCCTGGTGTACAGGAGGTCGTGGGTTCACTCCTGACCCCGACTCCTGCTGCTGTATATTTGGAGTTTGCGTGTCTCTCTCTCTCTCTCTCTGCCTGTGGTGAGATGTTAACTACCTCGCCTGGTGTACAGGAGGGCGTTGAGTTCAATCCCGACCTGACGCCTGCTGCTGTATATTTGGAGTTTGCACGTTCTACCCGCAGTCGCGTGGATTTTTCTTCGGGTTCTCCGGTTTTTCTCTCCACATTTTAGAATCAACATGCGTTTAGAGTATTTGGCTGCTATACATTTGCACATGATAGGCCACTTGGTTGAGCTATCATTTGTGGCCGGGTTGCTTCTGAAAATGAACTACATAGCTCAATGGGCCTTACCTGGTAAAAGTGTAGTTTCAAAAAGTTTCCATTTGTGACCCATGCGTCATCATCATCATCACGATCCATGAGCAGATAAGCCCGTAAGCCATCTGCCCCCATGGATAGTTGAGTTTTAAAGAAGGCCACGGCTATTTACGTCGTCTCTGCCTCCGAGGGGCTCACGCCCGGAGGTCACGGCTGCAGCGATGGTTGGTGTTTATGGTTGGGGCTCGCCTCCTCGACGCCTTTATTGCCGCGCCTGCACCCCCGACCCTTCCTGCCAACCGTCGGCTGCTGGGGGACCCCCGGGCGCGTTGCGAATTCAAAGGTCGCACGCGCCGCGTCCCCCACACACACACAGGGATCACAGCAGGGGCCAGGATATCGAGCGTCAGGGGCCCTCACTGCCACAACCGGGGCCCGTCTGAGACTCCAATATCCTTCTAGATTTGAAGCTTTCGTGACTGCAAGGATTCATATTCTTAGGTTTTTTCGGTAAAGTCATTATATAAACGGAGTGGTAGCTCCTGCAATCTCTCATTTACTTGATACAGCTGTCGTGGCTGTGACGGTTCCACCTGAAGACGGAAGCTTGTGTTGCCTCCGAAACGTCGTGATTTTTATTTTATTTTACTTTTATTAACTCCAATATCCACCACCAGATCCTTAACGTCGTACTAACGTTTAAACCCGGGACTATTTGATTTTTTTTTATGATGCAAAGTGGATGTTGGACACCGAAGAGTATGTGGATCGTATTTGGAAGGGCGCAGGTTCAAAGTTCAATTGGGGAAGAGGGGGGGGGGGGAGTCGACCGAGCCCGTCGCCCTTCCAGGGTGGATAAAACAGCCATCCCTCCGGGTGGAAGTCAACAATGGTTGTGCAACACAACACTCGCCTCTGTCACAAGAATATGGAATTTCCGCCACTGGCTCAGGGCTGCAAAAGCAAAGCCAACGAGCGCCAGCCGCTTAGTAAAGAGACGCCGCGGTTACTGAAATAACGGAGGAGCGGTGTGAAGTAACGAAGCACCACCCCCCTCCTCCTCCTCCTCTTCGTCTCGTGTGGCCGCACAGGCGGCGGACACCACCCCGGCGACAATCGGCGGCAACGGCACCACCGCGGCGAGCACCGGCACGAGCCAGCCGGGGCGCGCCCTGCACGCCGTGCTGGCAGTCATGGGCGTGGGGCTGGGCCTCTCGCTGCTGCTCGCCGTCGCCGTCAAGTGGCGCAGCTGCTACGAGCACCTGCGCGGCTTCCGGCACCAGCGGCTGGCCGAGGGCGACCGTGCCCACGGCCACAACTTGGGGGAGCCCGGCCTCGCCGTGGTGTCGGGCCCGGGGTTCGGGGCGGCGGGTGGCGCGACGCGCGGCGCCGGAGAAGACGGCGGCGACGACGGCTTCATCGAGGACGGGTACCTCGACGACGCCATCTTCAAGATCGACTCCGACTCCGACATGGAATGCTGAGGGCCCCCCCCCCCCCCCCCCCCGGGGCAGCACGACGACAAGACAGACGCTCCAGACCCTGACCTCGGCCCGCGACCCAGACTTTACCCCAGTCTCTCCTAAAGCCATAACCCAGACACCCTGAACAAAACCCCAACTCAATTCCTATGATCCTGAGCCAATGTCTCGAATGTGTGACGCAGACCTCTCGTTATTACCCAGACGCCTCAACCTCGAACCAATATCACCTGACCCTCACCTGGTGATCCCTCACCCCTGGACCAGACCTTGCCTTTTTAACCCAATCCCTGTTCCCATGACGCTCCGCCCTCCCTGATCTGACAAGGACCACCGAGTGTGCCGTGATCCGCCAGCCCTCCTCCCTCCCTCCGCCGATCTCAGCCGCGACTGCGAGCGGTGTTCGATTTAAAACGCCCACGTGCGCAATTTCACTGCTGGTTTGAATTTTCGCGTGTTGTTGTTGTTTTTGTTTTGCCGCGAGTCCTAGACCGTTCGATTCCTCTCCTCTCCCTCACCCTGGCTCAGCCTGGCTCCCATCTGCCGTGCTCACAAACCACACGTGCTCATTTTGTACCCCGCATTCTGAAGCCTTACAACGCTGAATTTATTGTGTAAACTATGATAAGGTTAAAATAAACATACATTTACTGTTTTCGTCGTCGTTGTAATTGTCGTCGCTACGATTCGAAATGGATCGTCGCCGCTTGAACGTGCGCCCGGTCGAAATCACGGCGGACTCGGCGGCGAGGGAGCGTGAACACGCGTCGTGGAGAGAGGCGAGGGTGGCGAGACACGAGGCGTAGACACGAGACAGACACGAAGCAACAGGAGACACGAGAGGGAGAAGAGACACGCGCACACAGAGGGGGACACCGGTGAGACACAAGGTGGAGACACAAAGGACGGGGGGGGGGGGGGGGGACCCCCGCAGTTGCCGTCTCCCGTTGCAGTTGCTCAGCTTCCGCAAGGCTCCGGCTCTTAAGCGTCCACTCCTACGCACGGGGACCGTTCTGATGAGCGCGCGCACCGTGCGTGCACGTGCACACGTAGGTGTGCGAACGGGAGGGTGTATGGGCATGTGCATGTGTTTGCGTGCATGAGCGTACGTGTTCGTGTGTGCAAATATAAATATCTCCTCCTCTTGCCCAGGAGTGTCCGACCTTAAGATGGCCGAGGTCGTCGCCTCTTAAGAGTGCCATCTTTGGCATGTTTATTACGTCTACTTACCTAGGAAAGCCTCGTCAAGTGTTACGATTCTTCTTCAGGCTTTTCCAATGCTAGGTATAGACACATCAAATTTGGACCGCGACACCAGGAAGTGGCCTACTCTTGCGAATGTCACGGGATCTTAAAACGCCCATTGTGATATTTAACATATTTAACGTTATATTTTTTACGGTCAATGCATACTGCAGTATTAATCAGGGCAGCCGATGAAATCGAAACGTGTACCTTTGCAACAAGAGACGAGCGACACTGCTGGGCCATGTCACCGCCCTTGGTGTTAGGCGCGTGATGATTCAGGCGATTCGATTCGAAAATCGATACTTTTCCGTCTCGTTTGTATCGTCCCGTTTGCATTGTTTCTCTCTCACTTTGTACGCTTTCACTTGCTCCAGCGGAGCCTGTAACGTAACAATTGCATATCGCTTGCGTAAGCCGCTCGCTCGCTCGCGCGCGAGTCGATGCGCACGCAGCGCTGCGAGCGTCGGAATCGCCGCATCGTTCACGACAGAGCCTCCGGCGTTTCGGTACGGTCGGCGGGGGCCCAGTCGGCGCCCCCCAAGAGACCGATGGACCCCCCCCCCGGTAGTCAAGTCGGGAGCTGACGGCAAAACCCGGCGGTTTCGGGTTGGCGGTAGGACCTGGTAGTCGTTTTAAGGTGGGGGGGTCAGCCCAGCGCGGGGGAGAAGGCCCGGCAAGCGCTGGGCTAGAGGCCGGCGGGCCCGGCGTCGTTGCGATGCGTGCGCTTGTGCCGGTTCAGGTTGGACGACTGCGTGAAGGCCTTGCCGCACACGTTGCACACGTGGGGGCGCTCGCCCGTGTGCGTGCGCGAGTGGTACAGCAGGTGGCCCGCCTGCGAGAAGGTGCGTCCGCACTGCCCGCACGCGTACGGCTTCTCCCCCGCGTGGATGCGCGCGTGCACGCGCAGCTGGCAGTTGTGGCGGAAGCGCTGGCCGCACACGCCGCAGGCGAACGGCCGCTCCGACAGGGGCAGCGCCGGCGGCAGGGGCAGCGGGGGCAGCGCCAGCGACGACGACGAGGAGGAGCGGCACCAGCGCGCCGTGGCAGGAGGGGGCGGCGGGGCCAGCGGGAAGCTTGGGCCGATCGGAGCATCCGACACGAAGCTGGAGATGCGGGCACACCGAGCGGCGGATGTGGTTCACGCCACGGACGTACAGGCAAACAGAGACAGAGATCCCCCGTATAGCCTCATCAGACCGTTGGGGCAAGTGCTGTTAATGAGCACCTATGGAGGCCTATGAATGGCAGATGAGGGTGTGGGTGGCTAGCACCATGCCCCACCGCCTATGTCTCCCCAGAAGCGATGTTTACACACCACACGAGGCACTAATTTGAGGCTGAGTCAACCTAGAGGAGGCCCAGGACCGGTTCAGATAATAATCATCACTGGTGTTGGCCATGAGCGAGAATCGAACTCAGGTTACCGGGTTTGTAGCGCAGCGCGCTAAACGCTACACTACCGCTCCGCCCAAAGGCAGCCGGGCGTGGTGCTGGCCACCCGCCCCCTCGTGTCCCGTGCCAGCCTTCATAGGTGTTTCGCTAACAGCACTTGCCCCAACAGTCTCTTAAGGCTATATGGGGGATCTTTGACATAAAGGCACCATCACACATATATAGACGGACACAATGACAATCACCATGACCATCACACCCACGCCATCATATGCACCGTCACACACATTCGCAGCATAAATCACACCCACATACACACTGTAACGGTTACCCTAAGATGCAAAGTGACAGTGACATCTCCACAACGTTTGTGCCAGGCTATGTGCATTGAGACTATTACGGGAAGTGTGAAAGGCTCGCTGGCAGGTCACAGGACAAACCCATGTGTTACTGACTGAGATGGCTGATATGCACCACCTGTTCTCCATAATAAAAACAACCGCCATTCGCCAAGTGTCAGTGACGTCACCACAGTGCTTGTGCCGGGCTATGTCCACTTTAAGGCCATGTGAAGCGTCGAAAGCCCGCTCGCAGGAAGTCATGGGGCAGACCCAGCTGGTGCCACGGGTTGACCGAGATGACTGGCATCACCGCTCACGCAACCCCCGTACCTGTACGTGTCTGTATCCAGGCTGCCGTACGTCTCCCCCAGCCCCTCTCTGGACATCCCCTCGGACTGCTCCATCTGCCCAGAGCCGGGGCCCACGCAGGGGAGGGGCCCCCCGCGGGAGGCGGGGCCCTCAGACGCGGGGCCCCCCAGGGGCTCCTGCCGGTCCCAGCCCCCCCTGCTGCGCACGCCCCCTGCTGGGCCTGGGGTTGCTCCAATGCAAACCTGGCCTCCTGCTGCAGCACGGAGGAGGGGCATGGAATCAACGGGCAGGGCAGGAGTGCAGAACCGTGGAAGCGGTGAAGGTAGGGCTGTGGGGGTCGGAGGGCGGCGAGGGGCAGCGGGAGGTACCGTCACAGGAGTCGTCGCGCTCCATCTTGACCTTGCGGTCGCTGTCGTCGCCGTCGCCGTCGTGGAACGGGGGGGCGTCCTGCTCCACGGGGCTCGGGGGACGCTCCACCGGCACTGGCACCGCGGTGGACCCACGGTGAACAGACATGTATACCGTGGTGAGCCCATGGTGAATGTACACCGCAGTGAAAATTGGCACACCGTGCAGAAACAAAGGCGGACCGTCGTAGACCACTGTGGTCTGAGAGCGGTTTCTAGTGGTGCCGCGTGAGTGTGGTAGTGTAGTGTGTTCGTGTGCGAGACGTATCGGAACGGTTAGCGAGCCATGTTACGAACTCAGCGACCCGAGTTCGATTCCCGCTCGTGGTCGTCAACACCAATGAAGATTATCTGAATCGGTCCTGGGCCTCCCCTCGGTCGACTCAACCTCAAACAAGTACCTGGTGCGATGTGTAAACATCGCCACTGGGGAGACAAAGGCAGCCGGGCATGGTGCTGTCCCCCACCCCCTCGCTTGTGTGCCGTGCCGTGCCGGCCTTCAAAAGGTGCTCACAAACAGCACTTGGCCCAACAGTCGGTTAAGGCTATATGGGGGATCTGTGTCTTTGTGTTAGTGTCCTGTTAGTGCGGTAGGGTGGTGTGGTTGCTCACCGGTTGGCGCGTGCGCCCCCCAACCATGCTCCAGGCCGTACACACCCTCGGCGCCGTCGTGGCCGCTGGCCACCGCCACCTCATCCTCGTCCTCCTCTTCGTCGGCCTCAGAGCGCCCAACCTCTCCCTCTGCACGCACACCAGACATCGCACCACCACGACCGTCACCTGCCGAGGCTCATAATTGCAATGTTGGAGACAAGGAGACCGTGCCGTTGTTACCGTGAATTCCAAGTCTCCTGGCTGTGTTAAATCCGGCCATGCCACAAGTTCGGTGTCTCAGAGAGGAAAACAAGAGTAAAATAATAGCCCCCAGCTAGCGCCGATTTTTGCGAAAGCATTCAGTGATTGGCGTCCACATCTGCGGGGGTTCTGCACGACTCTCGAAATCCCCGGGCCCGCCGTGTCGGGATAGCAGAAGGCGCGAGCACGTGGAGAGAGACTGGCGCACCTGCAAAGGGGCTGGGCTCCTCGTGTTCCGCCAGCAGCCCGGCCTGGTGCCCGACGGCCGGGTCCAGGGAGCTGAGGCGCGCGGCGAAGAGCGCCAGCTCACGGCTCAGGCTCGTGAGTTGCGCCACCATCACGTCGAGGAGGCCGCCCAGCGACGGATGCTGTTGGTGCTGATGGCGCCCCGTTGGCGTCTCGGCAGATGCGTACACCGCGTGGTCGTGGCGCCGGGACGCGACGTGCGGCACCAGCGCCTCGAGCGTGCGGCGCAGCACGGCGTAGAAGGCGAAGGGCAGGCGCTGGCGCGCCGCCGAGAAAAGCTCGGCCCGCACGAGCGGGGGCTCGGCACACGCCAGCAGATCTTCGTAGTCCCCGATCCCCAGCTCCCGCTCCATGGCCTGGGCGAACGGCAGCTTCATGCCCTGGGCCGAGAGCCACGCGGGGAAGTCCGCGCGCGGGTCCGGCCCCAACAACGCCACACCGCCGCCCGGCATAGCCACCGCCGCCGCCGCCATTCCCGCTGCCTCGAGGAGGGGGGCGGAGGGAAAGCAGAGGGGGGCGCCACCGAGTTGCCAGAGGGAAACTGGAAATGGAAATATCGCAGACAAGAACACAATTAAAAACGTAGCAGATTTAACAATACATACCAATGTAAGATCATTAAAATCCCTCCATGCCTATCTGAAATTGTCTTACAGGAACATTGCCATTAATAATTGCCAATATACAGCGCGACATACACACGTGCAAAGGGTTGTACGTGATGTGACACATGAAGCACCGATTGTGAGTGCCTGATGGATTGAGGGACTTACATTCTCATGTTCTGAAAAAGGTAATCATCACTAGAATCTCCAGGTTAAAAGGATAACAATAATAATAATGCAAATCGATAATGCGCATTCCATCCTAGGATCCTAATGTCCAATGCATAAAAAAACACGGAACAAAATCAGAACCAGGGGCAACCGACCAAACTAAAGAGAGATGGGTCACTTTAAAGAGATGGGTTTTCAAAGCAGACTTAAATATATCTACCGACTCCGATCGCCTGATCTCAAGTGGCAAGGCGTTCCATAGCTTTGGTGCCACGCTAACAAAAGCACCGGTCACCAAAAGAGTGCAACCTAGACCTGTGAGTGCTGAGCAGTTGGAGATCAAAAGATATTAAGGACCTTAATGGAATATATAAATGTATTAGTTCCTGCAAGTAATGTGGGGTGAGCCCTTTTAAAGCCTTATAGGTTAATGGCAGTATCTTAAAATCCACTCAGAAGCTGACCGATAGCAGAAAATTGGGGTACACTTTGGCACACATATCGTCAAGTTTATGCTCATAACTAGGAAAAAACAAAAAAACGAAACGTAACATTTTGGACCCACAAAACTTGTGGGGGCAAGGCAAACATTTTCACATTTTAATGTTTGGAATCTCAACGACGAAAGTTTTTGAATCCGGAACTCTTCCACGTTGCTGGTCCCAAAAAAACCCATCTCAGGGTTCAGAAAAAAGTAACATTTTAGAGAATCTCTTGGAAAGAGCGTGCCACTTGAGTCAACGTAAAAGTTGTCAGCGCCACACTATCGATCGTGGACATCTGTGAAGAAGAGCTTCCTAGCTCATCGGATTCCTCCTGCAGCCTAAATAAACATTGTGATTCTGAAACTATTGTGTTCTGGAGAAGCTGTTAATAATGCGTGTAACAATTCTGCACCACGAGTTTGCATGACAATATACAATGGAGTGCTAAGCTGGTCACTGGGGCCCGTGAGGTGACTTCTGTAACCGCTTTTCGTCAATATTTAACATTACAGTTACAATGTAAGGCTCCGGTTAATGCATAGCCCACAGGCTAGTATGGTCGACTGCACGGTATCCATTGAAACATTACGCAAGCACTCATAAGAAATAAAACTCAACAATAACACTGTGGCCTTAAAATAAAAATGCACAGTAAAAGACGACGTTTCGGGCAATGTCTCTTCACAAAAGCACTTTAAGGCAGTGTTGCGTGAAATTCCCCTGTAAATCCATTTTTTGAGTTTCGAGACCACGGAGCGAATTACTCAATAACCCGAAAGCTTAACGTGCGGCAATGAATACACGATCTCGTGCGAGACAGACTCGTCCGTCACAATCTATCATTAACTTGTGGAATGTGAGGTAGGCATGAGCGCTCGCCTGCGCGCCTACCAATTACGTTACGTGGGCTCGGAACCACAATCTACGGACGAGAAGACGTTCTGGAAATGAAGACGCAAACGCAGATCTGTACACCTCGTCTGACAGGGCTACAGGGCTACAGGACTTCCCCTCCCAGCCGTTATACAGGGTGCTTTAAAAAATAAATGAAAACACTTCTGAGAATTTGCAACAATTCCACAATAAACTTGCCTGGAGAAGATTCCAGGCGTGTATTGACAATGATGGCGAGCAAGTGGAGACATCCATTCGTTATCTTGTTACGGTGGCATTCTCCGTTATTTCTCCATTAAAAATGATGGTCCCATGTGAGTGTTAACATGTTTTTGAAGCACCCTGTATTATTCCACTGATGCGACTTCGTTCTTCCACTGAACCCCGTGGACACGAGAAGTCTTTAACGTCCCCCATGGGGGTTGTTCCCTAACGCGGTTTGTGTCCGAGTTGATTTCTATCCGCTTCGTCGCTGTGATTGTTTTTAACGTCATTGCTTGCGCAAGTGATACCACGCTGGCCTCTTATTACAGTTCTCACCTGGTTACACGAAATAAACATGACTCGATCACTATGTCCGAACCGCGAAAAGCTCAATCCCAGGAATGAATTCATCCCCGACACACTGCGACCCTAAAGATAAAGGTTAAAACTATCCCCTATACAGTACTGGGATCACAACAGCGAAACTCCCTGGACCGTAAACCCGAACCCCCTGCCTAGGACAGGCAAAGCACCGCGAGGCTGAGGCCAGCGGTCAGAACCCCCTTGTACGAGGAACCCCAATGTTCAAACCCCCGACACCGAGACCCCTTAGACTGGGACTACCAACACCGAACACCCCCCCCCCCGCTTTCAATCGCGCCGCTCGGCCCCGCACTGACTGGGGCAGGGATCCAGGCAACGCGAGGCCTCTCGGCCTACCCCCCCTAGTCGGCCCGCGCCGCCGCTTCACCTGCCTCGCAGCAGGGTCCGCTCCCTTGATGCCGAGTGGGGGTCCCGAGGTCCGTGCGTTGCCCAGGGGGTCCGGGCTCCGGGGTCCGGGGAGGGAGGGAGGAGGGGGGTGGTGGTGGTGGTGGCGACCCCGGCGAGGAGCGGGAGGCTCGGCGCGGCTGCTCGGAGCTCTGCGGCTATGGACGGGGGGGGGGGGGGCCGCGGCGTCGCTGCTCGAGACGCTCCACGGCCATCTTGGGTAGGGAGCGGCGGCGGCCCCGTGCGCGCGGCGTCACCGCCCCGGGGGGGGGGGGGGGGGGTCGCGTCACGCGCGGGTGACGTCACCCGTTGGACTGCGCGAGGGAGTCTCCACCCCCCACTCCCCCTACAAACATGGCGGCCGCAGACTCTCTCCACCCACTATCATCTCCGTATGATGGGTGGGGAGGGTTGGGGGTTTAGGAGAGGGACGGTTGGGGGGGAGTGTTGGGGGGGGGGGTTCGGGGGGAGGGTTGGGGGTCGGGTTGGTGGGTTTGGGGTGGAGTTGGGGGGGCGCGCCCGACCCCTGACCCCCGACCGACCCCTGACCCCCGACCGACCCCTGACCACACGCGCGCTTCGCAAACCGAATCGGACGCAGCAGCAGCAGCAGCGAGAAAAAGCAGCAGCAGCGAGAAGCAGCAGCAGCAGCGAGAAGCAGAAGCAGCAGCAGCGAGAAGAAGCAGCAGCAGCGAGAAGCAGCAGCAGCAGCAGCGAGAAGAAGCAGCGAGAAGCAGCAGCAGCAGCGAGAAGCAGCAGCAGCAGCGAGAAGCAGCAGCAGCAGCGAGAAGCAGAAGCAGCAGCAGCAGCAGCGAGAAGAAGCAGCGAGAAGAAGCAGCAGCAGCGAGAAGCAGAAGCAGCAGCAGCGAGAAGAAGCAGCAGCAGCGAGAAGAAGCAGCAGCAGCGAGAAGCAGCAGCAGCAGCGAGAAGCAGCAGCAGCAGCGAGAAGCAGCAGCAGCGAGAAGCAGAAGCAGCAGCAGCGAGAAGCAGAAGCAGCAGCAGCGAGAAGCAGCAGCAGCGAGAAGCAGAAGCAGCAGCAGCGAGAAGCAGAAGCAGCAGCAGCGAGAAGCAGCAGCAGCAGCAGCAGCGAGAAGCAGCAGAAGCAGCGAGAAGCAGAAGCAGCAGCAGCGAGAAGCAGAAGCAGCAGCAGCGAGAAGCAGCAGCAGCAGCGAGAAGCAGAAGCAGCAGCAGCGAGAAGAAGCAGCAGCAGCGAGAAGCAGCAGCAGCAGCAGCGAGAAGAAGCGAGAAGCGTCCGCGATGGGCACAATGAGAGGCGCATGCGTGCGTGCGATCTTTGTCATTGGGTGTGCTCGATTCGTTTGTTGTTGTTGTTATCGCTGCAACGTCGTTCTAACGTTCTGACCGCCGTGCGCCCCTCCACCCCCTCCGATCCTTTTACTGGGACATCTAAACAAACAAACAAAAAGAGTTTCATAACTCATCGGATTTCCTCGCAGTGATTTAAATAAATATTCCGATGCGAGGAGTCTTGCGTCACCACGCGCGGTTTGTTTTGGTGCCGCTTCCTCTCGACGCTCTGCGGCGACGGCGCACGTGGCCCGGCCCGGCTCGCCCTGCGATTGGTCGGATTCGTGGGGCACAGCCCAGGCCCCGCCCACTCGAGAACCCACGTGGCGTGGCACGTGTGGGTTGTGTTGTTGTTTTTATTAAATCCTTTATATTAAGTTCGCTTGTTTGCTTACGACCGTGCAAATCTTTCGGTCGTTTTTTAACCCACTTCCCGTGATCCAATCGAGCTGACATTTTGCACACAGACTCGTTGTGCGTGACAATTAGTTTTCGTGAAATTTTTTTCTCCAAAATTTTACACTGTTTAGGGAATTTTTTTTTATATTATTACCAATTGCTTAATGGCGGCAGACAATCATCTGACCCAGAGGTGGCAGCCATCTCAAGCCAGAGGACGAGAGGACTCTAGCCGCCACGCATATGAAGGATTTATAGTGAAAAACTTTGTTTTTACGGGTTAATTTTTTTACCTCTTTTATCTGGTAACAAAACTGACACCTTTTTTTTACAAGGAGTCATGTTTGCATAAACCACAATATCTGCAGTCATAATGCAAACAAAAAACATAACTCTGATAATGTATGCACTGTCCTTGAAGTTGATTGGTCCACACCAGAGACAGCTTTCCTTAGAGCCTAGTCTCACATGGTGTTGGACCAGATGACGCCAAAAGGCGCACAACTCGAAGACAATGCACCATCAGAGTATGAGAGCTCGGAGTAAGCATTTACACAAAAAAAGGTGTCAGTTTTGTTGCCAGATAAAATGGTAAAAAAACAATTATCATATTTTTTACTGACAAATGAGGTTCCAATGGTGTGTTGTTGTTGTTGTACCTACTGGGGAAGAAGACAAAGGCGGCCGGGCGTGGTTTCTGGCCACCCGCACCCTCGTGTACCTTCGTAGGCACCGCTACTCGCGAACGGCACTCGCCCCGCTGTTAAGGCTACACGGGGGAGTCTTCGTCTTTGTGCACACACGCTCCATTGTATTCTTAGGTTTTTTCGGTAAAGTCACGTAGGTAAAAAATTTAAATTAATAAAAGTAAAATAAAATAAAAATCACGACGTTTCGGAGGCAACACAAGCTTCCGTCTTCAGGTGGAACTGTCACAGCACGATAGCTGTATCAAGTGAGCTGTACTTTTATTCATTTAAATTTTTTACCTACGTGACTTTTCCGAAAAAACCTAAGAATATGAATCATTGCAGTCACGAAAGCTTCAAATCTAGAACGGTACATTGTGTACATACCAGAGGTGGGACAAAGTCATTGTTATGCAAGTCCAAGTCGAGTCTGAAGTCATCAAATTCATGACTCGAGTCTGACTCGAGTCCAAGTCACATGACTCGAGTCCACACCTCAGGTACATACACATACACGTGTACTGTATACATTATGTGTATAGTGACGTGTGTATACAGGACAGCGCGTGCACACGTACGTGTGTATATACAGTGCAGTGTGTGTACATTCACGTGTGTCGAGACATTGATCGGATGCGTGCACGAGTGTACGTGCACGTGTGTGCACGTGTGTGAATGTGTAAAGTATAATCTATATGCATGTGTACACACGGGGTTGCAAGCGTGAACTGTATATGCTTTCATATATGTTGGTGAATAGGCATGTGTGTTAATGTTTTTCGTTATGTGCATAAATGATTACAATTTGCCAATCCACTGCTCGATTAAAGCCGTGTTGGCAATGGGGGTTGTTTGGCCATACTTCAACTCACTGTTTAGTGCAGGTTTGTCAAGCTGTGGGGGGAGGTGCAGTGTGTTGGGCAGGTTCAGATAAAACTGATTGATGATAGCCGCGGCTCGAGATCAAACCAAGATCTTTGGGTCCATAGTGCAGTACGCCAGCTACTTTGTCATCGTGTTCCCCACAAATATTGAACTTCGCGTGCGCATGAAGAAGGATCGGTCATTGAGCTGCAGGACAATCGATCACATTGCTAACACGAGCCGTGCATGTAACAAGATCCATTCGGCGTGCTGTCACTCGATACCATTGCGCCACTACTTTGTGGTGAGTTGTGCATATAGACGAGTTCGTGCGAGCCAAGGGTGTGTGTGTGTGATACCGTCACTGCAAATGTGGTGTAGACTGAATTCCCAGGTCACTCTCGAAAATGAGCCTATCCTTGTCCCTTTGAGGTTTTGTACGGTAAAACGATACACTTGAAGAGTGAAGTTCCATTGCCCAGCAGGTGATTGGTGATTGACGGGGACACAAGTGGCGGGGCCTGGCAGCGCTGAGCACCCACAGCTGCGTGTGACCCAGAGGTCGCAACCGGGTACCCGATACCCGTACCCTACCCGATACCCGTACCCTACCCGATACCCGTACCCTACCCGATACCCGTACCCTACCCGATACCCGGCTACCCGTACCCGGCCGGGTATGGGTACCCATTTGCGACCCTGGTGCGGCCGGGTACGGGTAAGGAATCAAAACCTGGGGTAGCAACAGGCACTGAATTCAATTGTGGGGGGCCCTCAGCTGGTGTAGCAACAGGCACTGAATCCCAATTGTGGGGGGCTCTCAGCTGGGGTAGCAACAGACACTGAATCCAATTGTGGGGGGCCCTCAGCTGGGGTAGCAACAGGCACTGAATCCAATTGTGGGGGCCCCTTACCTGGGGTAGCAACAGACACTGAATTCAATTGTGGGGGGCCCCTTACCTGGGATAGCAACAGACACTGAATCCAATTGTGGGGGCCCCTTACCTGGGGTAGCAACAGGCACTGAATCCCAATTGTGGGGGGCCCCTTACCTGGGATAGCAACAGACACTGAATCCAATTGTGGGGGCCCCTTACCTGGGGTAACAACAGGCACTGAATCCCAATTGTGGGGGGCCCTTACCTGGGGTAGCAACAGGCACTGAATCCAATTGTGGGGGGCCCTTACCTGGGGTAGCAACAGGCACTGAATGCCAATTATGGGGGGCTCTCACCTGGGGTAGCAACAGGCACTGAATACCAATTATGGGGGGCTCTCACCTGGGGTAGCAACAGACACTGAATCAAATTGTGGGGGGCTCTCACCTGGGGCTCAACTAACAACTGAATCCCAATTGTGGGGGGCCCTCACCTGGGGTAGCAACAGACACTGAATACAATTGTGGGGGGCCCTTACCTGGGGTAGCAACAGGCACTGAATACAATTGTGGGGGGCCCCTTACCTGGGGTAGCAACAGACACTGAATCCCAATTGTGGGGGGCCATCAGCTGGGGCTCAACTAACAACTGATTCCCAATTGTGGGGGGCCCTTACCTTGGTCTCAAAGTGGGAGGGGGGGGGGACGAGACCAACTGAAGTTCCCCCACGAGGTGCCCCCCCGCCCGCCTCCACACGGGGGCGCCACTTCCGCGTTCCTCCCCCACGGGGCACAGAACGCGGCCGGTCACCACAGTCACCACCGCTGCGGGTTCCCGTCGTCCCGTGGCGGGTCACCGCCAGTAGCCCGAGGTGAGGGACCCGCGGGGACTCCCGGGACCCCGGGGTGTGTGGGGGACCTCCCGGGGTGTGTGGGGTGGCTCTGGGGGGGGTTGGAGGTGCAGGCGGCCGCTGGGCCCCGACGCAGCCTCGGTGTCGCCTGATCGCGCTGCCGCTTTGGGAGTCGCCCTTTGCTTGGTTTCGAAAGGCCACGACGGCCCTCCCGTTTCCCGGGTGATTAAATCGCCACCCACGGCCCCCTCAACTGGCAATACGTAATACACAGGGGACACAGACACACGGCTACACAGCTACACACAGAGACAAGCAGAGACCGCTAGACGCAGACACGCAGAGACACCTAGACACAGACACGCAGAGACACACAGAGACACGCAGACAGCTACACACAGAGACACAGCTAGACACAGACACGCAGAGACACAGTTACACACACAGAAACACAGAGACACAGACTTACAGAGACACAGTTACACACAGACACGCAAATGCACAGCTACACAGAGAGACAGTTACACACTCGGACACGCAGAGAAACAGTTACACACACAGGCACACAGAGACACACAGACACAGTTACACAGACACGCAGAGACGCAGTTACACACAGACACACAGAGACACATTTACACACAGACACACAGAGACACACAGAGACGCAGTTACACACAGACACACAGACGCAGTTACACACAGACACACAGAGACAGAGACACAGAGACACAGTTACACACAGAGACACAGTTACACACAGAGACACAGCTACACACAGCTACACACAGCTAGACACAGCTCCACACAGAGACACAGTTACACACACAGACACAGCTCCACACAGAGACACAGCTAGACACACAGTCACGCGCAGAGACACAGCTAGACACAGAGACACACAGAGATACAGTTACACACAGAGACACAGTTACACACAGCTAGACACAGAGACACAGTTACACACAGAGACACAGCTACACACAGAGACACAGCTACACACAGAGACACAGCTACACACAGAGACACAGTTACACACAGAGACACAGCTACACACACACTGACACGGAGACACACAAAGATACACTGGTCCTTATGCCCCCCACAGGTCCCTGATTTCCGTCGCCGATGGCTTCGGTGGCCGTGGCCGTGGCGGCCGTGGCCGTGGACCCGCGCGCGGACTTCCCCGCGTGGCTGTCGGCCCAGGGCATGAAGCTGCCCTTCGCCCAGGCCATGGAGCGGGAGCTGGGGATCGGCGACTACGAGGACCTGCTGGCGTGCGCCGAGGACGCGCAGGTCACCCTGGAGCTGCTGGCCACGGCGCGCCAGCGCCTGCCCTTCGCCCTCTACGCCGCCCTGCGCCGCGTCGTCAAGACGGCGGCTGGGGCCTCCTCCTCCTCCGCCGCCTCCGTGGGGCCCGCGGGGGGGTCCCCACGGGGCCCCCCCGAGTGGCCGCTGCACGAGGCCGCCCAGCCCGGCCTGGCCGCGCTGCTCGAGGCCATCGTGGCCACGCTGCAGACACTGGGACACGAGCTGCTGCAGTCGGCGCTCAGGTTCAGCCGACTCGACCAGGCGCTGGGACCCGGGGACGGCGCTGGGATCAGCCCTGAAGGTGTGCGGGGTCCTCTGTACCACGTGCAGCACCAGCAGTAGTTGTAACAGCACCAGCAGCAGCAGCAGCAGTACTCGCGTCACCAGTCGTCGCAGCACCATCACAACATTCAGCTCTGTCAGCGGCTCAAGGGCCAGTTTGTATGGTCATTGAATTTCAGAGCTGTGGCTGCTTGTGCTAGATGTAGTTGTTGGCCCTGCTTCTGGGTGCTGGTCATATATGGGTTTTAGACCAAGTCCAATATCCCCTGGAACCCAGGCTTGCTCCCAGACATGGAACCCAGCACTGGCCATCTCTTTACCCTAGGCTTGGCTTGACAGAGGGGTTGGCCATGATGAGTTTTGTTTCCAGCCTTCTCCGTTCCCTTCTCCCGCAGAGAGAATGGAGCGGCACGAGGCCGACCTCAGCGATCCCTTGGCGGAGGAGCCGAGGCCCCTGGGTGGCGACGCGCAGCTGGAGCCGGGGCCCGGCAGCCCCGCCACGTGGGGCGGCATCGTGGTGAAGAAGGAGCGCCCAGACGGTGAGGAGTGGAGTACAGACTGGGCTGGGCTCACACACTGGCAGTGATAGGCAGCCTGGCCAGGAGGTTTGCGTGCAGGCGCTCTTCACTCCTGCTCACAGACGCCACGACTGTAATGGACGTCGCAAAGCTGTCCTAGCCATGTGGCCAGGAGGTTTGCACGGAGGCGCTCTTCACTCCTGCTCACAGACGCCACGACTGTAATGGACGTCGCAAAGCTGTCCTAGCCATGTGGCCAGGAGGTTTGCACGGAGGCGCTCTTCACTCCTGCTCACAGACGCCACGACTATAATGGACGTCGCGAAGCTGCCATAGCCGTGTGGCCAGGAGGTGCCAGCACAGCAGTGGATTGAGTCTGTCTGTGTGGCCCTGCAGAGCTAGAGGAAACGGGGTCCCTGGCGGATGAGGCCCTGGGGGAGGCTCTGCTGGAGGAGGGAGTGGGAGGAGTGGAAGAACTCAAAGGAGAGGACCAAGGAAGCTGGAGGGAGGAGCCGCCAAGCTCTGAATACCAGTCGCAGTACCCAGGTGAGCAGTGGTGAGCATCCAGTTTGATGCCTAAGCATCACTTTGCTTTATATTATATTCAGACAATGCTGTACGTTATACGAGTAATGGGCATATAAAAATGACTCTGGCCAAGACGTTAATTGTTTTTTTACCCTTTTATCTGGAAACTAAACTGACACCTTTTTTTACAAGGAGTCATGTTTGCATAGACCACAATACCTGCAGTCATAATGCAAACAAAAAACATAACTCTGATAATGTATGCACTCTTAATTTGGAGCTTTCGTGACTGCAGGAATTATTCTTTGGTTCTTTCGGTTAGACGTGACTTAACCGAAAGAACCAAAGAATGTATGCACTGTCCTTGAAGTTGATTGGTCCACACCCGAGACAGCTTTCCTTAGGGCCTAGTCTCACATGGTGTTGGCCAAGACCTTAAGCTGGTCAAACTGCAACTCAGGTTTCCCCCACCACGTACCTGCCTTCGACGTGAAGCTGTCGCGTGGGCATCCATGAGTTTGAGATGACTGCATGTGACGTGAGTGATCACGGCCTGGCACTTGCACCCCCAGGTGCCGTGCGGAAGCAGAGGGCCATGGAGCTGGCACCGCTGCCGTTTCAGACACATGGCCTGCAGCAGCACAAGCGTTCTGCGCTCAGCCTCAACGGGAACAGTGTCTGCACGTGGCCGTACGCGACCGGTGGCGGCGGCGGCAGTGACGCGTCGTTGTGGATGGCAGTACCTCCAGATGGCACCACGCCGCCCATTATGCCACCCCCGCTGGGCCCCGTGCCCCCCGCGGGTCTCCATTCGGCACCACGCGGTGCCCCAGGCGTCCCGAACCCGGAGAAGCTGGCGCGATTGCGGTGCCGGCACTGCGGGAAGGCCTTCCGCAGCAACGCCGACCTGGTGCGGCACGTCCGTGTGCACACGGGCGAGCGGCCCTACGTGTGCGGCATCTGCGGCAAGCGCTTCAACCAACCGGGGCCCCTCTCCACGCACCGCCGTGTGCACACCGGTGAGCAGCCCTACGGCTGCCTGGTGTGCGGCAAACGATTCTCACAGGCGTCCGGCCTGCACCGCCACCAAAAGACGCAGCACGCCCTGGACGTTGCACGTGGCCCAACCAGCCTGCCTGTCCCGCTGACAGGCCCCATGGGCCTGCATGACCCTCTGATGGACCCCACGGGTTTGCACGATTCTTTTACAGGCCCTGCGGGGCTGCATGACTCTCTAATAGGCCCCAGCGGTCCACCTGACTCGATGACGGGTCACACCGTCCCGCAAGACTCTCTCTGACGAAGCCCACACGGTCTTCACATTGCGTGCGGCCTCGCGTGGACGGACTGGTGTCCGTGTGGGCCGTGAGTTTGGCTCGGTTCTAAGCTCCTGGATCACGGCGGTTAAGAGTGGAGGTCATGGAGTCATGGATTGTGGTTGTAGGGGTCACTGCAGGTGCTCGGTCGGAGTTTGGGAGCCTCAGTTTTACAGGAATTGAGAAACACTTCAGCAAAACAGGGAATACAGTAACAATTACTGTCGCATCGATTGGGCACTGCTGGTGTAATTTGATACATTTGACTTGTTATGGCTATTTTAATTGTGCCTTGGGTGTTTTTTGCTGGGGGTTTTTGTCACTCATTTTATTTTCGTGGGTTTTGTGGACGAGCAGAGTGGCTCCAAGTGACGGGTTCAGGTCCCATTCATACGCGTTTGAAACCGTTGAAACGTTTTCATTTACAGTTTAGAACTTGAGTCAAAAGTTATTAAATTATATTATCGACAGAACTTTTTGCCGTCTTGTTTGTTATTTGCCCATTCTTGTCGGTCTCAAATCCTTCTTTGGTCTTTCCTCCCAATACTTTAGTTTTTTTAAGTCAATGGAAACCGCGCCTCGCCGTCGCTGAAAATCCACAGTGAAGTGGGAAGGCAGCCAGGCCGCTTGCCGTCGCCTTACATTGCCCAAGCTTTTGCAGTCCTCTATTCATGAAGATGTTTTCAGCCAATGGCAATGGGCGTTTATACAATTTATTATATTGTGCCCAATGATGGCATCACGTCACAGGGTGAAGATTCCAAGCGGAAGTCGCCCACGGGACGGTGCGACATATTTGAGAATGTAAAGGAACATCCTTCGCCTTAGAGTAATACGTGTCGTGCCATGCACGTGGTAAACTCGTGAATTTCCATTGGTTGTCGCTGCGCTCCTCCAACACCGCTCACTCTCAACCGCCCTGGTCCCGTCATGGCAGTGTGGAATTTCCCTCCACTTGGAAATGAGCGCCGCCCCACGGCAGCCACCGACGCAGAGCTCCCCGAGCACGAATATGATGCGTACCCATCGCTCATTAGCATATGCAAATGAGGCTTAGTGAACACAATCTTGATTTGAAGCTTTCGTGACTGCAGGAATCCACACTGTCTGGTTCTTACGGTAAAGTCACGTGGATAGATAAAATAATAAATAATGAAATAAAACGACGTTTCGGTCGCAACACAAGCATCCGTCTTCAGGTGCTAGAGGAAGGGCCTTTGCTATTGATGCCCCCAGGGTCTGGAATGCCATCGCCAATAAACTGCAACTTGGATCACTACCCGTGAGATCTCAAAACTGCTCTAGAGTTTACACTATGGGGACCTCATTTGCCAGTAAAAATATGATAATTGGTTCTTTACCCTTCTATCTGGCAACAAAACTGACACCTTTTTGCAAGGAGTCATGTTTGCATAGACCGCAATACCTGCAGTCATAATACAAACAAAAGAACATAACTCTGATAATGTGCACTGTCCTTGAAGTTGAATGGTCCACACCCGAGACAGCTTTCCTTAGAGCCTAGTCTCATATGGGTTGGACCAGATGACGCCAAAAGGCGCATTTTGGCTCTAAGGAAAGCTGTCTCGGGTGTGGACCATTCAACTTCAAGGACAGTGCACATTATCAGAGTTATGTTCTTTTGTTTGTATTATGACTGCAGGTATTGCGGTCTATGCAAACATGACTCCTTGCAAAAAGGTGTCAGTTTTGTTGCCAGATAGAAGGGTAAAGAACCAATTATGCTCTAGAGTTGTACACCCCTAGCTGACACTGCTGCTATTCAGTGGCTTGAAATCAAATGTTTCGCTCCGGATGACCGCTGCAAAGTATGATCTTGTGTTTTGATAATAGTGTGCTGATCTTAAAGGTGCTTTGACAATTTTTGATACTCCTACTGATACTCCTGCTGTTATGGAGTGACTCATGCAACCAGCTATGGCTGCAAAGTTTGATAGTACATGTTATGTATATCGTTTATTGTCAAATTTCAATCACAGTTGCTGTGATCACTGTTGCATTGCTTTTATAGTTTTATTTTGGCGATTTCGAAAACGTTTTGGTTTAGCCATATTTGTTTGTTGTAGCACAGAGTTAGACTGATAACTTTAATTTAAATTGTCTTATGGTTGTTATTGTTTGACTTGCATCCCACTGGGGTTTTTGCACACAGCATTGATATACGGTGCTTTTTCTGGAAGACTGCTGTTTTTTCCTGGATTTTTCTGTTTGCGTGTAGTCACTTTGAGATGTTTTCTTGTTCATGTTTTTGTTTGTTGCGGTTGCACCCGATTCAAGAGCCGAATGGCTCACAGGGCTTTACCAAATAAATGAAACTAAACTGAAAAATTATCTGCTGTTGTGGCTTTATACCGGCACGGGAGGGGAGAGGGAAGGAGTTTGTCTGTGGGAGTTCACAGGGGAGAGGGGGGAGAGTTTGTGGCGTGCTTGAACGGGTGGGGCTCGAGAAATTAGCAAGTAAATGGACTTGTAGTACAAGTCGTAATCGGACGACGACAACCGGGTGGGTGAGTGAACATCAGAGCAGTTAAAACTTGACGTGGTTTCATATTCTTGGATCTTTCGGTAAAGTCACGTAGAAGGGAAATAATAAAATAATACGAATTCTAATGTTTTATTTTTATTATTTTGTTATTTCCCTTCTCCGTGACTCTACCGAAAGATCCAAGAATATGAATCCCTGCAGTCACGAAAGCTTTAAATCTTAACTTCACGTGGTTTATCCAATGATCGCTCAATCGGTGGTTGTGGGGTGGGGGTTACGCCGAATCGCGTTTTGACGCGGCCTGGCCACCGTAGCGTGAATCGCCGCACACGCGATTCACTCGGCATGTCGAATCCTAAATCGATTCCTCCCACCGGTCTTTCACCATGGAGATTGAGGAATCGATCCCGCCAATCGAAAAACTTCGAACATACAAATCGGAATCGAAACGCGGAGTTCGGCGCGGAGGTTTGTGAAGCTGAGGTTCTTTGAGCGGGTAAGGTCGCCACTCGCTCACCTCGCTCTTCCAACCTGACCCCCCCCCCTACCCTGACCCCGCTCCCCCCTGCCCTGACCCCCCTCCCCGCTCCCCCGACCCTGACCCCGCTCCCCGCCCCCACTACCCTGACCCCGCTCCCCCCTACCCTGACCCCGCTCCCCCTACCCTGACCCCGCTTCCCCTACCCTGACCCCGCTCCCCCTACCCTGACCCCGCTTCCCCTACCCTGACCCCGCTCCCCCTACCCTGACCCCGCTCCCCCCTACCCTGACCCCGCTCCCCCTACCCCGACCCCGCTCCCACCTACCCTGACCCCGCTCCCACCTACCCCGACCCCGCTCCCCCTACCCCGACCCCGCTCCCACCTACCCTGACCCCGCTCCCCCCTACCCCGACCCCGCTCCCCCTACCCCGACCCCGCTCCCACCTACCCCGACCCCCCTCCCCGCTCCCCCTACCCTGACCCCGCCCCCCCTACGCTGACCCCGCTCCCACCTACCCTGACCCCACTCCCACCTACCCCGACCCCGCTCCCCGCTCCCCCCTACCCTGACCCCGCCCCCCCTACGCTGACCCCGCTCCCTCCTACGCTGACCCCGCTCCCCCTACCCCGACCCCGCTCCCACCTACCCCGACCCCCCTCCCCGCTCCCCCCTACCCTGACCCCGCCCCCCCTACGCTGACCCCGCTCCCCCCTACCCTGACCCCCCTCCCCGCTCCCCCCTACCCCGACCCCGCTCCCACCTACCCAGACCCCGCTCCCCCTACCCTGACCCCGCTCCCCCCTACGCTGACCCCGCTCCCCCTACCCTGACCCCCCTCCCCGCTCCCCCCTACCCTGACCCCGCCCCCCCTACCCTGACCCCGCTCCCCCCCTACCCTGACCCCCCTCCCCGCTCCCCCCTACCCTGACCCCGCTCCCCCGACCCCGCTGCCCGCCCCCCCTCCCCTGACCCCCCTACCCTGACCTCGCTCCCACTACTCTGACCCCGCTCCCCCCTACCCTGACCCCGCTCCCCCCTACCGTGACCCCGCTCCCCCTACCCCGACCCCGCTCCCCCCTGCCCTGACCCCGCTCCCCCCTACCCTGACCCCGCTCCCCCTGCCCTGACCCCGCTCCCCCCTGCCCTGACCCCGCTCCCCCACTACCCTGACCCCGCTCCCCCCTGCCCTGACCCCGCTCCCCCACTACCCTGACCCCGCTCCCCCTACCCTGACCCCGCTCCCCCCTGCCCTGACCCCGCTCCCCCACTACCCTGACCCCGCTCCCCCCCCTACCCCGACCCCGCTCCCCCCCTACCCCGACCCCGCTCCCCCCCTACCCCGACCCCGCTCCCCCCTTACCCCGACCCCGCTCCCCCCTACCCCGACCCCGCTCCCCCCTGCCCTGACCCCGCTCCCCTTACCCCGACCCTGCTCCCCCTACCCTGACCCCGCTCCCCCCTGCCCTGACCCCGCTCCCCCACTACCCTGACCCCCCTCCCCCCCTTCCCCGACCCCGCTCCCCCCTGCCCTGACCCCGCTCCCCCCTGCCCTGACCCCGCTCCCCCACTACCCTGACCCCGCTCCCCCCCTACCCCGACCCCGCTCCCCCCTGCCCTGACCCCGCTCCCCCTACCCCGACCCTGCTCCCCCTCACCCTGCTCCCTTCTCCCCTGATCCCGCTGCCCCTTCCTAACCCTGCTATCCCCTCCCTTCAACCCACTCCCCCCTCGCCTTTCCCTGGTCCCCCCTCTCCTGACCCCGCTGCCCCCTCTCATGACCCTGACACTTCCTGACCCTCCTGACATGCTCCTCATGCTTCTCATAGCTGTTGCCTCCTGCTGTTCCTCCTCATCGTGAAGCAGGAAGTGAATGATGGTGGAGTCTGTGCCAAGCAGCGAGCGTCTCTGTCTCCGCAGACGTCAGTTGACGATGGCGGTGACCTTGGCCATCCCGGTGACCTTGGCCATCCCGGTGGCGGTGCCGGCGGCGCCGGACCCGCGCGCGGACTTCCCCGCGTGGCTCTCGGCCCAGGGCATGAAGCTGCCCTTCGCCCAGGCCATGGAGCGGGAGCTGGGGATCGGCGACTACGAGGACCTGCTGGCGTGCGCCGAGGACGCGCAGGTCACCCTGGAGCTGCTGGCCACGGCGCGCCAGCGCCTGCCCTTCGCCCTCTACGCCGCCCTGCGCCGCGTCGTCAAGGCGGCCGGGGCGAGCGTGGGCACCGCGGGGAGCCAAGGGGCTGGGTGGCCACTGCACGAGGGTGCCCAGCCCGGCCTGGCTGCGCTGCTCGACGCCATCGTGGCCACGCTGCAGACGCTGGGCCAGGAGCTGTTGCAGTCGGCGCTCAGGTTCAGCCGACTCGACCAGGCGCTGGGACCCGGGGACGGCGCTGCGATCAGCCCTCAGGGTGCGCGGGCTCCCCTGTACCACGTGCACTCCGTCTGTGGCCGGGCAACATCGGGAGAAGCAGCGCCAGTAGTGTTAGCAGTGGCATCAACATGACACCTGACTCTTGCTACATTATCGAGATCACTGGAACCCGGGCTGTCTCAGCGATCAAACTGGAATTGGTCATCTCATGCTTCATTTCCACGGTCACTGGCATTGACCTGGGAGAAAGCATGTGGCTCAATATGAAAAGGGAGCAACAGGCATGCTTAGCAACTTGCTTTGTGATGATTTTGTGCTGTAAGACTGCAGTGGGAATCCAGGCTGAGCCCACCAGCCCGGCTCAGAAACCAGCTCACTTCCTAGTGGGCATGAACCTATAGCATCTGTGGCCCAGGTCGCTCTCAGGTTAATAAAGGGTTTGGTGCTTTTGATGAGATTTGCTCCCTGCCCCCCGTCCCCTCCTCCCGCAGAGCGGTCGGAGCGACAGGACGCCGACCCCATCGACCCCCCGGCGGAGGAGCTGGGGCCCCAGGATGTCAACACGCAGCTGGAGCCGGGCATCGGCAGCCCCGCCGCGTGGGGCGGCGTTGTGGTGAAGATGGAGCGCGTCGATGGCGAGGAGGCGGACTACGGGCTGGGCTGGGGGCGGTCGGGGTCGCACGCCGGCGATGAGATGCTCGAGCAAGAGATCCTGCGAGGAGCCGGTCTTTACGCGCCTCCCACGGATGACGCCCTGCCCTCGACTCTGGTGCTGCCGGTGGATTTTCCCACGGGACGCCGATTGGCGGAGCACGACGTCCCGACGGGCGCTAGCCCCGAGAAGTCGGAGCGGTGGCAGTGCTGGCACTGCGGGAAGGCGTTCCGCAAGAAGTCTGACCTGGTGCGCCACGTGCGCGTGCACACGGGGGAGCGGCCATACGCGTGCGGCCTGTGTGACAAGCGCTTCAACCAGCCCGGCACGCTGTCCTCACACCGGCGCTTGCACACCGGCGAGCAGCCGTACACGTGCCTGGTGTGTGGCAAGAGATTCTCACAGACGTCTGGCCTCAACCGCCACCGCAAGACGCACCACGTCCTGCCAGATTCGTTCTGATGAGCACCGCTCAGGCCTGGCTCTTTTGAAGCCTTGCATGGACCACCAAGGGTGCATATGAGCATTGATCCCAGCCTGGTGTGTGTGTGTGAGGTGTTGTGTCCGGCCCCTGTAATGAAACGGAGTTGACCCTCTTGAACTCGTGTATGTGTTCACAGCCGCATGTAATCCAAGTGGGGTTTTCTGTTTTTGGGCCACATGTGGAGAACTTGTTTGGCGGGCATCTTCAAGAGTTGAGGGACAAAAATGCTCAGCACTCGGCACAACTCGGACAACCACACTGGGAAATGACCCCCGTTTGGTGCTGGGGTCAGGGTCACGGTGGTCGTGGTTATGGTGGTTTGCGTCGCAGAGGTCGAGTTTGTTGATGTGCGGGCCCCCGGGGTCTCCGTTTGACAGAACCTGAGAGATGGTGCGGCAAGACTGCGAACACCTCATAGTTGGCGTTAAAAAAAACCCAACATGTTTGTCAATAACGCTGTGGTCGCGAAAGGAAAAATATAGTAGGTGACGTTTCAGGCATTGGCCCTTTTCATAGCACGTAAAGGTAACAGTTACTGTTACCTCGCTACTGATTTACAAGGCCATTTGGTAAACTCACTTCTCCACCGCTGTTATTGTACCATGTTAGTCATGGGGGGTTTATTTTTGTAAATTGTAACACGGTTGATTTTGATGTTTCGTTATTGCAGTTCATTTGATTTGATTTCACACGCGACGAGAATTGGAGTGGCGCACAGCCGATGTCTAGTCAACGCGTAAGACATTGCGGCGACGGTAACGGACAGCCTAGGATGTCTCCACTTTCACCATCGCTTAAGTAGGCACAGGACCCACCGAGGGAAGGAGTTTCAAGTTGAATTTGTTTAACCCAGGGTGCGAGAACTCGAAGAGACCAGGACAGAGTCTCGTTTGCAAGCGTTGACCCGGGTCACCAAAATGACAAAACGAAAACAATAAAAATCGGAACAAAAAGAAACTGCATCGCATAATGAGGAATCTGAACACATCACAATTTGGAATCAACGTTACTGTAAATATTAAATTCTCTGCAGCACAAATCGGCTCAGGCAGATCACCAGGTTGAACACCGTGCAAATAAAACTAAGTAACAGAAACATTCAACAGTTATACGGTGTAAAGCTTTCGTGACTGCAGGGATTCATCTTCTTGGTTCATTCGGTAAAGTCACGTAGAAGGGAAATAATAAAATAATAAAAATAAAACATAAAATAATTCTCACGACGTTTCGGCCACAACGCAAGCAGCCGTCCTCAGGTGAAGAACAGGTCTGTCGGAAAGAATGACGCTGTCTTTCCGACGCTGTCTTTCCGACAGACCTGTTCTTCACCTGAGGACGGCTGCTTGCGTTGTGGCCGAAACGTCGTGAGAATTATTTTATTATTTTATTTTTATTATTTTATTATTTCCCTTCTACGCGACTTTACCGAAAGAACCAAGAAGATGAGTTATACGGTGGTTATAATACTAATATGTAAACAAACATACGTTAAAATCCTGCGATGGACAGTCATGCTTTCCCACACCTCTGATTAGCACGGTTGATTACGTATGATGCGAAAGAAGTTCATCATACAGAGGTGTGTTGCTTTTCAAGTTAAAAGCCGACGGAGCCACTTGTGATTTGGGAGATTGGATTCTAGAAATACGGTTTTTCCTGCTCTAGCAGAGGATGAGTGGAAGAAATGAAGCGTTGTGGGGCATTCGTTTACGATAGCCGAGTTGAAATCGCGATTAGATTTTGTTTTTAGCAATAAACTAAGGTGAGAGATTCAAATAGAAACGACTCTACTCTACTATTTATACTTTTTATTTTATTGTACCAGCTAAGAGCCACTGAGCTCTCAGCATTTTTTCAGAAGTATGCCTAGCCACATGAAAGCTCAACGAAGTGGCGTCACATCACGTGGAAATTTACAGCAGCCAAACACTCGAAACGCATGCTGCTAAATGTGGAGGGAATAACCAGAGGACCCGGAGAAAAATCACGAGACCACGGGGAGAGAGACACGCAAACCTGGCGTCAGGGTTTGGATCGAACCCACGACCTGCATACCAGGCGAAGTCGTTAACATCTCGCCACCGTGTCGCCTATCTCGCTTATCTCGCCACCGTGAGCCACTGAGGCACCTCCCGCCACTGCAACAGTGGTTGTCCTATGATTAGACTCGCCTCCGCCATGGGAATGTGGAATTGACACCACTTGCTCAGGGCTGCAAACAGGAATTGGGAACTGCGTCAGTGCCCATTTGAACAGGAAGTCGACAACTTTTTTAAACACATTCCTGCGGAGGGAGCTGGTAGGAACGTTGGGTTGCTCGGTCAATGGCCAGGGTCAACGGCGGCGTGGTGTATTCCGCAAATATGCCCGACTGTGAGGGCGGGCACAAGCCGGCGTGAGTAGGTTAAATGTTGAGTTTTATAAGGGCACCACGGGGTGACCAGCCCCTCCCCACCCAGCCCCACCCCTCCCACCCAGCCCCTCCCTGTGGGCTGGTGTAACCAGGAGGTTCCTACCAGTATTATCATACACTATGGGAACCTCATTTGCCAGTAAAAATATGATAATTGGTTCTTTACCCTTCTATCTGGCAACAAAACTGACACCTTTTTACAAGGAGTCATGTTTGCATAGACCGCAATACCTGCAGTCATAATACAAACAAAAGAACATAACTCTGATAATGTGCACTGTCCTTGAAGTTGATTAGTCTCATATGGGTTGGACCAGATGACGCCTTTTGGCTGTCTCGGGTGTGGACCAATCAACTTCAAGGACAGTGCACATTATCAGAGTTATGTTCTTTTGTTTGTATTATGACTGCAGGTATTGCGGTCTATGCAAACATGACTCCTTGTAAAAAGGTGTCAGTTTTGTTGCCAGATAGAAGGGTAAAGAACCAATTATCAGTATTATCATGTCAATGAGCTTGAATTGGTAACCAAAAACAAGAAAACAAAAACGACACGGGTGGGTGAGTGAAAATCACAGCGGTTAAAACTTGACGTGTCTTATCACGTCCTTCTGATGATTGCTCAATCTGAATCCATCTTCTCGATTAAAGTTTTGTCTGTGTTTGTATATCTGGATGGCTTCATGAACAAATCTCTGATGGTAGCCCGAGGGTTTGCAGAGCACCTTGGTAGACCTTTTATTATTATTTTCTATCTACGTGACTTTACCCAAAGAACCAGAGAGTGCCTGTTTTTATTTGCCAGAAAGGGTAACATTTTTATTTAGTTTAGTTTTTTTTCTTGTTTAAGGGCTTCAGGACTCGGAAAATGGGGGGAGGGGGCGAGAAAAACCGCCCGGCTCCCTCCACTTCCTCGCCCTTCAATTAGCCGCTAATTATCATATCGGTCATTTGCATAAGTTTACATATATGCAAATGAGAGTTGATTACCAATCATCACAGCACGTGGGCTGGGGAGGGGGGGGGGGAATCGCGGAATCGCGACGCGCCAACCGACCACCCGAATCGATTCGCCCACTCCGGCCAACTCCTCGGCGCGTCGATTCGCGTGGGCGACGTCGATTCCCCACGGTGTGACCGGAGCCGCGGAAATCGATCCGCAATTTAGTCGATCGCCAAAGGAATCGGAATCGAATTTGCGGCGTTCAGGGCGGGGGCGCTTGCGCTCGAGGTGAGGACTCGTGGTGACCCCCCCTCCACCCCCCCTCCACCCCCACCATCCCTTCCTTGTGCCTGTAGACGGGTTCTCAAGGTGACCCCCTTTCTCAGCTCCTCGCGGGGGGGGGGGGGGGGGGTCCTTGGGGGTCGGCGGTGCGGTTCCGATGGATCCCGAGGCCGGGCCCGATCCTGGGCCTAAAGGGTCCTGATCGATATTTCCTCTTCCTCTACCCCCCCCCACCACCGCCACCGCCTGCCCCACGTCCTCCTCCCCCACCCCCCACCGCCCTAACCCCCCCTCCCTACCCCCCCACTTCCCTCCTCCTCCGCCTTCCTACCCCCAGTGGCGTCACTAGGGGGGGGGGGTGACACCATCAGAGGGGGTGTTCCAGCAGACATTGATTCTATTTTTTAATAAAACATCCCAGCAGTTATAACAACAACAAACATTTTCGTAAGCCCAGCTTACACGTACTGTATCGATATACCTACAAGGCTAAATCTCTGTGCTAATTCACTTTTTTAACCTTCGAATGCGCTCCGGTCAGACGCTGTCATGGTTACCCAGCGACTACTGTGACGCCACGAGTCACGTGGTCTCGTCTGCACGTGCCGCGAGCACGTGCTGCTGTGTTCGTCGCTGCGCGTGTTTTTATAGTCGCTGGTTTTGTCAAATGTTCTGGTGTTTTAGCTACAATATTGTGGTGATTAGTATTTGTGAATCTATATCAATTACTTTTTTGAGAATTAAGTCGTAATTAAAGGTAAAGGAGAAGAATAAAAAAAGGGTTCTGCTCAGTTACCAATAATGTAACTAATGTTGTTATTCAATGTAGAAATATTTAACTAAACAATATTAGTATTCATATAGTTTAAGAAATATTACATTTAAGCTATTTAAATGGCACCATGAGTTACCGCACTGGGTGACACCAACCCTAGTGATGCCCCTGCATACCCCTCTCTCATTTTTACCCCACCTCCCTGCCCTTCTTTCCTCTGCCCCTTGCCCTCTGCACACCCCCCCCCCCCCCCCCGCACTTGACCTGCCCTCGTGTATCTCTCTCTACCCCTGCCCTTCGCGCTCCCGCGACAGCCATGCTTCATCGTGCAGTGCAAGTGGGTTTATTGGGTTCGGTTGCAGTTGGGGCGGTGTTGTTGACTCAACCCCATTATCACCCCCCGGCGTCGCAAACATGATCGCCAACTTCGTGGCGAAGTCGACACTGGTACTCTGGAAAGACTCGCCCGCGACATAGGAATGTGAAATTTTTACCGATGACTTGGGCTCTAAAAGAGGTGATGAGCACGGCTTCAATGCTCGTTTGCGCAGGACATTACTTTGACTTGCTTTCACGGTTAATGTGGGCGTTGTGGCTAGAGTTGTGTGAGTTGCACTGCATGGGAGGCGCAGTTCACCAACACGGCAAGTAACACATTTTGCAACCGGTCAGCAGGGATCAAGTTCCGTGTCGTCTCCTGAAGCCGATGCCGCCTGTTGGGACTTCTCGTCGTGGACGAGGGTGGAGTCTGTAACCGGCACCGCGCTCCTCTGTCCCCGCAGACTTCGACTCGCGATGGCGGTGGCGATGCTGAGCGGCAGCAGCGCGGCGTTGCCAGGACCGGACCCGCGGGCGGACTTCCCCGCGTGGCTCTCGGCCCAGGGCATGAAGCTGCCCTTCGCCCAGGCCATGGAGCGGGAGCTGGGGATCGGCGACTACGAGGATCTGCTGGCGTGCGCCGAGGACGCGCAGGTCACCCTGGAGCTGCTGGCCACGGCGCGCCAGCGCCTGCCCTTCGCCCTCTACGCCGCCCTGCGCCGCGTCGTCAAGGCGGCGGCCGGAGCGGCCGAGGACTCCTCGGGGAGCCGGAGGGCTCGGGAGGGAATGGGATGTGAGAACCCCCTGGCCCTGCGAGACCTCCTCGACATGATCGTGGCCATGCTGCAGACGCTGGGGCAGGAGCTGCTGCAGTCGGCGCACAAGTTTGGGTCGCTGGACCCGGCGTTCAGTGGTGTCCGTGATCCCGTGCGCGACGCCAGCCCCTTCCCGAGCCCTGTCGTCACAGGCGCTGACAACGCACCAGGTGGGGTCATGCCTGTGTCACCCTGACTAAAATAATCAACCATCCATCCCGGCACCAGAAGTACCACCATAGTAAACAACACTACCACCAACACTTGTGTCTCTTGCTGTCATCGTCATGATTACAGTTCTGGCGCAGATTTTTACAGATGTAGTTCACGTGTACCTATATTCTTGGTTCTTTCGGTAGATATAAAAACATGTGTACCTGTTGTCTGTGTGTGTAATATATATATATATCTACTTGTGGGGAGCAGTAGTAAAGTGGTTAACACACTGTGCTACGAAACTGGCAACCTGCCTGCAGTCTATTTCCACCAAGGGCCAACATCAGTGGCAGCTATCTGAACCAGTTCTGGGCCTCCTGTACTCAACTCAGCATTCAAAATGAGTACCTGGTGACGTCCATAAACACCATCACTGGCTATACATAGGTGCCTGGGCGTGTTGCTAGCCAAACCACCCCCTCGTGTCGTGAGCCGTGGCAGCCTTCCCTGGTGTTCAATAACGGCACTTGCCCCAGCAGCCTGTGTTGGATACACGGGGGATCTTTGTGTGCCCGTGTGGTGTGCAGATGCTGCAGAAGTGATAAGCGAGGAGTTGCTGGGGCAGGCGTCGCCATGCAGGGATGAACCGAGCCCCGTGGCTGTGAACGAGCGCCATCTGCCGCGGATGTGGATGCTCAACGACGTGGTGGACGATGGCTCCCCACCCCTCGGTGAGGCCTCAGGATGCGAGGTGGACGTGGGGTGGACGTGGGGTGGACGTTAGTGTCACCGCAGCCACAAGCGTGTGGTCATGATGGAACAGGTGATTTGATAAATTGTCATGATTAGAAGTCTGATTCAAGAATACAAAATTTCTCTTGTCTTGTTTGTACAGTCAAATTCACTTCATCAGCCTAATTGAACATTAGTTGTAATTTACATAAATCAATTTCGGAATCTGAATCATAAGAATCTATTTTAATTGATGCATGATTTCACATCTTGGCCTGAAAGCAGTGAGTGAATGTTGTGTGTTGTGATTGGCTCGTTAGCCACTTGTGACCCAGGGGATGAGGAGGGGCAGCTGGAGGCTGGGGTCCTGGAGGACGAGGTGGTGGAGCATGAGGCAGAGCACATCTCCTTGCAGGACCTGCGGGGCCAGGGCCCCGAGTGGGGGCCACAGGGCCCGGGCAGGGACGTGCGGCCGATGTGGGCCAACATGGACATCAAGACGGAGAAGATGTGGGAAGGTGGGTCCCTGCCGAATCTCCGGGAGACATCACGGGGCCCACTCCACACGCTTCGATTGCCAGTAACTTTGGTGACGTGTGCGGGAGGTTAGCGGAAACGTGACGACCGCTGTGGACGTTGCAGACGGCGTATTGTCGTCATTCGCTTTGGTAGGCCATAGCGTGCTGGGGGATCTCTGTGTGTTCAGAGTTGGAGGGCCCGAGGGACGAGGACATCGCAGACATTTGGCCGGAAGTGAAGTTGGAGACTGTGGAGTCGCAGCACGTGTGTGCCGGTATGCGAGGAAACGCACGCGCACAAACACACCACATGTACACACTTGCACAACACACACATACAACACGTACACAGTGGTTGTGGTGTTGATAGTATGTATGGGGTTGTAGGTGGCGATGATATTGGTGATAATGGTGTTGGTAGAATGTAAATAGTAGTGGTAGTGTTGCCGGTCGTGACGACGATAATGGTGGTGTTGGTGATGTGGTGATGATCGTGCTGGTGGCAATGGTGGTGATCTAATTGGTGTTATTGGTGATGGTAAAAGTGATGTTGTTTTAGGTGATCGTTGTGTGTGCGGTTATGGTGGTGGTAGTAGTGTTGGTGTCTGTGATGGTATCAGTGATGGCGTTGCGGTTATACCGCAGGTAACGACAGCTGCCCAGGTACCAGGGAGGCCGTGTTGAGGGCCCCGACACCAGCACCCATGCTGGGCCCTCCTCTCCAGCACCAGCAGCTGCCAGTGTTGCTCCCGAGCCGGCGCGAAATGCTCCTCGGGGCCCCACTTCGCCGCCACTACCAGCGCCACCTTCCCAAGAAGCAACACCAGCAGCGGCGCAGGCATCAGAGCGTGGGGTGGCCGGGCAGAGCGGCGGCTGCTTCCAGCGGTCCTGGTGAGGCTGGCAGAGCCGGTGAGCCCGACGGGGAGGGGAGCGGCACTGGCCGCGGCCAGGGCGCATACTCGTGCGACCAGTGCGGACGGCGCTTCACGCAGTCGAGCAACCTGAGCCGGCACCGGCGCACCCACACGGGCGAGCAGCCGTACCGGTGTGAGGAGTGCGGCAAGCGCTTTTCACAGTCGTCCAACCTCACACGCCACATTCGCACGCACCTGCGCTGGCACCACCTCATCAAGCACGAACAGCAGCAGCAACAGCATCATGAACAGCAGCAACAGCACATTGGGATAGCAGAACTCATGGCTGAGCTCACGTGACGGGGCCCTGCCCACTGCTGTCATTTTTCCGATCACCATAAACGTCAGAGGACTCTTAAGGCTTCCTGTTCTTCTGGCCCTTGCCGCCTGCCTCATCGAACGATCTCCAGGCCTAGTTGGTGTAATTTATTTGGACGCTCCGCGTTATATGGATACCTCGTCACAGACGGCTGGAGTTGGCAGTTGATGGTGAACGTGAGATCATGGAGGAGCGAAGATGGCACTTATTGGGAGGGGCACTGCGCCGATGGTGCCTGGGGCTCATGATGATGGTGACGGTGATGATGGACAGAGTTTAATCCCCACAAAGGCGGACGTTCTGGTTCGTTTTTGCCACAGCAAGATATTTTTGTAAGCGGTAGTGTTTGGGTTCGGAAGCTGAGACCAAAGCCTTTGAAAATGTGTTTAACCGACTGGAGTTCAAAGTAAGATGAGAATGATGTATACTGACTGGGAAAGTTTCTGGAGAGGCACGTCATAGACACTGTGGTTCATTAAGGACAAAGGAGTTCAAATGTTGACAAATTAAGAAAAAATGATAATCGGGGACTGTTGAAAAAGGCACTTTGAGAAACTCATAAATGAAGAGAACCCTATAGAAAGTTGTAGCAAAAAGGCAATAAACCAATGGTGTGAGTAGAACCGATAGGGGAGAAAGTGGGTGATGCCCTTGGTAGGAGGAAGAGTTTAATATAGAGATTACCAACAGGAAAGCACTGGGGATCGAAGGCATGCGCCGCCTAACCCAACTCTTGTAACAAGTTCAGAATGCAGGAAGCCTGGATGGGCGGAGGCATAATGCACATGCATAATGCACATGCATAATGTACGGTTGCCTCAGTAATCCCACCCCGCCGCCCATCATTGTGCAAGAGCGCAGAAGGGTGGTCAACACATCTACGCCTCTATAAGGAACGAAACAGCTAGACTTCACAAATCTGGCTGTCGCCTGATGAAGCTATTTGTAATTATTGGCGAAACGTACTCAGATTGTAAATGTTGTGGCTTGGCTCTCCAACACACCGGTGTGCTGTACTAATGACGAATTGGCATGTTCTGTTTGCGTGACAAACTTTACTAGTCGGGTGGTGGCGGGTTTTAACGACACATTTACGCGATCTAACCCAAAAACTTCTATCATGAATGGTTACCCATATTCAAGAAGAATTGAGATGCACAATGGAGGCATAAAGCTTACGAGCCACTCCTTGAAGCTATGTAAGAGGACGATCGATCGTAGACTGAGACGTGAAGTTTAAATTGGCGACACTTTGGCTTCATGCCGGGCAGGTAAACAAAAGATACGATCTTTAAGGTATGGCTTCTGGTAGAGCAGTACAGGTAGAAATGGAAAAAAATCTCCACCTTGTGTTCGTTGAGTACCGAGAGAAGTAAGATGATGGTGCGTGAGGCAGCGACTATTACCGAAACTATACTTGAAGTTTGTGCAAAACAATTAAGGGATGACGACGAGGGAATAATTCACGGTTAGAGTTAAGCAAGAGTTGGTTTAGAGCCCATTCCTTTTCGCGCTGTTCCTAAATACATTCTCGAAGGAAAGATAACGGGATGTCCCCTGGGGTACGTTTTTAGTGAAGAGGTGAAACGACATGGAAGCATGGCGGTACACTCTGGAGTGGCATTGTTTACGTATATATGTTGAACTTTTTTTGCACCGTACATAGCAGACCGTGCAAATCGGAGGTGCGTATCAGCAAGAAGTACATGTCGTGCATTTTCAAAGGAGAACGACTGAAACCGGCAAGTGAAACTGGTTGGATAGATCGATGAAGAGATCATCAGCAGAATAAACGAGGCAAAGATGGAAGTGGTGTGCGACAAGAAAATGCAAATTCATCTTAAGAGAATGGTGGATAAGGTGGTGATGAGGCCATCATTCATGGATGACTCGAGAGCTGAACACTAAAGAAATGGGAAGAAAGTCGGAAAGCATTTGAATGAAAGTTCAGATCATGAAAATTGTGTGAAGGAGAAAGCTCTTAGAAGACAGAAGTTGTCAGCAAGAACATGAGAACTTGCAGTGTTACTGTGCAGATGGCGATAGATCAAAGACTGCGGAGAGAGAGGACTTGGAAATGGGCCCTACCTAGTGGGACAAATGATCGAAAGGTGGTGTTTGGTTTAAATTAAATTCAATGCTTTTCGAGGTTTTAAAAACGTTCCGCCAAATAAAAACGTGTTCTTATCAAAGTATGTTCGTGGTCTTGGTGTGAGGGTGAGAAAGAGAGGCTGGAGGGGGCCATTGCCTCGGCTGACACCTGGAACGCGGCTTAGGGGTCCTCTATTGAGTGGGGTTCTTTCCAGTTCCTCTGTGGTCCATAATCCAGGTGTTTTGATATAAAGCTTTCGTGACTGCAGGGATTCATCGTCTTGGTTCTTTCGGTAAAGTCACCTAGAAGGGAAATAATAAAGTAATAAAAATAAAACATAATTTAAAGTATTTTGATATTATTTTATTATTTTTATTTCTATTATAAAAATAAAACAATAAAATAATATTTTTTTAATATTATTTTTTTAAATATTTTATTGTTTTATTTGTATTATTTCCCTTCTACGTGACTTTACAGAAAGAACCAAGAAGATGAATCCAGATGTTTTTTTGGGGCTATATCGCGTAAATATAAATGTGTGGTTGCACCCGCCACAGCCAATTAGTAAAGGGTTTGTCACATAAGCAAAACGTGCAAATCCGTTACTCGTACAGCACGCCCGAACATTTACATTTGGCTGTCGGGTGGTGGCGGGTTTAACGACATTAATATTAACGCGACCTAACCCGAAAACCTCTGATGGATAATGTTGGTCGTGAAATCCTTCTGCGTGTTAAACCAATTCGGGGTGTCACGTTAACAAAACGTCAAAATGCGTTACAAGTGCAGCACTAACGGGTTGGAGAGTAACCCGGCTAATTTACCTTTCGAACATTTTGCACTCGTCTCGTGTTTTTTGTTTTGTTATCGTGACGTTCTGACCCTCCCTGACTGGACATTTGTGCGAGAGAGAACAAGAGCTTTATCGCTCTTCGGATTCCTCCGGTAGTAATACATCTTCTCATTCCGTGTCGATCGTGTCACGTCCCCGAGGCCTCTGGCCTGCAGGCCCCAGAGGCCTGGGCCTGCAGGCCCCGAGGCCTCTGGGCGCCTGCAGACTCAGAGGCCTCTGGCCTGCAGGCCCCGAGGCCTCTGGGCCTGCAAGCCCCGAGGCCTCTGGGCATGCAGGCCCCGAGGCCTCTGGGCATGCAGGCCCCGAGGCCTCTGGGCGCCTGCAGACTCAGAGGCCTCTGGCCCTGCAGGCCCCGAGGCCTGGGCCTGCAGGCCCCGAGGCCTCTGGGCCTGCAAGCCCCGAGGCCTCTGGGCATGCAGGCCCCGAGGCCTCTGGGCATGCAGGCCCCGAGGCCTCTGGGCATGCAGGCCCCGAGGCCTCTGGGCGCCTGCAGGGCCCCGAGACCTGTGCCCTGCAGGCTCCAAGCCACTCGTTGCCATGGAGACGCCCAGAGGACCCCGGTCGCCAATTGGCGGCTGCCTCTCAGCAAGCGGCGCGCTCATTGGTCGAGAGCCGCGGCGAATGAGCGGGCGTCTCGCTGGAGCGGCGCGTGCACCTGGAGCAGCCGGAGCCACCGGGGTCGAGACGGAAAGGGGGCGAGCGGGGGGGGGGGCGAGCGGAGGGGGGGGGGCGAGCGGGGAGGGAGCAGAGAGGGGGGAGGGGGGAGGGAGGAGGGAGGGGGGAGGGAGAAGAGAGGGGGGAGGGGGGAGGGAGGAGGGCAGGGGGGAGGGAGCAGAGAGGGGGGGGAGCAGAGAGGGGGGAGGGGGAGGGAGCAGAGAGGGGGGAGGGGGGAGGGAGGAGGGAGGGAGCAGAGAGGGGGGAGGGGAGAGGGGGGAGGGAGGAGGGAGGGGGAGGGAGCAGAGAGGGGGAGGGGGGAGGGAGGAGGGCAGGGGGGAGGGAGCAGAGAGGGGGGGGAGCAGAGAGGGGGGAGGGGGGGGCAGAGAGGGGGGAGGGGGAGCAGAGAGAGAGGGGGGGGGGCAGAGAGAGAGGGGGGGGGGGGCAGAGAGAGAGAGGGGGGGGGGCAGAGAGAGAGAGGGGGGGGGGGCAGAGAGAGAGGGGGGGGGGCAGAGAGAGAGGGGGGGGCGAGGGGGGCCCTGAGTCGCGTGGGGGCAGCAGTGAATTGGGGGGGGGAGTCTAACAGAGGCGGTCGTGGGTATCGAGGGCAAGAGGGGAGGCGCAGGGAGGAGGGAGGAGCGGCGTCCACTGTGAGCACCGCGCGCGTGGAGGGGACCCTGGGGTAGCCGGGCCCCGCGTCAGGGGTCCCAGCCCGGCAAGGGGAGGAAGGGGACCCCCCCTTGGATCAAGCAGCAACGATGGCAGCAGCAGCGGCCGTGGCCGTGGCCCCTCGCGTGGACCCGCGCGCGGACTTCCCCGCGTGGCTGTCGGCCCAGGGCATGAAGCTGCCCTTCGCCCAGGCCATGGAGCGGGAGCTGGGGATCGGCGACTACGAGGACCTGCTGGCGTGCGCCGAGGACGCGCAGGTCACCCTGGAGCTGCTGGCCACGGCGCGCCAGCGCCTGCCCTTCGCCCTCTACGCCGCCCTGCGCCGCCTCGTCAAGACGGCGGCGGCGGCGGCCTCCTCCTCCTCCGCCTGCGTGGGGCCCGCGGGGGGGTCCCCACGGGGCCCCCCCGAGTGGCCGCTGCACGAGGCCGCCCAGCCCGGCCTGGCCGCGCTGCTCGAGGCCATCGTGGCCACGCTGCGCGGCCTCGGCCGCGAGCTGGAGGCGTCGGTGAGGAGGTTCAGCGCCCTGGAGGCCCTCGGGGCCTGCAGCCCCCCCGGGGGGGGAGGCAGCCCCCCCGGCGGGGGGAGCCGCTACCCCCACCGGGCCACCACGGAGCACAGCCCCCGTGAGAGACGCGCATCCATCGGCACCGAACACCGCCACTACCGTCACCACCACCCGCGTGCTCGTGGGGAGTCAATACCAGGGACGATTATCTGAACCCGGTCCTGGGATTACCCTAGGTCGACTCGGCCTTAAATGAGTAACCGGTGTTGTGTGTATACATCGCCGCTAGGGAGACAAAGGCGGCCGGGCGTGGTGTTAGCCACCCACCCTCTCGTGTGCCGTGGTGGCCTTTATAGGTGCTGGCTAACAGCACTTGCCCCTACAGTCTGTTAAGGCTATACGGGGGATCTATGTCTCATTGTAGGTGTGTGTAGGTGTGTGTACGGTGTGTGTGTAGTTGTGTGTGTGTAGGTGTGTGTGTACGGTGTGTGTAGGTGTGTGTGAATAGGTGTGTATGGTGTGTGTGTGTAGGTGTGTGGGTGTGTGTGTGTAGGTGTGTGTGTGTGTAGGTGTGTGTGTAGGTGTGTGTAGGTGTGTGTGTAGGTGTGTGTGTAGTTGTGTGTGTGTAGGTGCGTGTGTGTAGGTGTGTGTGTACGTGTGTGTGAATAGGTGTGTGTATGGTGTGTGTGTGTAGGTGTGTGTGTGTAGGTGTGTGTAGGGGGGAGCGGTAGTGCAGCGGTTAGGTGTGTGTGTGTAGGTGTGTGTGTGTAGGTGTGTGTGTGTAGGTGTGTGTAGGGGGGAGCGGTAGTGCAGCGGTTTTCACGCTCCGCTTCCAACCCGGCGACACGAGTTCGATTCCCGCTCACGGCCAACATCAGTGGCGATTATCTGATTCGGTCGTGGGCCTCCCCTAGGTCGACTCAGCATCAAATGAGTACCTGGTGCGATGTGTAAACATCGCCACTGGGGAGCCAAAGGTGGCCAGGCGTGGTGCTGGCCACCCACCCCCCCTCGTGTGCCACGTGCCGGCCTTCATAGGTGCTCGCTAACAGCACTTGCCCTAACCGTCTGTTCAGGCTATACGGGGGATCTTTTACCTTTTTTTTTAGTGGGTGAGAGAATGAGGCTATGGGGTTGAGGGTGTCAGTGTGTTGGTGAACGTGAAAGGGTGTGAGATAGAATGTTCAAATGAAGGAGTGGGTCAGACAGTGAGTGTGGTGTGAGGTAGGGAGCGGAGCGTGTGGTGTTGCGAGCGAGATAGTCGGAGTGTGAATGGAAGAGTAATGATTTAAGCGTATGGGTTGTCACAAGGTAAATTCAAGTCCTATCGATAACTTGCATCCCATTGTCTTATCCCGTACCTCCGATGAAAACGGTTGGCTATGTACGGCACGAAACAAGTTCGACACACACTGCTGGATGAAGGTGTAGCTCATGGCGGTTGTGTTGACCATCATCACGCTGCACAATGAGGGTTGGTTGCAAGGGGCGGCATCGGACCTGTTTAAAAATATCACTCAGCTGCGTCGTTGGCTCACGACCCCACCGTGTCACGGTGGCGAGATGTTAACTACCTCGCCTGGTATGCAGGAGGTGGTGGGTGCCATCCCCACCCTGACGCCTGCTGTATATTGGGAGTTTGCATGTTCTCCCCGTGGCCGTGTGGATTTTCCTCGGGGTCCACCGGTTTATCCCTCCACAATTCAGAATGTACATCACCGTGCGTTTAAGAGTATTTGGCGACTGATGTAAATTTCCAGATGACGAAAAGCCACTTTGTGATAGCCAGGCCACTCTTGAAAAAGAGCTATACAGCTCAGTGGGCCTTATCTGGTAAAATAAAAAGTTTGTTGTCTCATGTGCCCCCCCCCCACCCCCCCACCGTGTTCCTGCAGATACGGAGTCATCATCGTCGCTGGAGCCCCCGCCCGGATCGCCGCGTGGAGACCCCGAGCCACTCGCCGCACTCCCCACTGCCTGGGGTGTGAAACGGGGTGCGGGGGGGGCACGGCACGGGTTGGCAGCGGTGGTGGTAGTGGTGGTTGTACTCTTAGTTCTTTCGGTAAAGTCACGTAGGTACCTACGTGACTAGAAATCTACGTGACTTTATCGAAAGAACTAAGAGTATGAATCCTTGCAGTCACGAAAGCTTCAAATCTAGAATTAAGTGGTGGTTGTGTCAGTTCTGGTGCTGTGATATTCGTGGTTGCGTTTTGGATTAGTTCTTGTGAAGTGGTGGTGGTGGAGGCATTGTTGCGGTTGTAGTGCTGTTTGTGTTGTGGTGATGGTTATTGCAGTGGTTTAGTCACTGTGGGTTAATGGCGAAAGCTGTTGTGGCGATCGATGGGTGCTTGTGTGGTAACGGTGGTGTTTGTTGTGGGTTTGTGGCTTAGTGGTGGTAGATGCAGGTGTGGTTAAAGTTGCCGCACGGTGGTGGTTGATACGCGATGTATGCTTGTGGCCCCCTCCCCGTGTGCCTCAGGTGCGCTGGCACGATGCGAAGAGGAGGAACACGGTGTGGATGTGGGCTCCGACGGTGGCGCGGCGTCCTGGAGGGATGTCAAAAAGGAGGAACTGGACCCCGGTGAGACGCGACCACAACCAATACCCGCCACTCGCCACTTAGTGACGGTGATGTCACCATGGCACCTGTGTCAGGCCAGGCGTACTTTGAGGCCACTGTGAAGTGTCGAAGGCTCGCCGACAGGAGGTCTCGGGACAGGCCCAGGTGCCGTGGGTTGGCTGAGATGACTGGCAGATGCACTAGCTGTACCCCCTACTGTGCCAACCACAACCACACACACTGCCACAACCACACACACTACCACAACCACAACAACACAACCGCAATTCACCACGACGCTTGTGCCAAGCCACAACCACACACACTACCACACACTATATCACGACAGGAGGGTCTTACATTGGATTGTTTGGCCAGTTCCATTACTGAGAGTTTGCCCTCGTGTGGAAGGAAACCGGAGGAACCCGGGAAAAAAAACCCATCGTACACAAGAGATATATCTCAACGGTCCACGGATTGATTCAAGAATCCATTGCTGTAAGCCATCTCCTGGCCAACTTGCAACACTGCCCACAGGCGTAGCCCTCGTCAATATACGTACCTCCTAATTTGTCAGAGCCAACTTAAGTTTCAGGAAATTATTTTCCTTAATATTGGTTTGTGCAGTAATTAGAATCCTGCGACTCCGGTCCAATGTTCTGTTTGCTCCATTGCTCGTGACCACGGTCACTCTTGCCAACGAGACTCCCATCCTGGCCTCTCGAGTTAGACAATATAAACATGATCTTGCACTCGGTCCCTCCCTCCCTCCCTCAGATGACGGGAACCTGGAGGATGCACAGGGCCCCGACGACAATGACGACGACGACGACGATTCCGACACGGACCCCGAGCGGCTGCCCGTGGCCCTGGACAGGGGCCCCTCGCCGTTGGGGGAGGAGCACGTCCCTCGGGGAGAGCCGGGGCCCGGCGGAGAGCAGGCCCCCCCCCCAGCGGGGCCGCCGCCGTTCGTGTGGATCGAGGCGAGCGGAATGTACGGGGAGGAGGAGGGGCGTGGCGAGGGCGAGGGAGCCGGCGAAGATGCGACGGGGACAGGGGAGGGGGCACACTGCGGAGGGGAGCAGCAGCGAGGAGCCTTCAGGGTGAGCACGGCTCGTGACGATCACCCTGCACCGGGCGGGCGGGGGGTGAGTGTGGGGTGAGTCTCGGGGTAAAGCGGTGAATATGCAATACGGGTGTGGGACGAGTGTGGGACGAGTGCACGAGGGGTGTCGATGTGTGCGTGGGGGTGAGTTTGGAGAGGGAGTGCGTAACTGAGTGTATCGAGGGTTGGTCTCTATGGTGTCTACGCTGGGCTTTGTCTATTGATTTCAAATCATACGTGCACCATTTGATGCATGTATCATGAGCATTCAAATCTATTTTAATAATTTAATTCATCCCTGCAAACGAAATTAATTCAGACATGTCCAAACATTTCCCTGTCACCACAGTGTCCCCCCCCCCGCACATCCCCGTGTCTCTCCGTGTTATCCCAGTCTCACCGCTGTGAGGAGTGCGGTCGGGAGTTTGGCTCCCACTCGCACCTGGTGCAGCACCGCATCATCCACACGGGCGAGAAGCCGTACGGCTGCGGCGAGTGCGGCCAGCGCTTCAACCGCAAGCACCACCTGTCGCGGCACGCGCGCACGCACACGGGCGAGCGGCCACACGTGTGCCCCGAGTGCGGCGCCAGCTTCGCGCAGTCGTCCGACCTCAATCGCCATCGCCGGCGCCACGGCGGGCAGCGCCCCCACGCGTGCGGCGCGTGCGGGAAGAGATTTGCGCAGGCGGGGGATCTGGCTCGCCACCGCATGCGCCACACGGGCGAACGCCCCTACTGCTGTCCCGACTGCGGCAAGGGCTTCATCCACCCGACGAGCCTCATCAACCATCGCAAGGGCCACGCCAGCGGCGTCGCCGCGCTCTCGCCGCCGCGCCGGCCCCCCCACGGCGCCGGCGCGCAAGGGGACGGCGCTCAAGGGGACGGCGGAGTGTGAGGGGCCGCACGTGACAGCGCCGTCAGTGCGACTACCAGTAACACTTGCGCTACTGCCGGTAGAAGTGACAATTTTATCGACACTACCAGCAAAATTAGCAGCAGCAGCAGCACAGCCAAACACTATCAACGCGCTACGAAAGCGACGACCAACACTATCACTTCATAACATCACTGCCACCAAGCCACCAAAGTATCTAGGAACACCGCGACCAACACCAATCAAATGTAGTGAAACCACTATCAACACACACCGCTACCAGCAACATTACCAACATCGGTGCCACTACTGTCACCACAAACCTGCCATACCACAAACAACGCCATCAACGCAGTCAGAATGTTTTATTTAGACCTGAGGAATCCAATAAGCTATGGAAGCTCTTTGTCGATCACCTCCAGCTCGCCGTTACCACTTCAAGCTACTTCTGCCATTGGCACCCCCCCCCCCCCCTACACTGTTCGGCTCCCACGCCGGAGCCTCTGCCGCTCGTGCCAACTTGCCACGGCTGCCGTGAGGTCACCACACAAGCGTGACCCAGAGACTGTGGAAGCGACGGGCTTGACAGCCCAGTGAAATGTACTACGCCTTTTCAAGTAATGTTTGCGAGAGATGTGCGTGTGGCTGTGTTATTTATAAGGTGAAGACGAAAAAATAAAAAATTGTACGAGTGCATTTGCGTTACAGACCCACAGTCGGGCAGCTTCTCTATCACCGGCTCTGTATTGCCAAAGAATCTTGCCTTTCTGGGACCTCCCTTGCCTGGTTATGAACAAAGTTAAATTGTGTGGCCACGTGTACGTGGATTTCGGATTGGTTTGGGTCCAAGGGGGTGTGTGTGTCGTCAGTGTGAGGGCTGGATCAGCAGTGGAGACTTGAGAGTTGAGCCTCTGTACGGTTGAGGTGAGGTCAGCATAGCGTTTGGGTTTGGGCGACTGTCACCACGTGTGTGCGTACGACGTCGGTCGGTGTAAGCCCAACGCCAACCCCGCATCCCTCAAACTCGCAGCCCAAACCACAGCACCACCACACATCGAGCCTCACTGATCCCAACTCCGGGGTCAACTCCCACGAATGCAAACACACAAAAACTCACGGATCACTCCTCTGCTAGGATTTCATCCACGTAAAAGTTTTATGAATGGTAATTTGAAAACGATTAACTTGGTCTACCGTGTGAACATCGAACTCCGACGCCACTACGATCTGGTCTCGACCCACGGTTTAACGAGCCTGAGCCTCAGTAACCCTGACGTCGACCTTGACCCCGACCTTGACCCCAGCAGTAGGGCCGTGGCAGTGTTGTTCGCTGCCGTGGGCCCGGTTAAACGTGCTCAGCTGAGAAAGCTAAGCCAGCGACTATCGCCCTATTGGAGATCGATATCCCGCAGCAGCAATCATCCATTTGGCACCGGTTCTGCAGCACAGCTTGTGACGGACCTGACCCTTCCCTGATCCACTGCCAACATAACCCTGACCCAAACATTCTTTGTCCTGACCAGAGCCCTGCTATCCTGACCGTACCCAGCGCGACCTTGACCCAACCGGACCCAACCCGACCAGTTCTTGCGGTGAGGCCTCACGTCTGTTTCCCGCGGGCGCCGCCTGCTGCAGCGGCTGCTTCCCGCTACCGGTTTTCATCGCCGCCGCTGCTGCTCAAGCAGCTGGAACTCGCCATGTGCGTTTTGGCAAATCGTCTTGCAGTGGATCTGATCCTAATTTTCAAACGGTGTGCAATAACGTCACCTTAACACGTAGGCTTTCGCGACCAATATCCATAATACGTTTTGTGGGTTAGATCGCGTAAATATGTGTCGTTAAACCCGCCACGACCCGACACAGCTAATTAGTAAGGTTTGTCATGTAAACAAAACGTGTCAATTCGTTACTAGTACAGCACACCGGTGTGTTAGAGGTTGTAAATGTTGTGGCTTTGCTCTTCAACACACCGGTGTGCTGTACTAGTAACGAATTGGCACGTTCTGTTTACGTGGCAAACCTTACTCATTGGTGGCGGGTTTAACGACACATTTATATATTTACGCGATCTGACCCATAACACCTGCATTATGAATAACATCACCGCGCGCAGTTTTAGCTCTCCCGACAGCCCGGTCGTACGCGATGTCTCGGACCTGCACTGGGTTTGATTTGATTCAGCGTGTACATGATTCCCAGTTGGCAGATTTTGTCCAACATCAAGGGCTACGTTACCATTGCTATAGGCACAGCGCTCGGATCCATGTTCAACTGGGAATGGATTCCACACCCTCGGCCGCTGCGCTTTCATCGTCGCTCTTGCCCGTGAAATCCTGGATGCGGCAGAATTTTCTCCCAACTCAATGGCGACAAGGACTAGAGACTTCCTAGCGTTCTCGCCCCCCCCCCCAACAACTGCCCCAGGTTGGCTCTTTCAATCTGGTGATCGATGTTTGAATATCTTCTCAATATAAATAGGAAATATGAAACCTTGGTGTTCTCTTGCAACGTTACTTTTCCTTTTAGTCACACATCCTCAACGAGGCTGCGAGGACTTCGTTCTGGCGTTAAAGAAATATTTTGCCCAGCTGTGCCACGTTCTTTCTCCTGCAGATGCCGAGAGACGAGTACGTGCGCCCTTTGTCTCACGTCTTGACTATTGTCCTCAGTCGACTGGCAGTCCGTCCAAAACACAGCCACCACCAGGGTGCTGATCCGCACTCCGTTTCGGGACCATATCTCGCCCCGTGCTCGTGGCTTTGCGCTGGCTCCCAGTTCAAACCCACGTTGGGCTTAAAATTCTTCTGCTTGTGTTCAACGCTTTAAGCGAGTTGGCTCAACCCGACGTCCAGACGATTCACCTGCAAGCTCCCCCGTATGTACGTACGTACGTTGAACTTCTTTCACACCGTACAATCTCCACTGAGATCTCGGGGATCTAACAATTGTGCCCTGCTCAGCGTGAGCACGCTGCAGGCTTTGAACCCGGGAGTGACCGGGCTTTTGTTTGCATGGCACCCAGACTCTGGAATTCCCTGTCATTGGACGTGAAGACTTCGGAGTTGAAACTTTTAAGACTCCGGCTGAAGACCCACCTGTTTAAAATGGTCTTCTTTAGTTTTTCTATCGCTCTCTTTAGCCTTTCTCTCCCCAGTTACTCATTCCTTCATTCTTTACATGCATGGCGCTCTGAAATCATATTCAAGTGTGCCTTGTCAATCCAATTAAATTAATTCTTACACCATCCCCAAAAAAGGCCAGACCCATCTCCCACACCTGACCTGATATTAAACTTCACTCTTACGTAGCCTGGGGGTGGGGGGTAGGGTCTGACCCAGCAGATAGCCCAGGCACTAACAGCCCGAACCCTTACAAGCGCCAGAACCAACCACCACCATCACGGTTGGCTCACCATCAATGGCAGGGTACCCCCCCACCCACCCACCAGGGCTAGGCCTCGGCAAGGTAAAAGGTAAAAACAACGAGCCTACCTTTACCCTACCTTTTACCCTTACCCCATACAAATGAGCCAATTACAGGGTGATTACTGGGGTACTACTCTCGACGATTCCAATTGAAAACGGTATTTACCGGGTAATACTTTGCGCTACCTTTACCCTTCCCTTTACCTTACCCCTTGGCATGGTCGACAGCTTTACCCTTTTACCCGGTAAAAAGGGTTAATTACTTTACCTTGCCGAGGCCTACCAGGGCACCCGTTCCCCCTCTGGGCTCCCACCCCCTCCCTCTTGCCCAAGAGACTCGTGTGGCAGCTTGAGCTGGGTGACCACAGGAGGCTCCGGCCTCGGCGCATTGCAAGTCCCCGTCTTTTGTACAAAACCCGATGATTGTCTTGCGGCGATCGGCGCTGCAGAATGCGGACGGCAGAGATCGACCCCGCGAGTGCAAACAGCGTCCCTGTTAACGCCGGCAGCACCAGCGCGAGCAGCACCGGCAGCATTGGCGCTGTCGGTAACGCCAGTCGCCACCCCAGCCAGCGCCAGCAGCAACAGTCTGCCGAAACCGCCGCCTACAGCACCAATCCATCCAGCAACGTCGCTCGCCGGCGACGCCGTCACCACCGGCATCCGCAGGCAAACCAGCGCCAGCATCCCCGGCGTGTCATCTGGCGCTGTCCCGCGGGGTGCTGTCTGCGAGCGGTCGCCGGGAATTACCCGGCACTCACTGCACGGCAGCGGCCATTGGCGATCGCGGGAACTCGTAGTTGTGCTGCGGCCGGCGCCCGCGCCGGTTCTCTCTGTGGAAGTGCACGAGCTTGGAGAAGCAGCCCTCGTGCACGCCGACGTTGCAGCCCGGGCACCAGTACCGCGTGCGCTTGCGCCCGCCCGGCACGCGACGGTTCTTGCCGCACACCTCGCAGTCGCGCACGCGCTGCGCAGGGATGGGCGACAGCTGGTGCGGCGGGTGGCCGAGCAGCCCTTGCGGGGCCTGCTGATGGTGCTGCTGGTAGGGCTGATAGTAGTGGGGCAGGGGACCACGGCCATCCACCTCGTACGGCTCGACTGCGCAGACAACGCCGCCACGGCGCCATCAGCACCGCCGCCATGGCACACAGAGGGGACCGTTGGTGGGAGCGGCGCCACCGTCCACACACATACACACACTGGTAGTGCAGGGTGGTAGGTATGGTAGTGCAGAGTGGTGGAGTGTGGGTACTGGTAGTGCACGGTGGTGGGTATGGCATTGCAGGGTGGAGCTGGTAGTGCAGTTTGGTTGGGTATCTGTGTACTGGTAGTGCACGGTGGTGGAGCTGGTAGAGCAGTGTGGTGCTGGTAGTGCAGGCGGATGATGTATAGTGCAGTCATGGAGCTGGTAGTTTAGGGCGGAGCTGTACCTGGGTACTGGTAGTTTAGGGTGACGCCACCATCTGGACTCATCTTCAGGTATGGGGGCGGTGGCTCTTGCCACGGGGACGCCAGCGGCTGCGTCCCCAGTTCCTCGTCACTCACCGCGTCTGGCACGGGGGGGGGGGGGGACACACAAGGACCCAGCGTCACAGGAACGCGGAGACACGGGATGTGTCAAGAACCGCATCTAACCGCGTGGGAAGCTCAGTGACATGTGTAGGGAGGGGTGGGGGGCGGGCTCACCTGCGTAGGCGTGGTTGGGGGGCTCCGGCTTGGTGCGCGCCCACGTGCCCCCTGCGATGTAGATGCTGTTCCCATCACGCCCCGCGGAGCAGCCCAGGCCCTCCGCGTGGACCTCCTCGGCCGTGATGTCCTCCAGCTCGCTGCACTCCGCGTCTGCGGCCACCGTCACAGCAGACGCGAGAGTGTAGGAGAGTTTGAGTGTAGGAGCGTGTGAGTGTAGGAGTGTTGTGCAGGAGAGAGTGAGTGTAGGAGTGTTGTGTACGAGAGCGTGAGTGTAGGAGTGTGAGTGCAGGAGATTGAGTGTACGAGAGCGTGAGTGTAGAAGTGTGAGTGTACGAGAGTGTGAGTGTAGGGCAGTGTGAGTGTAGGATGCTCTCAGTGTCGGATAGAATGTGAGTGTAAGAGAAATGTGCGTGTAGGAGAGTGTGTCGGAGTGCGAGCGTAGGAGAGCAAGCGTAGGAGTGAGCGTAGGAATGCACGTGTGGAACGGTGGTAGTTCGTAATGCAGAAGTTGGCGCACTGCGCTAAGTAACAATCATCTGACCCATTCCTGGGCCTCCTTTAGGTCGACTCCACCTCAAATGACACAGGCAATGTGTTAATATTGCATACACGTGTTGTATATGCAGTGTGCGAGTGTGTTCGTATCATTAATTTTGTTTCCCCGGTAATGCTTCACTGAGCCTCATGACTACTTTTCAGGAGGGTCCTGCCAAGTTGTTGTAGCAGGCAGGCGTTGATTGCTCTATACTGCACACTGCAACTTAGTTCATTTGCGGGGTATTTTCTAAATGTGTGTCGTGTGTTCTGTATACGTTGTATGGGTGCGTTGTATCTGTGTTAGTCCACACATGCTGTGTGCCACTCACCCTGCATGCTGTCCACCACTTCAGTCTTACACACGCGCAACCCTCGCTCCTCCTCCTCCTCCACCTCCTCCTCCTCCTCGTCCTCCGCAAACACAGCATCATCCGATGGCCACAGCAAAACTGTCCCACGGCACACAGGGACATCACCATTATCAATCATCGCCGACCAACCCCCAGCAAGATCACCACCACCAACTATTATCATCACCACAACTATCGTTACCACCACCAACAACAACAACCACCATTCGCCACTAAGTGGCGGTGACGTTACCACGGCGCTTGTGCCAGGCTAGGTGCACTTTGAAGGCCACGTGAAGTGTCGAAGGCTCGCTGGCAGGTCTCGGGACAGACCCAGGTGCCATGGGTTGATTGTGATGACTGCCCGATGCACCACCTGTATCCCTTACAATGCCAACTACTACCACAACAACCAATACAACAGCACATCACTAATACAATCCCCTCCACCACCACAACAACAAATCAATGCACCCCCCAACCACCACCAACTACCAATAACCATTACCCGCCATTCGCCACTAAGTGACGGTGACGTTACCACGGCGCTTGTGCCAGGCTAGGTGTACTTTGAAGGCCACGTGAAGTGTCGAAAACTCGCTGAGGTCTCGGGACAGACCCAGGTGCCATGGGTTGGCTGACTGAGATGACTGGCAGATGCACCAGCTGTACCCCCCCCTACTGTGCCAACCACAACCACACACACTACCACAACCACACACACTACCACAACCACACACACTACCACAACCACACACACTACCACAACCACACACACTACCACAACCACACACACTACCACTCACACACTACCACAACCACACACTACCACAACCACACACACTACCACAACCACACACACTACCACACACACACACTACCACACACACTGCCACAACCACACACACTGCCACAACCACACACATTACCACAACCACACACGCTACCACAACCACACACACTACCACTACCACAACCACACACACTACCACAACCACACTACCACACACACTACCACACACACTACCACAACCACACACACTACCACAACCACACACATTACCACAACTACACACATTACCACTACCACACACACAATACCACACACACACTATATCATGACGGGAGGGTCTTGTATTGGGTTGTTTGTCCAGTTCCATAACTGAGTTTGCCCTCGTGTGGTTTTTAAACCGGAGGAACCCGTGGTAAAAAAAAAAACCCATCGCACACAAGAGATGGGTTGGCTCAGATGGCCGGTAGATGCACCCACCATCTGTACCCCCCTCCCCCCACTGTGTCAACTAACTACAGTACCACCAACTTCACCATCACCATCACCACCACCACCACCTTCACCACCACCTTCACCACCACCTTCACCACCATCATCACCACCATCATCACGACATCGCACCGCTAACCCACCCCACCCCGGGGCCTCCACGCGCACCGGTGCCACCGTCCTCTCCCCTCCTGGCCTCGGGGCTGGCCGCCGCCTCGCTCCCTCCTCCTCCTGCTGCTGCTCCTCCTGCTGCTGCTGCTGCTGCTGCCCCGTCTTCCAGCGCGTGTTGGAGGCCGCTGAACCTGAGCGCCGACTGCAGCAGCTCGTGTCCCAGCGTCTGCAGCGTGGCCACGATGGCCTCGAGCAGCGCGGCCAGGCCGGGCTGGGCGGCCTCGTGCAGCGGCCACTCGGGGGGGCCCCGTGGGGACCCCCCCGCGGGGGGGCCCCGTGGGGACCCCCCCGCGGGCCCCACGGAGGCGGCGGAGGAGGAGGAGGCCCCAGCCGCCGTCTTGACGAGGCGGCGCAGGGCGGCGTAGAGGGCGAAGGGCAGGCGCTGGCGCGCCGTGGCCAGCAGCTCCAGGGTGACCTGCGCGTCCTCGGCGCACGCCAGCAGGTCCTCGTAGTCGCCGATCCCCAGCTCCCGCTCCATGGCCTGGGCGAAGGGCAGCTTCATGCCCTGGGCCGAGAGCCACGCGGGGAAGTCCGCGCGCGGGTCCACGCGAGGGGCCACGGCCACGGCCACGGCCGCCATCCTCCTGCGCGCTGCTGGCGTGGGGTAGGGGGGCGGTCTGGCTGGGTTCCTGGGGGTCTCACTGTCTGGGGGGGACCCCGGGAACTGGGGTCTTGGAGTAGTGGGGTGTCACTCGCTGGCTGGGGTCCCGCGTAGTGGAGTCTCACTGGCTGGGGTAGAAGTATCGGGGTGGGGTGGTGGTGGGGGGGAGTCCGGCCGGGAGTTTGGCTGCAGGTGGGTCCCCCTGGTCTTGTGGAGTCTCGGCTCGCGTGGTGGGAGTCCGGCTGCGGGCGAGGGGGGTCCCCTGGTCTTGTGGAGTCTCGGCGTGTTGACGGGAGTCTCGGCTCTGCGTGTGGAGGAGTTTCTGCTGCTGCGGCTGCTGCTGTCTGTCTGTCTGTCACCTGGTCTCCGACTCGCTTCCGGTACCAGACTCCCCCCCCCCCACCTCTTCACCCCCCCCCCCCCGTGACGTCACGCAGAGTGCGGCCATGTTGGGTGCAGAAGCGCGTTGATGACGTTCGCAAGACAACACCCCTCTCCCTTAGCAAGATGGCGGCGCGCTCGGGGCGAGCAACCACGTGGGGTGGAGGCGTGGCTGCGCATGTGACGCGCGGATTTCAAGGCACCACCACCACGTGGCGGATAGAGCTACGGGGTTAGGGGGCCGTCCATAAATGACGTCACGCGATTTTGGACGATTTTTGACCCCCCCCCCCCCCCCAAAATCGCTTTAAACTATTGTCATTGTAGTGCGTATTTAATGTGCCGCTGCACTCTGATGTTGTAGAAGAAAACATTTATTAAAAAGTCTATTTAATTAAGTAGAACGTGTTGTCTATTTATTTAAAGTTGCGCATTTTGATGTGACGTCACATTTTTCAAACCCCCCCCCCCAGGTGCGTGACGTCATTTATGGACGGCCCCTTACTCTGCCTACATTGTCTCGTTTTCGCCCCGTGAAGACCACGTGTCACGCGCCGGCATATCCTTTGGATAAATCGCAAATAATAAATCCTTGCAGGAATCTAATTACCAAATAATTACCAATTAGATTCGTACAAGATTCTAATTGCCAATTAGATTCGATGCGTTTAACGAATCCGCACACCCCTATAACGTGTGACTGGGACAATGATGCCACGGCTGACAAAGGCTCATTGCATCACTCGCCATTAAAACTCACCTTTACTCGCTTCCAACCGCACACACACCCACACATGCAGTCCCGCCCAAACACAAAATCACAGTCATTCAGAGACCCAGGGTCACTCACACAAAGACAAAGATTCACGAGGGGGTGTGTGAACAGCACCACACCCACCCGGCTACCTTTGTCTCCCCAAGCGTCATACCAGGTACTCATTTTAAGGCTGAGTCGACCTTGTTGGGGGCCCAGCACGAGTATAAATATTTGCCACTGCTATTGGTCGTAAGCTGGAATTGAAGTCCACCGGGTTCTTAGTGAATTGCGCTAATTACGATATGCCAGCTCCACACGTACACATCGTCCAACACCCAGTCAGTCTCACACACAATCCCATTCAGTGACACACACACACAACCTATCGCGCTCCCAACAATCACAAAATACATCTCGCACATTTCTTTACCAGGCTTGTAATATGCGGTTACCACGTGTTTTTTTATTGGGACCAGCGGCACGAGTTTGTTGAAGCAGTCTGGTACATAGTGGGGCGGGCGGCACTGCAACACGGCACAGTGTCTGCAGCGTCTTGGTTATCCCTGCGTGGGCGACATACAACACAACCCACATCCTGTCTGCCGTGGCTTCCCGCCAGTCCTAAATCACACCAAGTGCACCCTGAGCACAGGCCATGGAGAACGGCATGGCAATACGATCCAGTCGCTAGCTGGCCTGCGGCTGCTCTAGCTGCGTCGCGTCGAGCACCACGACAACCGTGGTCTTGTCGGCGCCCGCCGCCTCGCCGGCGCCCGCCGTCTCGCCGGTGGCGCCCGGCGTCCCGGCGTGGGCGGCTGCCCCGTGCTTGTTGAGCAGCGTCTTGCGCGTGAAGGCTTTGCCACAGGCCTCGCACACGTACGGCCGCTCGCCCGAGTGCTTGCGCGCATGCCGCTGCAGCTCGGCCGCAAAGTAGAAGCGCATCCCGCACGCGTCGCACGCGAAGCGCTTGGCGCCGGACTCGCGCAGCCTGTGCTGCGCCAGCGCCGACGACTGCGCGAAGCCCTGGCCGCAGTCGTGGCAGCGGTAGGGGCGCTCCCCTGTGTGCGTGCGCGCGTGGCGCGTCAAGTGCGAGCGCTCGGCGAAGGCGCGGCCGCACTCGCCGCACGCGAAAGGCCGCTCGCCCGTGTGCGTCCGCCGGTGGTTGTCCAGGTTGGTGCGGAACGAGAAGCGCTTGCCGCACACGTCGCAGCCGAACATCTTGGTGTCGGCGTGCGTTCGCTTGTGCTTGAGCAGGTACGCCGGCGTGGCGAAGCCCTTGCCGCACAGGTCGCATACGCAGCCGCGGCCCGGCGCGTGGATGCGCAGGTGGATGGCGAGGTTCTCCGAGTGCGCGAATGCCTTGCCGCACTCCTCGCACACGTACGGCCGCTCGCCCGTGTGCAACGCGCGGTGGCGCCGCAGTGCTGACGCGCGGATGAACGCTTCCCCGCACAGCTCGCAGCGGAACGGGCGCTCGCCCGTGTGCTGTCGCGTGTGCAGCTGCAGGGACTGCTGCGAGCAGAAATCGCGGGAGCAGTGCTGGCAGTGGAAGGGCCGCGCCGGCCGGTGCGACGCCTCGTGCCGCGTCAGGGAGTAGCGCAGTCGGAACCGCTTGCCGCACTCGGCGCACGCGAAGCCACCGGGCTCGGGGCGAGGGCCCCTCCGGCCTCGCTCCCTGCCGTTCCCGGCCGTCACCGTTTCCTCCGTCACGGTCGCCGGCGATCGCCTCCTCCTCGGCCTCTTTTCCGGCAGTGCCGCGGCTGCGAGCAACGCGGACGTGGCGCCCCGAGTTCGGCAACCCTCGTGACGTCGTCGCCGCCCCCTCCGGCCACGCGTTGGACTCGCACGACATTCACCATTCTCACCACTGCCGCCGTCCCCCCCCTCTCCGGTTTCACCACCCTCACCGCCATCACCTCCTTCACCGCCCTCACCACCCTCACCGCCTTCACCGCCCTCACCACCCTCACCGCCTTCACCATTCTCGTCCCCGGCCTCACCACTGTTCGCCAGCCCCTCAGCAGCGCCACCATCCCCCACATCGTTCCCGCCGCCTAGGGGACAGCAAACGGTGCGGTCACCCTGCGGGAGACCCAAGCACGCGCGCTTCTCAGCGACTGCATGCCGTGCAACCCTGCCACGCGAGGGGACGCCGTGCTCCGTCCTGCTCAAGCCTGACCACACCGTGATGGCCAGGGCAACACGGGCATTGCGGCCGCATGGTTCTGCCAGCCCAGCCTCGGCGCGCCTCTTTCCACTCCCCATGAGCTCTTCGCTTATCGCACCTCCGATTATCATGGTTGGATACGTACAGTGCGAAAGAAATTCAACATACATACATCCTGCATCTGCGGCCATTGCAAAGGGTGTGGAGCCGGAGGGCACATGGCCCGGGCTCGCGACCTCAACCTCCGAAGGCTACTTACAGGTCTCCCTTGAAAAAGAGATATATGATCTCAATGGGCTGCAGTCTGGTTATATGTCCATGTATCTGTCTATATTTCTCTCCCATCTGTGCCTATCTTTCTGGAAACATTTACTCTCTCATATCTGGCATTACTCATTGACTGGGATGACAGTGTCACCCATTGTATCTCGACAATGCTCAGAAGAGATGGAATGAACCTCGAAAGAATAACGCTAGAGAGAATTAAACTAGACGCAATGATACTCGAGGGAAAGATGTAAAGAACTGAACGCAGTCTCACCCTTCTCCCCTGGCTCCTCCGATTGTTCATCTGGAGTCTCCTGCTTTGTGCGTGTGTCAGCGCAACCGTCCGTGCGTCCCAGCGGCGTCTCCCCAGCGCTGTCCTCGGGGCTCTCTCCCGCACTCTCCTCCTCCGTCTTGCAGTCCTCGTCGCTCTGCTCCCGGAACCTCCTTCCACCCCGCCTCCTGCCTCGACCCCTGCCCCGTCCTCGTCCCCGTGGCCCCCACCGTCTGCCCCCGACTGCCTCCGGTTCCACTGGCCCCTCGGCCAACGTCCCTGCAACAACACGCACGTGACATTCGGTTGGCCGGGGTCACGGACTCATTCGGTGAGAGGGAAAAGGGTCAAAACAGCACATCGCAACGGCATGAGGACAAGGGAGAAACGGGGTCCTGCAAGTCATGAAGCAATGATAATTTGCATTCGATAATAATCATAATAATCCCCTTTAACTACTGAGGAAAGCCTCACCGTGTCTCAAGCTTTTTCTCAGGAGGGTCCTTTGGAAAGTTCGGCCAGTTCTGTTATTGTTTGGCTTTGTGCGAGAGGATGCCAGGGTACATGGGATGAGTAATTCGAGCCCGAGCGGAGTCACCGGATCATGTGGGACACCTCGGCTGTGGGTCACGCCGAGTCACTGACCGGTGTCTGTGGCGGTGACGGCGGTAGTGGTGGTGGTGGCGGCAGCGGTGGCGGCAGCACTGGCAACGACGGCCTCGCGCGCGTGCGTGCCCTCGTGGCGCTGCAGCTGCACGCGCTGGCGGAAGGCGCGGCCGCACTGGGTGCAGGCAAAGGGCTTCTCCCCCGTGTGCACACGCCGGTGCTGCTCCAGGTTGGTGCGGCCCGAGAAGGCGCGCCCGCACTCCTCGCAACAGAAGGGTCGCGCGCGCTCGCCCGCATGCACCTTCTTGTGGTTCAGCAGGTTCGTGGGCGTCGCAAACGCCTTGCCTGGTGCGCGTGCGGCCGTGGTGTGGGGAGGGGGGGGGGATGCGTGGACACCAGGGCCAACACTTGACAAGGAGAACTTCCCTCTACTCTTAACATCGTGGCCTTCACACATATTACAGTGATCACACGTATTGAAACGTCTTGTTCTAAGGGCTGAAAGGAAAGTTAAAGTAATTTCCTACTCAATGGGCAATGAGGCGTACTCATCTGCCATTTACAGTAATTTTGAAGCTCATCTCACAAGCAGGCTGAGACATCTCAATGTCTCTCTATATCTCTCTGCAACAGGCACCGAGCATCGGTGAGCTCTCTCCGCTGGCTGAACAAAGGCTACGCCAACAACCGCCGCCCACCACCTTAAACCAAACCAGCAGTAACCGCAACAACACCTCCCCAGTGGTGGCGAGATGTGAACTACCTCGCATGGTATACAGGAGGTCGTGGGTTCGATCTCAACCCTGACGCCTGCGTTTAGCTCTGGTTTTTCCCTCCACATTTAGAATCAACATGCATTTAAAGTACTGTATTTGGCTGCTACTATAAATTTCCGCGTGATAAGCCACTTCGTTTGGCTATAAAGCTCAGTGAGCCTTACCTGGTAAAAAAAAATAACTGTCTAGTTTTTTTAGTTTAGTCTCGCCGTACACACCACGCCAGCCCCGGGACTCTCACCGCACGCTCCGCAGGTGTAAGGCCGCTCCCCGCTGTGCGTGAGCCGGTGCCGCGACAGGTAGGAGGATGTGGCGAAGGCCTTGCCACAGGCGGCGCACACGAACGGCTTGACGGCGGCGTGCGTCTTGCGGTGCACGGCGAGGTTCTCACGGTGCGCAAAGCTCTTGCCGCAGGCGTCGCACGCGAAGGGCCGCTCGCCCGTGTGCGCCGCCGCGTGCCGCTGCAGCGAGGAGGCGCGCACAAAGCGCTCGCCGCACGCCAGGCACGCGTACGGCCGCTCGCCCGTGTGTCGCCGCATGTGCAGCTTCAGCGAGTGCTTCAACGTGAAGCGACGGCCGCACTCCTTGCACGGGTAGCCGGGCGCCTGCTCCGCCACGCCGTCGCCGCTCCCGCCGTCGTCCGCCGACGGTCCCGAGCCACCCACGGCGGGCGGTGGCGGCGGCGCCGTGATGTAGGCAGTGGCAACGGCGGCGGTGGCGGTCGTGACGGCCACCTTGTGGTGTGCCAGTGGGATGGCCGTGCTGCCCGCGTGAGCGGCCGGATCGGCCAGCAGCAGCTGCGTGGCTCCGGGTCCGGCTGGGAAGGCATGGGAGCGGCATTAGTGGTAAACGAGACGTCCCTGATGTGGCGGAGGGGGTGGGGGTTTGTAGGATGTGGCTGATAGGCTCCGTGTGCGGTGTGTGTGGAGTGCACCTTTGTATGCGTGGTGTGGTATGAACTTTGATGCTGATGCAGTGTGGCGTGTACCGTGGTATGTACCGTGGTGTGGTGCTATGAAATTAGGTTTGTCAAGCGTGTACTTTGGTGTGTACCCTGGCCAACAGAGTTTGTGGTGTGTGTGGTAGACGTGGTGTGTGTGGTAGATGTGGTGAGTACCATAGTCAAGAGGGTGTGTGTGTGTTGTGTATTGTGGCGAGTACTGCGATGTGGTACGAAATTTGGTGCGCGTGTGGCGCGTACCTCGGTGTGTTCCTTGGTGTGTGCCGTGGCTAACAGGGTGTGTGTGCGTGCCACACGACCCCATGTCTCCATGCTGCTCGGAGCCCATCAGCTGCACGTCGTCCAGGCCCAGCGTCGTGCCGTACTCGGAGAGGTCCCTGAGAAACCTCTCAGCCTCCACGCCCTCTCCCACACCTATGCACGTGTTCACGCGAGGACACAGCTCCTCACACCAAACTCCCATGCAACAGCCAACAAAAATATAGCATTGCTAGTTTTGAAAAAGAACGTGATTGTACCCGACTGCAATACCGCTTGCAGAATGTTACGACGCTCAAGCGAGCGGGATACTCGTAATCGCCGAAACAGCCAGTGGCAAGCACCCCAATCTCGGTGCAATACAACAACCCCGCCATGTGACTGCGTCATGACCGCACAGTGATTTATACGTCCCAGTTAGCCTGGCATACAGCCCCAGTGGCTCAGCGGCAGAGGAACTTCAAATCCAGGTTGGGGATTGACTCGGCCTATCATTCCACTGGGTCCGATAATAATTATTAGCACCACCTTTGGGAAAGTCAACAGTGGTTTGTCCGACGGAGACTCGCCCCTGCCATATCAATGTGGAATTTCCACAACTGGATCAGGGCTGTAAATGGGAGAAGAGCACCAATGCCTCGACGCTCATTTTAGCAGAAAAGGAAAATCACTGCCGACACGGAAATCACGAGACTCGATCGAATCCGACTGGCGAACTTGTGCACGACCCTGGACGGGTGCAGGGACAGTAGCAGGGAGTGAGATTTTGTGCGCAAGAGAGAGAGATGAGCGCGTGCTAGACCCGTGCGTTTGCGGGCACCACTCACAGGGGCGTGCGGCGTGCGTGGTGCGGCGGTGGTGGTTGAGGTTGGTGCGGAAGGAGAACTGCTTCCCGCAGGCGTCGCAGTGGAAGGGCTTGGTGCCCGTGTGCATGAGCCGGTGCTTGGTGAGGTACGACGCCGTGGCGAAGCTCTTGCCGCACTCCTCGCAGGCGAACGGCTTGACGGGCGCGTGGATGCGCAGGTGGATGGCGAGGTTCTCCGAGTGCGCGAAAGCCTTGCCGCACACGTCGCACACGTAGGGCCGTTCGCCCGTGTGCAGCGCGCGGTGCCGCAGCAGCGAGGAGGACCGCGCGAAGGTCTCCCCGCACAGCTCGCAGCGGTACGGCCGCTCGCCTGTGTGCTGCCGCATGTGGATTTTGAGCGAGTACTTGAGCGTGAACAGCTTGCCGCACTCCTCGCACTGGAAGCCGCTCTCTGTGCGGTGGGCGCTGGCCACGTGCGCCGCCAGCAGCCGCTGCTCCGCGAACCCCTGCGCGCACAGACCGCATTCCAGCGCCCCGCCGGCGCCGCCCCGCTGCTGCCCTTCCGCCGAGCCGCCGGGTCCGCTGTCCGCAGGCAGCGGCGCCGCCGGCTCTGGGACGCCCGTGAAGAGCTGTGCGGTGGGGCCGGGCTGCATCTGCGTTGGCTCCTGCTGATAGTGCTGCACCACCATGAGGGCAGCGTGCTCCACCATGAAGCCTGGCTCTCCTGTGGGGACAGCAGTGTAGGGAGGATAACCGCACACACAATACGTAACGTACAAAAAACACTCATACGAGACCTATACAACACAAAGCTGTTCACGAGACCTGCTCACACGTGATAAGTCAAAGATCTCCTGTTTGGACGTTAACAGATTGCTCAGGCCAGTGCTGTTAGTGACCACCTATTAAGACCGGCACGGTGTATACGAAGTGGTGACGAGGCCAGCTCCACATGCGCAAGCTGCATTTGCCTCCCCGGCGTCGATATTTATTCACACCACACCATGTACTCGTTTAAGGTCGACCTAGCAGAGACCAAGACAGTTCCCATCTGTCACATCACTGTTTGTAGCCCATGGCGAGGAATCAAACTCAGGATGCCAAGTTCTTAGCGCAGTGCGCAAAAACCATTCCACCAGCGCACCAAGGAAACACACTCGCAAAACAACTTCATCCCCAGGAGTGGTTATCGCTCGCGTCAAGCTGGTCGCACCTGGGTCCGCGTGCTGGGGCCCTGGGCTCCCCGTGTCCGTCCCTGCGGCCCCCAGCAGCAGGGTCAGCTGAGCAGGGCCCTCCTCCTCCTCATCCTCCCCCGGGGCGGGTCCCCCGTCCCTGCCGAACCCCGTGGAACCCAGGCCGGGCCCGTGGCCGCCCTGCACCACCGCGGCCGCCTGCTCCTGCAGCAGGATGCCGGCGTGCAGCAGGTCCATGTGCACGACCGCGTCGGCACGCAGCGGCCCCTCGGCGTACGCGACGCCCGAGTGCGCCGAGCTGTCGTCCACCAGCATCCCACCTGCCCGGGCCAGGCCGCCCTCCGCTTGCGCCTGTGCACCGGCACTGTCCGAGTGGGCGCAGTCCTCCGGTAGGACACCATCTGTGCGTACGGCGCTGTGCGTATGCGCTGTGCCCTCGACGTGCCCGTGAGGTTGGCTCGCGTGGGCCACGTAGTCTGTGCTAGTTGCATGGGACAATGTGGCCATGTTGGAAACGTGGTCTGGCTGCCCCGTCTCTCCCACATGATTCGTTGGGTAGCCCGTCTGCTCTGCCTGTTCCGTGTGTGTTGAATAGACAATCTGGTCTGCCTGTTCCAACTTTGTTGGGTAGGCTGTCTGGACTGCCTGTTCTGTGTGCGTTGGGTAGACTGTGTGGTCTGACTGTTCTGGGTCTGAGTAGCCTGTCTGAATTGGTTGTTCCGACTGTGTTGCGTAGATTGTGTGGTCTGCCTGTTCTGTGCGTGTTGCGTATACTGTGTGGTCTGACTGTTCTGTGTGCGAGTAGACCGTCTGAATTGATTGTTCCGACTGTGTTGCATAGACTGCGTGGTCTGCCTGCTCTGTGCGTGCTCCGTAGACCGTTTGATCTGGTTGTCCTGATTGTGTTGCGTAGACTGCGTGGTCTGCCTGCTCTGTGCGCATTGCGGAGCCTTCCTGCTCCATTCGTGACGTGGCCTCGGGGTCCACGCCGCCAACAGCGAACGTGGGCGCTCGGTGTCCATCGGCCACCGCGCCAGCGCCTGCCCGTACGCACTCCGTACCGTCACTCCTGTGCGAGCCGCCGTGCTCGGGCTCCATAACTATGAACCCCTCCATGTTAACCACACACTCCTCGGCTGCAACCTCCAGGCGGCACTCCTCGGCCATCCCTGCGCACAACGTCGGGGTCACAAAAACGGCAGAAGTTAACGGCAGCAAGGAGCAAGCACAAGGGTGCAGCGCCGCAATGCCGTGCTCATGTCACTGCTGGTGGAAAGGTGTCCAGTCGAAGAGGCCCTGGGGGGTATTTTGGCCCGATCTTTCCCGCTGGACGGCCGTGTCTGCCCACGTGAACACGAGAATTATTCAACTTAGGGTACAGGTAAACGCCTGTTGCCCAAATCACGCGCAACAATGCGTCAAATCTCAGAAGCAGCCTCGAGCCTGGATAGCGCTTAGGGGTAGGCGACCACCACGCACCAGGTACTTGCTGCAGGTTGCTGCTTGGCTACGTGGAGACCGGGCACCGGGGGGGGGGGGGGCCATGCAGCGAAAATGCACCGTAAATGTACCGTACTTCTATGCTCCCCTGCCCCCACACCATCACCGAGCCACGTTGGCCAGCCTTGTGAAGCGTTGCCAAGTTAAAGGCAGTGGCCCTCACAACCTTGCTCACTCCACGACACACGTCTGTGTGCCCAAGGAAAGTTGGGAAAGGCCGGGGATGGAGAGGTGATGATGGGGGGGGGTAGCCGTCTGCCACCGTACTGGGTGGATGCGCGACCTACGGAGATGGAAGGGCAGAGGGGCAGTGGGGGGGGGGGCATGGATAGGCCACTGAACGGCACGGAGTGTTCGTCTTGAACCCTTTGGCCGCGGCACCCACGGCTGCTCAGCAACTTGCATCGGCCACCGCGACCCCCAGAAGTGGATGGGTGCACATCGAGGCGCGAGTCGGGAGACTCACCTCGTGTCGCGATGACGCCAGGGCCCCTGTCGGCCAGGGCCGCTATGGGACAGGGCCCCTATGGGCCAGGGCCTAACGCCTCCGACCGGAGTCTCGGCCGCATCTCTCAGCAGCAGCAGCAGCAGCCGGGTGTTGTAAGATTGCTCCTCACCGAATGCTGGTAACGAGACGGGTAACGAGCGAGGAGGAGGTGGAGGAGGAGGTGGAGGTGTCGCGATGGTAACGGAGGAGGCGCCGCCGCCGCCGCTTGGGCCTTGAAGCTGCAGAGGCCCTCCGCGTCAGCCCCACCCCTCACCCCCCTCGTTAGCGATTCCTCTCGGACGACTTTCACTACGAATCGATTCCGAATCGATTGCTACGTCCGCTTTGCACGCAAAAGCAGGAATCGCATCGCGCGATCCGGTGAAGAAAGGGAATCACTTTGGCGCGGGAATCGCCGTCAGAGAAATTGTGTTCAAATCTGGAATCATTGAGGGGGTTAAGGAAGTTACTTCAATCTTAATTTTGGAGTTACTTCAGTCGCCACTGTGTATAACTTATTAACTTGACAATTACATTACGGAAAAAGTGTTTGTCGAGAAACTGATGATTTAATATGTATCAGGCACCGCACACAGTGTACGGTGCAAGTTTCCAAATCTTACACCCCTCCCACCCCAATTTATGCACAACGAAGGACCATTGCCCGAAACGTCGACTAATAACAGTGACTGTGAATACTTTCAAGGGTCCCACATCCCCCCCCCCACCACCGCTACACGCGCTAATAACGGGACGGAGTTGGTGAGCGTTGTCCGGCGGCCATATTACTACGGGGTGGCTGGTGACCACCACCGGTAATTTATTGTAATTTAGTAAATTATTACTTAAAATGTATTAATATTATTTTTTTATGCAGAGTGTCTGCTGCTGTGTCCTGTACAGCGCTTTGAGATTTTTTTAATGAAAAAATCCTCTAAATGTAATTATTAATATTACCAGCTCGCTGACTGATGGCATCATTTTAACTCGTCGGCTTTCGCGTCCAATATTATCCCCAAAACAACCTCGAGACCCGAGTGTGGATGACGGCATCACCCCCCACGACGGCGGCGGTGGTGTTGTTGTTGGTGTTGTTGTTGTTGGTGGTGTTGGTGGTGTTGTTGTTCATAGCGGGTGGGGAGGCTTCCCTGAGTAACATGGCCGCCTGATTGCCACCCCCCTCCACTACCAACCCCACCACCCCCACCCCACCCCCCACCACCCCCACCCCCCACCACCCCCACCCCACCCCCCACCACCCCCACCCCACCCCCCACCACCCCCACCCCACCCCCACCACCCCCACCCCACCCCCCACCCCACCCCCACCACCCCCACCCCCACCACCCCCACCCCCACCAGCCCCCACCACACTCCCCCCCACCTCCACCCCACTAACTGCCACCTCGTGCGATCCGGTCCGTGCCTCCACCACCACCGCCGCCACTGCCGCACGTGGTTGTGGTTGTTGTTGACTTGTGAGACTCGTCGTTGAAAAAGGAGGAGGAGAAGAAGAAGAAGGAGGCCGCCTCCCACCGGCCGCCGCATGGCGCCGCGTCACAGGGCGCTCCGGGTCGTGATGGCCGGCGACGAGGTGGTGGTGGCGGCGGTGTCGCCTCATCATCATCATCAGCAGCAGGAGGACTTGGGCCTCGCCACCACCACCGCCTCCTCCCCCGCGGGGCGCGTGGTGCTGGGCCCGGGGCTCCGGCGCGAGGGGGACGTGGTGCTGGCGAGCCGCTGCGGCGTGCTGCGCCACCGGGAGCCGCACACTTACTGGGTCGAATCGCACCAGAAGCGGGTACGTGGAGCAATGGGGGGGTGTCTCTCGCTTTCCTGGGGGGGCCCTCTCTCGCTTTCCTGGGGGGGCCCTCTCTCACTTTCCTGGGGGGCCCTAATGCTGGCAAGGGACCCCCCCCCCCCACGTAGCTCCCCACCGTGAGGTCTTTGAGACGCGTTTGAACCCGGACACGCTCAGCCACGCTCCTTGGGCCACGGTGGCGAGGAGATGTTAACTACCTCGCCTGGTGTACAGGAGGTCGTGGGTTCGATCCCGACCCTGACGACGACTGCTGCTGTATATTTTGAGTCTGCGTGTCTCATCATCATCATCACCACGGTGGCTAGGAGATGTTGACTACCTCGCCTGGTGTACAGGAGGTTGCGGGTTAGATCTCCTGCTGATTATGTGGAGTTTGCGTGTCTCCTCGTGGTCGCGTAGATTTTTCTCCGGGTCCTCCGGGGTTCCCTCCACATTTGTAATCAACATCGCACGTTTCGAGTATTTGGCTGCTCTACATTTCCACGTGATGATGAGCCACTTCGTTGGGCTATCAATTGTGGCCAGGTCTCGTGTGAAAAACAGCTATATATCTCAATGGGCCTTACCTGTTAAAATATTTATTCAGTTTAGTTTAGTACATTTGCTGCGAAGTGGCCAGTAGAGCCGACGCACCAGTAATAATTCTTGAATATGTCTGTGCGGAGTTCTTCGTTATGTCCACGTGTGCCTGACGGATTTTCACTCCGGTTTCTGATTTCCTCCCACGTGCCCACGCGTTGATGCAAATTGTCCAAACATTCCAATACCCTGAGATTGGCGGGGAGACGTGGTGTGTGTGTGTATGTTGACCATCTCTGGCTGATTTTACACGTGTGCTGTGCCCTGTGCTGCGCAGTACGTGCCCGTCAAGGGCGAGACGGTGATCGGAGTGGTGACGGCACGGGCGGGCGACGTCTTCAAGGTGGACGTTGGTGGCAGCGAGCAGGCCAGCCTCTCATTCCTGGCCTTTGAGGGAGCCACAAAGCGAAACCGGCCCAACGTGCAGGTGAGAAGAGAGCCACGGGGGAACCTCCTACAGCGGTGACGACGTGCCCCGACCAGTGCGAGTTCAAGAATCTGAACGTTGATTTGCACTGGAGGAATCTGATGTGCTGCAAAGCTCTTTTTCACAGTAGGGGCCGGTCAGAAGGTTACAACAACAAACAATAAAAAAGTATAGGAAAGGTAAACAAATCACTTTTTTTTTACATAAACTTTTTAATTTACCAGGTAAAGCCCGCTGAGCTATTAGCTTATTTTTCAGAATGGGCCTGCCCTCAAATTATAACTCATTTAAGTGTCTTATCTTATCACGTGGAAATTTCTAGCAGCCGAATACGTAATATAAACGGTCAACAAGGACCATGGTTGCATGTTGAGTCCATTGAGTGAAGTGCTGAAGGCTCCTCTCACTGCTGACAGGAGGTCACGGGACAGACACTTTCACCACCATAACCACCACCCTCATCACATCATACGATGTAGCCAGCGTAATGCTTGGCAGATCGTCTCGTTACCTCTTGGGCGATTGTATACATCTACTCTTTGGTTCTTTCGGTAAAGTCACGTAGAAATAAACATAATAAAATAATAGAACACGACGTTTCGATTGCAACACAAGCAGTCTCAAATTTAGTTGTACCTGATGCAATCGAAACGTCATATTCTATTAGTTAATTTATTTTCTCTTTCTACTGTGACTTTACCGAAATAACCAAAGAGTAATTCCTGCAGTCACGAAAGCTTCAAATCAAGTTTGATTGTACAGTAAAACCTTGGGATTGCGAGCATAATTCGTTCCGGAAACGTGTTTGTAATCCAAAGCACTCGTATATCAGTTGTGATCACGTGACGCTCTGCAGACAAAGCGTATACACGTACTACTCGTATTGCAAGACCTCGCTCGTTCATCAAATTATATTTATTTAAAAAATGTTGCTCGTCTTGCAAAACACTCGCAGACCAAGTTACTCGCAATCCAAGGTTTTACTGTATACATGTCTATCTAGCGATATCTCGTGTCCTTTTGAGGGTTCGATTGGTGACACCTGCTGTACGTATGTTGAACTTCTTTCACATTGTACCGTAGCCAACGTTGCTAATCGGAGGTGCTGGACAACAAACTAACAACCACACGTGCTCCCCCCCCCCACTCTCTCTCTGTTTGTGACGCGTGTGTCTCGTGGGCAGGTGGCAGACCTCGTGTTTGGCCGCCTCCTCGTGGCCAACAAGGACATGGAGCCCGAGTTGGTGTGCATGGACAGTGGGGGCCGAGCGTCCGGCATGGGGGTGCTGGGTCCCGGAGGGTTTCTTCTGCACTGCTCGCTGGGACTGGCGCGGAGGTAGGAGGACGGGGGAAGGTCCCACGCGCGGGGCCCTTGCTCATGCGCTCATCGCAGGACGCAGGCGCCCCGACCCCAAGCACCCTCTTCTTGGTTCTTTCGGTAAAGTCACGTAGAATGGAAATAATAAAATAATAAAAATCAAACATAATAAAATAATTCTCACGAAGAACAGGTCTGTCGAGAAGACAGAGTCTGAAATGTCTGTCTTCTCGACAGACCTGTTCTTCACCTGAGGACGGCTGCTTGCGTTGTGGCCGAAACGTCGTGAGAATTATTTTATTTTGTTTTATTTTTATTATTTTATTATTTCCATTCTACGTGACTTTACCGAAAGAACCAAGAAGATGAATCCCTGCAGTCACGAAAGCTTTCAATCGAAACCCAAGCACCCTGTTAAGGCTGGTAGGGCGAGCAGATGGACGTTGCGGCCTTAGCCGAGCAGGCTCGACCACGTTTTCTGAAGGCGCCATTGTAACGGTGACTTTGGTCGGAACCGATTTCAATCTGAGTCTATGTCGGTCCATTTAGGTTCTGTGTACTCGACACATGGCCTAGCGGTGGCTCGTCCGTTGCCTCTTTCAGATGTTTACGGTTAGAATCCAGCGGCCGCCCTGGTTATTACTGCAGGTATAAGAACCGTAATAATGTTTGTACGTTGAACATCTTTCGGACCGAAAGTAGCCGACCGCCTTGCGCCGCAGTGGATGTTCAGGATCCCCTGATGTCATTTGCAAGAGGAGGCCATTGTATGCTGGCATCAGGGTCCAAATTTGCCACATTCGAAAATGACACCGCACATTTACTCAATTGGGACTACATAGCAATCATCACCCCTTGCTGGTACACTAACGCCCTAGGTCACGCTTGCATATGATACATATCCTGGTCTCTTGAGTTCTTACCCGGTCAACCAAAATCAACTTGAAATTTGACCCGCGTAAGGGAGTGATCGGCGCAGTGGTCAGCCCGCTGCACTATGGGCGCGGAAACTTGACGCTGGTGCCCCCCCCCCCCATGCCTTGGGGCTCCCCCCCCCCCCCCCCCCAGGTTGCTGCAGCCGGACTGCGAGATCCTGCGCCGGCTGGGCGCTGCGTTTCCCATGGAGATCGTGGCCGGCATGAACGGGCGCGTGTGGGTGAAGGCGCGCTCGGTGCGCAACACCCTCCTGGTGGCCAGCCTCCTGGACAGCAGCGAGTTCATGAGCCCGCGGCAACTGCAGGCGGCGCTCGCGCGCATCCCCGAAGACCTCGCGGTGGCACGCTGAGCAGCCCCCCCTCACCCCCGTCCACAGGGACGTCCACCCACCCTCCCCCCTCTTCACTGACAGACGTTAGGTTTTATAAATAAACGAGCGATTTGTTTTATTGTGGCGCGTGCCGTCGCTGAGAGTTCTTTCTGCCGAGGTGGAGGGTGCCCAGGGTTTTTCTGGTCTTCGCGGGAGCGATGGGGTGAGGCCGGGTAGTCGTGGTGGTGGTGGTGGTGATGGCGGAGAGGTGGTGGTGAGGCTTGGGGGTGTTGGTGAGGCCGTGTGATGGTGGTGAGGCCGAAGAGATTGTGTGGTGGTGAGGTTGTGTGATGGTGGTGAGGCCGAAGTGGCGATGGTGTTGATGGTGGAGAGGGTGGGTGGTGAGGCTGTGTGACGGGGATGCCCAGAGGTGGTGGTGACGGTGGGTGATGGTAAGGCTGAAGATGTCGGGAGCTGCCCAGGGTTTGGTTTCCATGACTGGGGGCATAGCGGGGGCATGGGCAGGGGGCTGTCCCTTAATTGAGAGATCTGTGGGGGGATGAACAATATACACCCCCCGCCCTCCTGTAAAATAATTGTGGGCAGTGCGCGTGAACGATCTATTTATAAAAGCAACGAGGGGATGGATACAGCGTAGCCTGATACGGGAATTCAAACTTTTCTTCGTCGTGTTAATTAAGCTGCCCCGAGTCGCGGCTGCAGCGCCTCCTCGCGCCCAACCAGTTACATCTCCACGCAAAGACGCCGATTCTTTACCAAAGATAAAATCCACGGCGTCACCTCGTGCCCCCGCCACTCTCACCACGTCATTTAGCCCCCCAGTAAATTGTGAAAACTACGGAGTTGACGGCCGGGGCTTTTGGTGGCGGCCAGTGCCTTATGCTGGCCGAGCGGTCTCCTGGGGGGCCGTGCTGCTTACCCCCCACCGCCCCCCCCCCCGCTTCTTCCATGGTCACAAGTGGCCGCGCCTGCGTCTGACGTGGCCGCACAGGTGTCCGGGCTGTGCCACTCCGCGCGGAGGGGTGGGGGAGACCCCATCAGCAGTTTTGTGTCGACCCCGCAAAGGGGGGGGGGGGGCGGGGGGGGCTCTCGGCCCCCCCTCCTCCCCGTCCCCTTGAGCGGGGTCGCCGGGTCACGGGCTGCCGTTACGGATGTTGGGGCTTCCACGCCGCCTGCAGGGTCCACCTGCTCCCACCCCCTTCCCACCCCCCTCCTGAGTTGTGAAGACACCCAGGCATGTGCTTGTATGATTGTGTATGTAAGTGTGTGTCTGTGTGTGTCTGCCAGAGAGGATGTGGGGGTAGCGGTCAGCGCAGTCGCTCGTTCCGCTGCGACACGAAACCCGGCGACCCGGGTTCGATTGCCGCTCACTGATTGCCGCTGGGTGATGGTGTTGGTGACGAATATCTGAACTGGTCCTGAGCTTCTCCTAGGTCGACTCGGCCTTGAATAGGTACCTGGTGCGGTGTGTAAAGATCAGCACTGGGGAGACAAAGGCGGACAGACGTGGTGTTGGCCACTCACTCCCCCTCCCCCCCTGGCTTCTATAGGCGCTGCTACTCACGAAGGGCACTTTCCCCAACAGCCCGTTAGAGGCTACACGGGGGAGCTTTGTGTGAGAGAATGAATGACGGCGCGTGCGTGGGAATGCGAGAATGCCAGGTGCAGCCTTCGGGGGCAGGGCAGGCGATGGGGTGAGGTCGAATGAGCGGGGTGGGGGGGAGACCGGGCTGGTGGTGGTGCTGAGGCTGAAGATTTGGTGTTGAGGCTGGAGAGGTGCTGGTGGTGCTGGTGTTGAGGCTGGGTGATGGTGGTGAGACTGCGGTGATGGTGTTGAGGCTGGGTGATGGTGTTGAGGCTGCGGTGATGGTGTTGAGGCTACGGTGATGGTGTTGAGGCTGGGTGATGGTGTTGAGGCTGGGTGATGGTGTTGGGGCTGGGTGATGGTGTTGAGGCTGGGTGATGGTGTTGAGGCTACGGTGATGGTGTTGAGTCTGGGTGATGGTGTTGAGTCTGGGTGATGGTGTTGAGGCTGGGTGATGGTGGTGAGGCTGGGTGATGGTGGTGAGGCTGGGTGATGGTGTTGAGGCTGGGTGATGGTGTTGGGGCTGGGTGATGGTGTTGAGGCTGCGGTGATGGTGTTGAGGCTGGGTGATGGTGTTGAGGCTTGGTGATGGTGTTGAGGCTGAGTGATGGTGTTGAGGCTGGGTGATGGTGTTGAGGCTGGGTGATGGTGTTGAGGCTGGGTGATGGTGTTGAGGCTGGGTGATGGTGTTGAGGCTGGGTGATGGTGTTGAGGCTGGGTGATGGTGTTGAGACTGAGTGATGGTGTTGAGCCTGGGTGATGGTGTTGAGGCTGGGTGATGGTGTTGAGGCTGCGGTGATGGTGTTGAGGCTGGGTGATGGTGTTGAGGCTGGGTGATGGTGTTGAGGCTGGGTGATGAGTCATCGTGGTGATGCTCGGTGATGGTGTTGAGGCTGGGTGATGGTGGTGAGACTGCGGTGATGGTGTTGAGGCTGGGTGATGGTGGTGAGGCTGCGGTGATGGTGTTGAGGCTGGGTGATGGTGTTGGGGCTGGGTGATGGTGTTGGGGCTGGGTGATGGTGTTGAGGCTGGGTGATGGTGTTGAGGCTGGATGATGGTGGCGAGGCTGCGGTGATGGTGTTGAGGCTGGGTTATCGTGGTGAGGCTGGGTGATGGTGTTGAGGTTGCTCCGCAGGTTTTCCTGAATATCTCTCCAGCCGGTGCCCCGCGCCACCGCGCACGGCACGGACCCCGGACGACATCCACCCACCCGCCATGGGGCCCCGCTTGGAGCCCCGTCTGCCGCGCGTGTCGCTGGAATCCCCCCGTGGCAGGGAGGATGCGACTGGGGCAGAGGGGCTCGGGGTAGTCGAGGGGGAGCGTGACCCTCCGCTGTCAAGGAAGTGGGGTGGGGGGGGTCTGATGGGGTTTGTGATCGGGCACCGGTCTTTATGTTCAGCGGACGGGAAGGCCCCGGGCAGCCGTGGAGGAGGATGAGGAGGAGGAGGAAGACGACACCTGCGGTGTTGTGTTCTCCGGAATCGGAATTCCTCCCTCCTTCCGTCACTCTCGCTTGTCCTTCCGCGTCCCTCTCTCTTTCCTCTCTCTCTCTCTCTCTGCAGAGCAGTGCATGTATCCCTGTCTGGTGTCTCTGTCTGGTGTCTCTGTCATCGCTCCCTCCCTCCCCTCTCCCCGCAGTGATCACACCGTACGACCTGTCTCCAATTAAAGCCATTCGCCACACACTCGTCGGCAGCACTGGCTTATTAACAGAAGGACATTTCTTTTGGAATTAATTTTTTTTGTCTAAAAGCTAAATAAAGCATTAAAAGCAGCAACTGCAATGTGACCTAGAGAAGAGAGAGGGGGCTGTGTAATCGCTGTGCGTGATATGCTGTGACGGGGATCGGAGTAACACAGGCGTATGTATGTTGAACTTCTTTCGCACCGTACGTAGCCAAGCGTGCCGTTCGGAGGTGCGGGGGGACGGACACAAAACGAAAACGCACAAAAAGCAATGGGACAAAGGCTGAATGGTGGTCAAAGATGCGCGTAGAGGCGCACGTGTGGAGTTAAAGAGAGACACAGAGATAAACACGCGGAGTAGTTCGGGATATTGACGGTTGGCAAGATCGAACTTGCGGGCAGGATGCGTCGCTGGCGCCCATGATGTCTCTGTCGGTGGTGGAGACTCGACGGTGGAGTGACGGGTCAAAAGACGCGAACGCTTCCGAGAGAGAACGTCCGGCATGGAGACGGAGCGATGAAGTCGACTTTGCATGGGCTAGAATGAATAGGAGACGCTTTGCAGCGTCTTGGGATCGTGAGCGATGGTGATGGCTTGAGTCGGACTTCATCCAGTCGTGGGATCATCATCATCGTCGTGGCTGATGATTGTGATGCTTTGGGTAATCGCCTATCTGTCATAAGGTCATGGTAATATTAAAGTGTGAGTTGTGCTTCAGTGTATGTATGTTGAACTTATTTCGCACCGTGCCTAGCCAGATGTGCTAATCTGAAGTGCGGGGGTGGAAGGACAACAAACTAAACTTAAACAACAAATATTCTAAAGAAATGAGTTTTCAATGTAGAACCGAGTTTCACCTTGTACAGCCACAGCGAACCCATTCCCTTCAAGTTTGCTTCAACTCCTCCCCCGTGTAGCTCCTGCTCACTGATGCCCACAGGGAGCAGTGGCCGCACTTCGATTTGGCTGCCACGTGTGGGATGGTCGTGCGCCAAACCCATAACCACATCTTAACCACAATCAGTAGGGAGGCGATGGCTTTAAGACAACCACATTCAATGCAGGGTGGGGGGGGGGGCTCTCGAATACCCAACCACACGCGTCAGAGGGGGGCTCTTAAAGACAACCGCACTGGATAGGGGGGGGGCGGGGGGCAGCTGGTGAAATTCCTACTCGCACTCGTGGGGAACTAGCGCACACCACGGGGCCGATGCGGCCGTCTCGAACGCCACTCCTCGGGCCCCATCTCAAGCAGTCCGGGTCTCCCCTTTCACAAACCAGATCCACCGTCTTATCTCCCTGGTGCCGGTCTGGGTGGAGTGGTGCCGGTCTGGGTGGAGTGGTGCTCGTATGTCTCCGTTTTGGAAAATGTCACTGCCCCCACCACGGCGGAATCGGCAACTGAACGCTGCTCATTACCCACGCAGAGAACGCACACACGCATGCTTTCAGAACCCCCCCCCCTACCCCCGACTGGAATTTTAACGAGGACTTTACGATCAGGAGTCGAGAAGTTCTGCCCACGGTGCCACGGTGGCGAGATGTTAACTACCTCGCCTGGTATACAGGAGGTCGGGGGTTCGATCCCGACCCTGACGATGCCTGCTGTATATTTTTAGTCTGCGTGTCTCTCTAATCGTCATCAAGGTGGCTAGGAGATGTTCACTATCTCGCCTGGTATACAGGAGGTCGGGGGTTCGATCCTGACCCTGACACCTGTATACAGGGTGCTTTAAAAATGTCAACACGTATACGGGACTATCGTTTTTAATGGGAAAAGAACGCATAATAATACACTGTAACATGATAACAAATGTATGTTAATAGCTTCAAAAAGTCAAAGGGTCTCCACTTGTTTGCCATCATTGTCCACACATGTCTGGAATCTTCTCCAGGTGGTCTCCATGTCTTGTGGTATTGTTGCAAATTCTCGGAAGTGTTAACGTGTTTTTGAAGCACCTTGTATATTTGGAGTTCGCGGTGTCTCTCTGCCCGTTGGTCGCGTGCATTTTTCTCCGTGTGCTCCGGGTTTTCCCTCCACATTTATAAACACGCGTTTAGAGTATTTGGCTGCTGTAAAATGTCCACGCGATAAGCCACTTCATTGAGCTATCACTTGTGATAGCCAGGTCGCTGGTAAAGTAAAAAATAGAGTTGGGTTCACCAATCATCAGGCAGGTGCGGTGCGCAGCCGCTTGCGAGCAGCTGGTAATGATGGGAGTACGAGAAGCGCTGATGTCAGTCCACGAGTGTTTAATACTGTATGCGATTTAGTAGGCCTTCATCCAGCAGTGGATGGATCATGGCTGATGTTGGCGTCGTCTTACGCGGAGAATCGCCCGTCACCGCTTCGGGTTCTAGAGTGAAACATGGAATGATGGGGGAAATAAAACTTTCTCAATCAATACTAGCGGCGCGATGATACATTGGCCGTGGTGTGACGACGGCGATGAAAACATTTATGAATCCAGCACTGTGGATCACCGCGCAGATGTTCTGAAACTCCCATCTCGTGGGCTTCGAGGAGGTGATATCAAATCCCTGGGCTCGCCAGGAGGAGGCGGCTCAGTAAATGTGGACTCATCTTCTTGGTTCTTTCGGTAAAGTCACGTAGAAGGGAAGTAATAAAATAATAAAAAATAAAACATCACAGGGAGGGGATGCTGCTAATCCTGCATCATGCACGGGCAAATTAGCACTAATCACATATCTGCATTTCCCATATCCCCTCCCTTGGATGCTGCTAATCCTGCATAATGCACTTACACAAGTAGTACTAATCACATACCTGCATTTCGCATGGGTATGCTGGATTCCTCTTGATATGCAAATTCTTTTGTCAAGGCGCCCCCTTTCCCCCCCTTCCAACCCAGCTTATATAAATGCTCCAAGCACGTGTGCTGTTTCATTCAGACGCTGTCGCCTCGACAGACCTGGTTTCACCTGAGGACGGCTACTTGCGTTGTGGCCGAAACGTCGTGAGAATTATTTTATTATGTTTTATTTTTATTATTTTATTACTTCCCTTCTACGTGACTTTACCGAAAGAACCAAGAAGATGAATCCCTGCAGTCACGAAAGCTTTAAATCGAAATGTGGACTCCACCGGTTCCATCTGTACAGGGATAGAGTGTTTTGCCCTCTCGCGCGCGTGGGGGTTTCTCCGGGCGCTGCGGTGTCCTCCCACACGCAAAATAAACGCTCGTGAATTGTCTGAAAACATCTTAACACGCAGAGGGCCGCAGAGCTTGGGCCATTGTTGGCAGCGCTGGTGGCAACTCGCCGCGTGGCTGCTGCTGCTGCCATCCGGCTCGTTGTCCGTGGTTCCTCGGCGATTGTGAGAGATGCAATTTGCACGAATGATGGTAGGGCGCAATTTACAAGCTGTTCCAGATGTCTTGTGACTCCCCCCCCCCCCGCTAGTTAATTTACCCCGAACATTGTTATTGTTTATTTTATATATTAATGTATTATTTAATATAAACTTACATTGAAAAAAGTTTTAGAGAATTAAATGGGGGTCACAAGACATCTGAACCGCCCTGTATATAACTAAACATGTATTTATTATGACGTGGTATTTGGTGGTGGGTGTCATTTAAACAAAAGAGATTCGGTCTCGATGCCCTGTCCATATTTACGCAATGAGGCCACTTCTGTCTGTTCAGGAGGCTGCTGCTGCTGCCGGTCAGTGTGTCAGCGCTGTCAGCGAGCACCTATTAAGGCCAGTACGGCACACGTGCGGGTGGCATTGCCAACCAGCGCGGCAGGTCACGGTGGTGCCAACCCCAGGGCTGATGATATTCACGGAATCAGCCACGACAACGAGGAGTGCCGAGTGAGGTTCGGGTCTATCTTGGGAGTGGCCTATTGACGACATCTGCTCGACCTAGTTTCCACAGTCGTCCTCTGGGATCAACCTGGCTCCATCCTCCCATCATCATCGTGTCCCCATCATCCAGCCCCATCCTCCCATACTCCTGCTCCATCCTCCCCGTGCCCCCATCCTCCTATCCTCCTGCCCCATCTTCCAGCCACATCCTTCCCGCCTTCCCATCCTCCAGCCCCATCCTCCCCGTGCCCCCCAACCTCCCATCCTCCTGCCCCATCCTCCCCGCGTCCCCCATCCTCCCATCCTCCTGCCCCATCCTCCCCGCGTCCCCATCCTCCCATCCTCCTGCCCCATCCTCCCATCCTTCAGCCCCATCCTCCCCGTGCCTCCCATCCTCCCATCCTCCCCGTGTCCCCATCCTCCCCGCTTCCCCCATCCTCCTGCCCCATCCTCCCCGCGTCCCCATCCTCCCATCCTCCTGCCCCATCCTCCCATCCTTCAGCCCCATCCTCCCCGTGCCTCCCATCCTCCCATCCTCCCCGTGTCCCCATCCTCCCATCCTCCTGCCCCATCCTCCCCGCGTCCCCGCACTCCCCTCCTCCTCCTCCCCGTCCCCGCCACCTGTCGCTGTCCGTCGCTGCGGCGGCCTCCGTAGAGGCGGCGCTGTCCCCTATCCCCGGACGGACTCGCCTCTCTCTCTGTCTCTCTCTCTGTCTCTCTCTCTCTGTGTCTGTCCACCTCATCAGCCCATCTCCCACCTCGTCTCCTCCCCCCCCGCCAGTTTCTCCACTCTTCGTCTTCACCTCGTTGTCTCAGCACCCCCCTTCCCACTTCAACTCGTCTTCGGCCGGTCTTCACGTCGCATCCGCGTCAACCTCCACCTCGTCACCCTCGTCGTCCTCGTCTCTGCCCCCCCCCACCTCGTCTCCTCCCCTCCTCACGCCTCGTCGACTCGCCTCCACTTCGTCTCAACTCCTACGACTCGCCCACCTCGTCACCCTCGTCTCCACCATTACACACCTCGTCACCCTCGTCTCCACCATTACACACCTCGTCACCCTCGTCTCCACCATTACACACCTCATCACACTCGTCTCCACCATTACACACCTCGTCACCCTCGTCTCCACCATTACACACCTCGTCACCCTCGTCTCCACCATTACACACCTCGTCACCCTCGTCTCCACCATTACACACCTCGTCACCCTCGTCTCCACCATTACACACCTCGTCACCTCTCCAATCTCCACACACCTCGTTACCTTCAATCTCCACACACCTTGTCACCTTCAATCTACACACACCTCCTCACCTCGTCACTCCCCCTGTCTCCACCCACCTCGTCACCCCTCCTGTCTCTCCCCACCTCGTCACCCCCCCCGTCTCTCCCTACACCTCGTCACCCCCCCTGTCTCTCCCTACACCTCGTCACCCCTCCTGTCTCTCCCCACCTCGTCACCCCCCCTGTCTCTCCCTACACCTCGTCACATCTGCTGTCTCTCCCTACACCTCGTCACCCCCCCTGTCTCTCCCCACCTCGTCACATCTGCTGTCTCTCCCTACACCTCGTCACCCCTCCTGTCTCCACCCACCTCGTCACCCCCCGTCTCTCCCTACACCTCGTCTGCGCTGCCTTGAGGAGGGGAACGATGGCGGGACGCGGCGTCCGCGCCCTGCTGCTGTGGCTCTGCGTGGCCTCCGCCTCCCCCGACGGTGAGGAGGGTGAGGAGGTGGTGGTGGACGCGGGGTGAGGAGGTGGTGGACGCGGGGTGAGGAGGTGGAGGACGTGGGGTGAGGAGGTGGTAGAGACTGTGCAGACGAAGAGCGAGTGTGTGTGTGTCGGTGGTGTATAGAGTACATTGGTGTAGGGTGCAGTGTAAGGGTGTTTAGGGTGTAGGGGTGTGTAGGGTGTGGGGGTGTGTAGGGTGTAGGGGTGTATAGGGTGTAGGGTGTGTAGAGTGTAGGGGTGTGTAGAGTGTGGGGTGTATAGGGTGTAGGGGTGTATAGGGTGTAGGGGTGTGTAGGGTGTGGGGGTGTATGGGGTGTAGGGGTGTTCAGAGTGTGTAGGTGTATAGGGCGTAGGGTGTGTAGAGTGTGGGGGTGTATAGGGTGTAGGGGTGTGTAGAGTGTGGGGGTGTATAGGGTGTAGGGGTGTGTAGGGTGTATGGGTGTATAGGGTGTAGGGGTGTATAGAGTGTAGGGGTGTATAGGGTGTAGGGTGTGTAGAGTATGGGGTGTATAGGGTGTAGGGTGTGTAGAGTGTGGGGGTGTATAGGGTGTAGGGGTGTGTAGAGGGTGGGGGTGTATAGGGTGTAGGGGTGTGTAGGGTGTATGGGTGTATAGGGTGTAGGGGTGTATAGAGTGTAGGGGTGTATAGGGTGTAGGGTGTGTAGAGTGTGGGGTGTATGGGGTGTAGGGGTGTGTAGAGTGTGGGGGTGTATGGGGTGTAGGGGTGTGTAGAGTGTGGGGGTGTATAGGGTGTAGGGGTGTGTAGGGTGTGGGGGTGTATAGGGTGTAGGGGTGTGTAGAATGTGGGGTGTATGGGGTGTAGGGGTGTGTAGAGTGTGGGGTGTATAGGGTGTAAGGGTGTGTAGAGTGTGGGGGTGTATGGGGTGTAGGGGTGTGTAGAGTGTGGGGTGTATAGGGTGTAGGGGTGTGTAGAGTGTGGGGGTGTATGGGGTGTAGGGGTGTGTAGAGTGTTGGGGTGTATAGGGCGTAGGGTGTGTAGAGTGTGGGGTGTATAGGGCGTAGGGTGTGTAGAGTGTGGGGGTGTATGGGGTGTAGGGGTGTGTAGAGTGTGGGGGTGTATGGGGTGTAGGGTGTGTAGAGTGTGGGGTGTATAGGGTGTAGGGTGTGTAGAGTGTGGGGTGTATAGGGTGTAGGGGTGTGTAGAGTGTGGGGGTGTATGGGGTGTAGGGGTGTGTAGAGTGTTGGGGTGTATAGGGCGTAGGGTGTGTAGAGTGTGGGGGTGTATGGCGTGTAGGGTGTGGAGAGTGTAGGGGTGTGTAGGGTGTAGGGGTGTGTAGAGTGTGGGGGTGTATAGGGTGTAGGGGTGTGTAGAGTGTGGGGTGTATAGGGTGTAGGGGTGTGTAGAGTGTGGGGGTGTATGGCGTGTAGGGAGTGTAGGGGTGTGTAGGGTGTAGGGGTGTGTAGAGTGTGGGGGTGTATAGGGTGTAGGGGTGTGTAGATTGTGGGGGTGTATAGGGTGTAGGGGTGTGTAGAGTGTGGGGTGTATAGGGTGTAGGGGTGTATAGGGTGTGGGGGTGTGTAGAGTGTAGGGATGTATAGGGTGTGGGGGTGTAGGGTGTAGGGGTGTGTAGAGTGTGGGGGTGTATAGGGTGTAGGGGTGCGTAGGGTGTATGGGTGTATAGGGTGTAGGGGTGTATAGAGTGTAGGGGTGTATAGGGTGTAGGGTGTGTAGAGTGTGGGGTGTATGGGGTGTAGGGGTGTGTAGAGTGTGGGGGTGTATGGGGTGTAGGAGTGTGTAGAGTGTGGGGGTGTATAGGGTGTAGGGGTGTGTAGGGTGTGGGGGTGTATAGGGTGTAGGGGTGTGTAGAATGTGGGGTGTATGGGGTGTAGGGGTGTGTAGAGTGTGGGGTGTATAGGGTGTAAGGGTGTGTAGAGTGTGGGGGTGTATGGGGTGTAGGGGTGTGTAGAGTGTGGGGTGTATAGGGTGTAGGGGTGTGTAGAGTGTGGGGGTGTATGGGGTGTAGGGGTGTGTAGAGTGTTGGGGTGTATAGGGCGTAGGGTGTGTAGAGTGTGGGGTGTATAGGGCGTAGGGTGTGTAGAGTGTGGGGGTGTATGGGGTGTAGGGGTGTGTAGAGTGTGGGGGTGTATGGGGTGTAGGGTGTGTAGAGTGTGGGGTGTATAGGGTGTAGGGTGTGTAGAGTGTGGGGTGTATAGGGTGTAGGGGTGTGTAGAGTGTGGGGGTGTATGGGGTGTAGGGGTGTGTAGAGTGTTGGGGTGTATAGGGCGTAGGGTGTGTAGAGTGTGGGGGTGTATGGCGTGTAGGGTGTAGGGGTGTGTAGGGTGTAGGGGTGTGTAGAGTGTGGGGGTGTATAGGGTGTAGGGGTGTGTAGAGTGTGGGGTGTATAGGGTGTAGGGGTGTGTAGAGTGTGGGGGTGTATGGCGTGTAGGGAGTGTAGGGGTGTGTAGGGTGTAGGGGTGTGTAGAGTGTGGGGGTGTATAGGGTGTAGGGGTGTGTAGATTGTGGGGGTGTATAGGGTGTAGGGGTGTGTAGAATGTGGGGTGTATGGGGTGTAGGGGTGTGTAGAGTGTGGGGGTGTATAGGGTGTAGGGGTGTGTAGAGTGTAGGGGTGTATAGGGTGTAGGGTGTGTAGAGTGTAGGGATGTGTAGAGTGTGGGGTGTATAGGGTGTAGGGGTGTGTAGAGTGTAGGGGTGTATAGGGTGTAGGGGTGTGTAGAGTGTGGGGGTGTATAGGGCGTAGGGGTGTGTAGAGTGTAGGGGTGTATAGGGTGTAGGGGTGTGTAGAGTGTAGGGGTGTGTAGGGTGTGGGGGTGTATAGGGTGTAGGGGTGTGTAGAGTGTGGGGTGTATAGGGTGTAGAGGTGTGTAGGGTGTGTGGGTGTATAGGGTGTAGGGGTGTGTAGAGTGTGGGGGTGTATAGGGTGTAGGGGTGTGTAGAGTGTGGGGGTGTATGGGGTGTAGGGGTGTGTAGAGTATGGGGTGTATAGGGTGTAGGGGTGTGTAGGGTGTTGGGGTGTTTAGGGCGTAGGGTGTGTAGAGTGTGGGGGTGTATGGGGTCTAGGGGTGTATAAGGTGTATGGGTGTACAGTATATGATGAATCGTAGGGGTGTATATATTGGGTGTAGTTCTTGATAGTGTAGTGCTTGAGTGTGGGGTGTGTTGATGTGCCCCGTGTGACGGTAAACGAGTGTGGTAAGTGCAGACTGGGTAGTAGGGATGCCGCTGTAGGGATGTATGACTGTGAGTGGTGTGTGAGTGTGTATTGTCAGTCCGACCTGAACCAACCCCCACCGCGCCCCGCGAGCCAAATAACTGTGCTGTTGGATTTGTGGCATCTGGTGGCCCGTGTCACGGCATTCGTTTGAATCAGCCCGTCCATTATACAGTATAGAGAGAGTACAAACACTCCACCTCCTCCCCCAGTGTGGGGGTCACAAGCGTTGGGCCAAGCATTTCCTTCTCAATGTGATTATCCGGCGTTTAAGAAAAAAATAAGGTGCCTCCTTCCCGTAAAGTCACGTAGGTATTCTAGATTTGAAGCTTTCGTGACTGCAAGGATTCATACTCTTAGTTCTTTAGGTAAAGTCACGTAGGTAAAAAATGAAATTAAAATGATTTTTTTTATTAATTTTAATTAATTTTTTTACCTACGTGACTTTACCGATAGAACTAAGAGTATGTCACGTAGGTACTTAATAAAATAAATCTCGACGTTTCGGGCGCAACACAAGCGCCCGAAACGTCCTGATTTATACTATTTTATACCCACGTGACTTTACGGAAAGAACCAAAGAGTATGGATTCCTGCAGTCACGAAAGCTTCAAATCAAGATTGCCTCCTGCAACTTCGGCGACCAATACTATCCATAGTCGAGGTTTGTTTTTTTGTCTTCGCTGGAGTCCCTTAAAAGATGCAGGGATTCAAAGGCAACGCCACATCGTGCCCTCTATTTAAGAGCGATGCAGGAGGAGGATCTCTCCACAACTCTGTGGCTGTCGCCTGACGATGCCGGTTGTTGTAATTACCGGCGAAACGTCACGGGTACTCGAATTGTAAATGTCACGTGTTGTGCTCGTGACGAATTGGCCACGTTTTGTTTACGCGACAAACCCCTTACTGATCGGCCGTGTCCGGGTGGTGGCGGGTTTAACGACACATTAATATTCACTCGATTTAACCCCAACAAAAATCTCTATTATGCTGCTGTATGTCCTTTAAACCCTGACCTAGAAAAACCGCTGGCTTACACTGCAGGGAATTTTACGCGGTGAACAGCTGTTCGCTGACAATGGACTCTGAAATATTCCTCGGGGGTGCTGAGAGAGAGATGTTTGCGAAGCCACCCATGCCCCCCCTCTCTCTCTCTCTATCCACTTCCTCAGCCTCCCTCTGTCTGTCTCCTCGTCAGACTCACCACTCGTCGCCTTCACCTCATCATCATCATCTCACCGTGTTGCCATCATCAACCTCCCTTCCCTCTCCACCTCATCTTCGACCGGTCTTCACGTCGCATCCCCGTCAACCTCCATGTCGTCGTCTCGCGCTCCCTTCGTCTCGTCTGCACGTCACCTACGTCTCCACCATTATACACCTCGTCACGTCTCCAATCTCTACACATCCTCGTCACCTTTACAATCTCCCTACACCTCGTCACCCCTCCAATCTCCACCCACTCATGTGTCAAGTCACTCAGGAATTCACCGACTCACTCAAGCACATTCATCCACTTACTCATTCACCCACTCACTTGTCAAAGTCACTCAATAATCTAACCACCCACTCACGTTCACGACCCCAATCACCCTGCCCTTTAGCTTTGCGCACCTGTTCAAGTTTGACCCAGACAGTCCAGGAATTGGCAGCTGTGTTCGGGGTGTCAGGATTGGATTTGTACCGCGATGTGTTGGCACTCTTGCTGCCCTGGATCAGTTTTGATACTGGTAGTAACCTCCTGGTTACACCAGCCCACAGGGGATTATTGTGTCCGTCCGTCCGTCGTGAATCCAAAAATGGGAGGGATGGGGCTGGGTGGAGAGGGGAGGGGTTGGGTGTGGAGGGAGGGGCTCGGTGGGGAGGGTGGGGAGGGGCTGGGTGGGGAGGGTGGGGAGGGGCTGGGTGGGGCTGGGTGGGGAGGGGCTGGTCACCCCGTGGTGCCCTTATAAAACTCAACATTTAACCTACTCACGCCGGCTTGCGGAATACACCACGCCGCCGTTGACCCTGGCCATTGACCAAGCAACCCAACGTTCCTACCAGCTCCCTCCGCAGGAATGTGTTTATAGACCTCGGTTCACCGAGAGAGAGATAGAGAGATATCCGGGTTTGGTCTACAGTGAACATGTGGCAACTCTTGCCAAGAGGTATGGACCCCCCGTACATTTGTCTGTTGTGTGTGAAGGGCTCAATCTCCTGCCTGTGTAGTCCTTTGGTCAACATTTTATTTAGCAGCCCCCTCGCACCACCTCTCCTCCCCCCCATTTGCCACTGTGATGGATGGCAGCCGTGCCATGAGGGGTTGATCAGCTGACTCACGGCAAGCTGTTTCTCTCTCTCTCTCTCCAATTGGCATCACAGCGCTGTGTTCGTCACATTGCACCACCGTGCTCCCGCGTGACACCACGAGGAGGTGCGGGGACTGTTCCAGCCAGTGGTGTGCACCTAGCCTGGCACGAGGGCTGTGGTGACGTCACTGTCACTTTTAGTGGCGAATAGCGGTCGTTGATTATGTTGAAGGGACCACCATAAAACTATAAACAAACTAAATATTTTATTTTACCAGGCAAGGCCTACTGAGCTATTTTTCATAAGCGATCTGGCCACTAAAAGAAAGCTCAACGAAGTGGCTTATCATCATCACTTGTGAAGTACCGGTGAAGACACTTGACGCCGAGGTGGAGGCACACGGATATTTATTCAACACAACTCGTATGTGACATACAGCACTGGAGGGGGTATCGGCCCCCTCACCCGACTAGCTCAAGGATACACTTCCTGGCTAAGTCCTAGCCTACCTCACAGTCCTCCACTACTGGGCTAGGGGAGGCTACTTGGCCCGACACTGGTAAGTCGGGCCGGTACCCGGAGTCCCAGACCAGCTCTTAGAAGAGCACCGGCTCTGGCTTTCGGGACCACGCCGCTGGCTCGGTCCTGTTCGGCCCTGACAAGGACATCGAACGAGGGAGTCCAGGGCTCTATCTAAGACGTCTTCAGTCTTCTTAGTTAACTATAACATAACTAACTCCCGAGCCCATATAACGTCCCCTTTTATACCCAACCCTCCTTGAGGGGTGGGGCCCCGGGGGATCATAACGCCAAACCAGCCCCCCCCAGGGTGTCTGGCTCGGACGTCGCAGAGGGCATCTCCCTGTGCACACACGTAGCCCCGCCCACTGTGTTTCTTTCCCATAGACTGCCATACATAACGGCCCTCTCTCTAACATCCCTACACTTGTAAATGTATAACAGCCAGATACTCAAACGCATGTTTCTAACTATGGAGGGAAAAACAAGAGGAAAAATCCACGCGACCACGGGGAGAGAGACACGCAAACTCCAAATATACAGGCTTCAGGGTTGGGATCGAACCCACGACCTCCCGCATACCAGGTGAGGTCGTTAACATCTCCGAGGCCAACCGTGAGGCTATTGGGGTGGATTTCTGTCTTCGTCCGTCCCAAGGACCCGTCATCACCTTGGGGCCCGAGAACCAGGATGCACTGGTGGAGCAGGAGGCGTCCTTCACGTGCCACGTGACGGCCTCCCCACCAGCCGAGATCACCTGGTCCCGCAACCACGTGCCCGTGAGGTGAGCCAGCTCAGCTGCCCGAGTCCGTCCCCGGTGTCAAGGACAATGGTTCTCCCGCTGCCTGCGCAGACACGGGCTCGTCCACCATCTGCTGCTGCTGGTGCTCGAACCCGCGATGCTGTGCGATTTGAGTGGTGGGAATTGTCGTCGAGCCGGGCAGTGGGAACGTGATGGTATACGACGGCGCGTCACATCGGTGCTTCTCAGAACACCAAGTGTGAATAGGTCTAATCCCGGAATTTAATTTAATGAATTTTATTTTCTACCTACGTGACTTTACCGAAAGAACCAAAGAGTATTGGATCCCTGCAGTCACGAAAACTTCAAATCGAGATTATTCCCGGAACTCCATACATTTCCATTTCGATCACAGAGCACACCTGTACACGAGTCCACAAAACAATAGGGGGCCTTGATCAGACACACGGACACAACAACAACAGCCGCCATGCGCCACTAAGTGGCAGTGACGTATCTACAACGCCTGTGCCAGGCTAGGTGCACTTTGAGGCCACGTGAAGTGTTGGAGGCTCGATGGCAGGAGGGCCCGGCACAGACCCAGGTGCCGTGGGTTGACTGACTGAGATGACTGGCAGATGCACAAGACGCACAAGGGTACTCGCGCAGACAATACCGTCAGAGATTCTCTGCATGACCGTGGGTGGTGTGGCCGGACCCACGCCCGTCCACTTGTCTCCCCAGTGCTGATAATTACTCACCACACCAGGGCACTAATGAGGTCCAGGACCGGCTCTGATGGCACTCGCCACTGATATTACCCCTGCCCAGGAATCAAACTCGGGGCGTCGGGTTCGTAGCAAAGTTGCACAATCCGCGACACCGCCACTTCCTCCGGCACGCACAGACAACACACACGTACAGACGCAAAGACAAAGCAAAGACACACGTACACACACGTACAGACGCAAAGACAAAGCAAAGACACACGTACACACACAGACGCAAAGACAAAGCAAAGACACACGTACACACACACAGACCCAAAGACAAAGCAAAGACACACGTACACACACAGACGCAAAGACAAAGCAAAGACACACGTACACACACGTACACACACACGCACATACACACGTACACACACACAGACCCAAAGACAAAGCAAAGACACACACACGTACACACACACATACACACACACGCACATACACACGTACACACACACAGACCCAAAGACAAAGCAAAGACACACACACGTACACACACACATACACACACACGCACACACACACGTACACACACACAGACCCAAAGACAAAGCAAAGACACACACACGTACACACACACATACACACACACGCACATACACACGTACACACACACATACACACACACGCACAGCACGTACGCGTGGTGCCGCTGTGCCGTTCCCCGCCTTCGTCGGTGCTGCTCGCGAGTAGCACTCGCCCCGACAGCCTGTGCAGGCAGACCACGTGGGGGTTGGGTGGGGATCTCCACCTCTGTCCGCGTGTGTGCGTGTGTGTGTGCGTGTGTGTGTCCGCGTGTGTGTGTGCGTGCGTGTGTGTGCGTGTGTGTGTGCGTGCGTGTGTGTGCGTGTGTGTGTGCGTGTGTGTGCGTGCGTGTGTGTGCGTGTGTGTGTGTGTGCGTGCGTGTGTGTGTGTGCGTGTGTGTGCACCGCAGGCGCTTCGATGCGCGCTACCGGCTGGGCGAGGGCGGGCAGCTGCTCACGGTGGTGACGGTTGAGGAGCCGGACGCGGGCGTGTACTGCTGCACCGCCTCCAACGGGCACGGCACCCCGGCCAACGCCTGCGCCGCCCTGCAGGTCAAGATGAGTGCGTGGCGCTCAATCACCGCCCCGTGCTGCTGCTGCTGCCCCGTGCTGCTGCTGCCCCGCCACCCTGTGTGTTGCCCCGTGCTGCCCCGTGCTGCTGCTGCCCCGTGCTGCCCACCCTGCCCCGTGCTGCTGCTGCCCCGCCACCCTGTGTGCTGCCCACTCCTGCCCCGTGCTGCTGCCCCGCCACCCTGTGTGCTGCCCACTGCTGCCCCGTGCTGCTGCCCCGCCACCCTGTGTGCTGCCCACTGCTGCCCCGTGCTGCTGCCCCGCCACCCTGTGTGCTGCCCACCCTGCCCCGTGCTGCTGCCCCGCCACCCTGTGTGCTGCCCCGTGCTGCTGCTGCCCCGTGCTGCTGCTGCCCCGCCACCCTGTGTGCTGCCCACTGCTGCCCCGTGCTGCCCCGCCACCCTGTGTGCTGCCCACTCCTGCCCCGTGCTGCTGCTGCCCCGCCACCCTGTGTGCTGCCCACTGCTGCCCCGCGCTGCCCCGCCACCCTGTGTGCTGCCCACTGCTGCCCCGTGCTGCCCCGCCACCCTGTGTGCTGCCCACTGCTGCCCCGTGCTGCTGCCGCCCCGCCACCCTGTGTGCTGCCCACTGCTGCCCCGCGCTGCCCCGCCACCCTGTGTGCTGCCCACTGCTGCCCCGTGCTGCCCCGCCACCCTGTGTGCTGCCCACTGCTGCCCCGTGCTGCTGCCGCCCCGCCACCCTGTGTGCTGCCCACTGCTGCCCCGTGCTGCCCCGCCACCCTGTGTGCTGCCCACTGCTGCCCCGTGCTGCTGCCGCCCCGCCACCCTGTGTGCTGCCCACTGCTGCCCCGTGCTGCCCCGCCACCCTGTGTGCTGCCCACTGCTGCCCCGTGCTGCCCCGCCACCCTGTGTGCTGCCCACTCCTGCCCCGTGCTGCTGCCCCGCCACCCTGTGTGCTGCCCACTGCTGCCCCGTGCTGCTGCTGCCCCGCCACCCTGTGTGCTGCCCACTGCTGCCCCGTGCTGCCCCGCCACCGTATCTGCTCCTCACTCGTGACCCCAGTACCGCCCCGTGCTGCCCTGCTGCTGCCCCGCTGCTTCGTGCTCCCTCCACCTGCCTCGTGCTGCCCGCGCCCAGCCTGTGTTGCCCTGCGCTGCCCCCACGCTGCCCCTGCGTGACCCTTGCCACCCTACTGCCCTGTGTTTACACGTCTCGCTTCGAGTCTCTCTCGCGTTTGTGTGCGTGCGTTCACGCACGAGTACGAGTGAATGCACACACACATACACGCGTGTGCGTTTTGTGGATGCGCAATTGAGTGCGTGTCCCTGAACGTGGTGCGTGCGTGTGCGCGTCTGCGTGCGCGTCTGCGTGGGTGCGCGCGTCTGCGTGCGTGCGTGCGTGTGCGCGCGTGCCCGCACGCTCTCAGAGCCGCGCGTCACCCGGCCGCCCGGCGACGTCACGGTTGTGGCGGGCGCCAAGGTGGTGCTGCCCTGCATCTCCATGGGCAACCCCACCCCGGCCATCTCCTGGACCAAAGACAACGCTCCTCTCAGGGTGAGCGGTCAGCGCGACCCTCCTCGCCTCACCTGACCGCGTAGCCGCCCCACCTGATCTCAATCCATCCCGACCCATCCGTATCTGCCATCGGCTTCCTTGTCTGTCTGTGTTCACTTGTTCGTAGGGGTCGGCACGGTTTGAACCGACTCAAACTGGTTTCAAATTGAGCAAACCAAACCAAACCAGCGACGACTGAACCAAACCAAACCAAAACCAAACCAAACTAAGCTAAACCAAACCTCTTGAGTTGGCTTGAACCGAAAAGATGCGCGGCAAACAATATTCGCATTCAATACAAATATCAAGTGTATTAATCGCTAATTTCTACGCAGGCTTTCTTCATATTGAGATTCACTAGCAAGTACTGGACGACGATGTCGTCCACAGCCATCTCCTCAAGCTTGGCACGCCCAATGTCTTTGAACGCAGTGTGGTAGTTCAATGGCAGTGAAACCCCAACACTAGGCAACATCCGCGCCCACGAGCGCACACACATCTCGGCCTTGAACGTGCACTTGTGCAGGTTTGGTCGGTCGAGAAAGGAGCGCTTGGCGGCCGAGTTTGCTCTCTCGGAGGGCACGGACGACGCCGGGATAGGCAAATAGTCGAGGGCCACGCGTCGCAGGCGCGGGTACTTGCCGCCGTACAGCTTCCACCACTCGACGACGTCCATGCTCAGGTCCTGAGTCGGCTCAAGCAGGAAGCGGTCGACCTCGGAGGCGGCGCCGTCGTGAGCGTTGGGCGCGTAGACCATGTCAAAGAGGATGTTAATGCCGCCACGCGGCGCCGCGTCCGTCGTCAACGCTGGGTAGCGCTGGTTGAGAATGTCCGTCATCATGTCCTTGATATTGCTGTACTCGGCCTTTACAACCAACCAAACTAGTTTGAGCCGGTTCCACCCTGTCCGAGCCAAACCGAGTCGGTTTTCGTAGCCCCAAACCAAACCGAACCAGTTCAAACAGAGCCAAACCAAACTGATTTGGTTCGGTTCAAACCGCGGTTTGGTGGTTTGAGCCAAACCGTGCCGACCCCTACTTGTTCGTGCCTCGTTTTCCCCTCCATCTTTCCGTGCCCCCTCTGTGGAGTGCCTCTGTGCCCTCCTGTCTCTCTGTATATCTCCCTTGCCTCCCCGTGTCTCCAAGTGTCCTCACGTTTGTGTGCCCCACGTATCTCTGCATGCCTCTCACTGTATCCCTTCATGTCCTTGTGCGTCCCAGTGACCCCAACTGTGTTTTGGTGTGTCCGCACACGCCCTCACGTGCCGTATTACCCCCACTACGGACCCCCCACCCGTGCCCACCCACACCGTGTTTCCCCCACTGCGGACCCCCCACCCGTGCCCACCCACGCCGTATTACCCCCACTGCGGACCCCCCACCCGTGCCCACCCACACCGTGTTTCCCCCACTGCGGACCCCCCACCCGTGCCCACCCACGCCGTGTTTCCCCCACTGCGGACCCCCCACCCGTGCCCACCCACGCCGTGTTCCCCCCACTGCGGACCCCCCACCCGTGCCCACCCACACCGTGTTTCCCCCACTGCGGACCCCCCACCCGTGCCCACCCACGCCGTGTTCCCCCCACTGCGGACCCCCCACCCGTGCCCACCCACGCCGTGTTCCCCCCACTGCGGACCCCCCACCCGTGCCCACCCACGCCGTATTACCCCCACTGCGGACCCCCCACCCGTGCCCACCCACACAGTGTTTCCCCCACTGCGGACCCCCCACCCGTGCCCACCCACGCCGTGTTCCCCCCACTGCGGACCCCCCACCCGTGCCCGCCCACACCGTGTTTCCCCCACTGCGGACCCCCCACCCGTGCCCACCCACACCGTGTTTCCCCCACTGCGGACCCCCCACCCGTGCCCACCCACACCGTGTTTCCCCCACTGCGTACCCCCCACCCGTGCCCACCCACGCCGTGTTCCCCCCACTGCGGACCCCCCACCCGTGCCCGCCCACGCCGTGTTTCCCCCACTGCGGACCCCCCACCCGTGCCCGCCCACACCGTGTTTCCCCCACTGCGGACCCCCCACCCGTGCCCGCCCACGCCGTGTTTCCCCCACTGCGGACCCCCCACCCGTGCCCGCCCACGCCGTGTTCCCCCCACTGCGGACCCCCCACCCGTGCCCACCCACGCCGTGTTCCCCCCACTGCGGACCCCCCACCCGTGCCCGCCCACGCCGTGTTTCCCCCACTGCGGACCCCCCACCCGTGCCCGTCCACGCCGTGTTACCCCACTGCGGACCCCCCACCCGTGCCCACCCACGCCGTGTTTCCTCCATCCACGGTCCCCGCTGCAGGAGTCGAGCCGCGTGTCGGTGCTGGCGTCGGGGAACCTGCGCGTGCGGGGCGCCACGCGCACGGACGGCGGCCTCTACCGCTGCGCGGCGCGCAACAGCCTCGGCGTGGAGTACTCGCGGCCCGCCCTGCTCACCGTGAACGGTGGGGGGGGGGGGGGAGAGGGACAGGGACGTGAGGACACGGGGATGCAGGGACACGGGGGCACGGGGACGTGAGGGCACGGGGGCACGGGGACGTGATGACACGGGGGCACGGGGACGTGATGACACGGGGGCACGGGGACGTGAGGGCACGGGGGCACGGCGACGCAGGGATGCGGCGGGGGCACAGGGACGTGAGGACACAGGGGCATGGGAACATTGGGACGTGGGGACACGGAGACGGGAGTACGTGGAGATATGGAGACTAAACTATAAACGAATCAATGTTTTAAGTTACCAGGTAAGGCCCACTGAGCTATGATAGCTCTTTTTCAGAAGCGACCTGGCTATCACAAATGATAGCTCAACGAACTGGCTCATCATCGTGTGGAAACGTATAGTAGCCGAATACTCTAAATGCGTGATGTTGATTCTAAATATGGAGGGAAAAACCGGAGGACCCGGAGAAAAATCCACACGATCACGGGGAGAGACACGCAGACTCGAAATATACAGCAGGCATCGTCAGGGTCGAGATCAAACCCACGACCTCCTGTATACCAGGCGAGGAAGATAACATCTCGCCACTGTGGTGCTGCCATTGGGTACAGGAACACGGAGACATGAGGACCACAGGGGGAGGGGGACACAGGGACAAGGAGCATGAACTATCAACAAGTGAACTCCGGTCATCCTCCCAGCAGCACCGGCTTTTGGCTTGCTCTCGAACAAAGACGGTCACCGCATCGTGCGCTTTCAGATGCGCTTCTGCGGCCGTCTGGAACGCTCTCCCTTCCGATATTAGGAGGCCATTGGAACTATGCACATTTAAATCATCGAGATTGGCAAACGCGCTCCTTTCGAACTGCTTTTTGTGTTTCGCTTGTTGTCCTTCCCCCGCACGTCCGATTAGCCCAGCTGGCTGCGTACGGTGCGAAAGAAGTTGAGCGTACATATGTAGTGTCGAAGGTCTCTTCTTCCTTCTTGCTCGAGGCTTGTGTGTGTGTGGGTGGCGTGCGTCGCACACACACACTCAGTCGGAGACGAGGCAGTCGCACGAGGCACCGTCCTCCCCTTTTATTGTTGTGGAGTTCACGCCACCAATTCGGGCCCCCTCTCTCTCTCACGACCACGCTGCCGCACGACCCGTCACAGACACGACCCTGGCACAGACACGACCCGTCACAGACACGACCCTGTCACAGACACGACCCGTCACAGACACGACCCGTCACAGACACGACCCGTCACAGACACGACCCGTCACAGACACGACCCTGTCACAGACACGACCCGTCACAGACACGACCCGTCACAGACACGACCCTGTCACAGACACGACCCTGTCACAGACACGACCCGTCACAGACACGACCCTGTCACAGACACGACCTGTCACAGACACGACCCTGTCACAGACACGACCTGTCACAGACACGACGCTGTCACAGACACGACCCTGCCCGCGTTGCACCGACGGCGTCGACCGAGACGGCCAACTTCTGTCCGGCCGCGCGATGACCGGGCGAAGGCGGCAGCGACGAGACGAGTCCACTCCCAGAACCGGCAGCCCGGAGCTCCCGCTCTCTGCTGCTTTTATTCCCCACGAGGTCGACCGTGACCCTTGCCCCAGTGCCTCGGCCCTCCCGGCACACCCGTGTATATGCTCAACGGCGTGTATGCTAAGTGTCTACCTGCAGCTGCGGCTGCTGTACCAGTCAGCGCTATGTCACTACACATACAGGGGCACGCGGCGACACTGAGCTTCACCGAACCTTAACGCTGCCTCCTTCTACTGTGCCCGTGTCTCTGCAGAGAAGAGCGTGGACCACGCAAGTGCTGAAGGTGGGTGTCCCTGTGTCCGGTGTGTCTCTTTGTCTCCGTGTTTCCACGCGCTGTACCTGCATGCTGCGTGTGTGTGTGTGTCCTGTGTCTTTCTGTGTTTTTGTCTCAAGCTGCGTGTCCGTGTGTCTCGTCGTCCATGCTGCGTCTCTCTCTGTCCGTGTATCCACGCCGTGTCTCTGTGTGCCCCATGCCACGTCGTGCGCATGTCTCCGTGTCTCATGTCTCTGCGCGTCTCTACGCAGTGCATCTCGTCCCTCCGTGTCCCGTGCCTCTGTCTCCACGCCGTGTCGCTCCGTGCCGTGTGGGCACCGCAGGTCCTGCGCGCATGCTGCAGGCCCCAGAGGCCGAGTATCAGGTTCGGCACGGGGCCGAGCTGGTGCTGCTGTGTCGAGCTCGGGGCCTCCCTCCTCCCACACTCACGTGGACGCGTGACGCTGCCCCCGTGAGTCCTACACTGGGCAGCACACTGGGCAGTACACTGGAAGGTACACTGGGCAGCACACTGGGACCCACACTGGGCAGCACACTGGGACCCACACTGGGCAGCACACTGGGCAGCACACTGGGACCCACACTGGGCAGCACACTGGGACCCACACTGGGCAGCACACTGGGACCCACACTTCGACCTACACCAGGCACCAGACTGGGCACCAGACTGGGCACCACACCAGGCACCACACCAGGCACCACACCAGGTCCTACACTTAGAATCCCAGTTGTGATGCGCAACGCAGCATTGGGTTGTAATTTAAACCGATTGTGTCTCTGTGAGTATCTCTGTCAGTGCCACCGTGAGTGTCGTTGTGTTGCTGTGTCGCAATGTGACTGTGAGTATCGCTGTGTCACTGTGAGTGTCACTGTGAGTGAGTATCTCTGTGAGTATCTCTGTGAGTGTCGTTGTGTCGCTGTGTCGTAATGTGACTGTGAGTATCTCTGTGAGTATCTCTGTGAGTATCTCTGTGAGTGTCGTTGTGTTGCTGTGTCGCAATGTGACTGTGAGTATCTCTGTGAGTATCTCTGTGAGTGTCTCTGTGAGTATCTCTGTGAGTGTCTCTGTGAGTGTCTCTGTGAGTATTTCTGTGAGTGTCACTGTGAGTGTCTCTGTGAGTGTCTCTGTGAGTATCTCTGTGAGTATCTCTGTGAGTGTCTCTGTGAGTATCTCTGTGAGTGTCACTGTGAGTGTCGTTGTGTTGCTGTGTCGCAATGTGACTGTGAGTATCTCTGTGAGTATCTCTGTGAGTGTCGCTGTGAGTGTCGTTGTGTCGCTGTGTCGCTTTGTGACTGTGAGTATCTCTGTGAGTATCTCTGTTAGTGTCTCTGTGAATGTCTCTGTGAGTGTCTCTGTGAGTGTCTCTGTGAGTGTCTCTGTGAGTATCTCTGTGAGTGTCACCGTGAGTCTCACCGTGTCGCCGCGTACAGCTGCCTCCAGAGCTCTCGCCGGAGGTGGTGACGCGCGGCGCGGTCACGGAGTCCTGGGTCCGGCTCCGCGTCTTCCTCTCCGCCAACTTCGCGTGCCGCGCCGACAACATTCACGGCAGCGCCGAAGCGCGCACACGTGTCTCCCTGCAGGGGGAGGGGCCCGGTGGGTGGTGGCGGCAGGGGGGTCGACTCAGCCTCAAATTAGTACCTGGTGCGGTGTGTAGTAAACATCGCCACTGGGCGAGACAAAGGTGGTCGGGCGCAGTGCTGGCCACCCACCCCCTCGTGTGCCGTGCCGGCCTTTGTAGGTGCTGCTCGCTAACAGCACTTGCCCCAACAGTTTGTTCAGGCTATAAGGGGGATCTTTGTCTTTGAGGTCGGTCGGATTTGGGGAGATGATGCTGTCCGCTGACAGCAATTCAATCAGTCAAAACCGTTCGAATGCTCACGGTGGACCCATTAAAATAACGTGAATTGAATCGCGAAATTCCACCACTCAGCACTCGCCGCGCGTTCATGATTTTACTGCACCCTGAGAGTCGGGAGGTGCCACCTTGTCCCTGCCATTCACCCCACACCGCCCTGCTCACGTGGTCCCCCAGCCCTCGCGTTCCCCCCCCACCAGCCCCCCACCCCCACCAGCACCCTCTACCACGCACGGCTCACGCTTGCGCTCCCTTCGTCCAGGATCACCAGGCGAGGCGTCGACGGCTCCGACGACTCCATCCCCCGCGCGCGGCGCCGTGGCCCCGGCAGTAGAGGTGGCTCCAGCGCGCGGCGGCGTTGGCGGAGGTGGTACCGCTGGAGCAGCCGGTGCTGGCGGTAGCGACCGTGGCGCCGGCGGTAGTCACGGCGGCGTTGGTGCCGGCGCCGGCGTTGGTGTCGGCGCCGGCGCTGGTGGCGGCGGCGGCGATGACGGCGGTCGCCGTGGCGGCGACGGTGCTCGCCACGACGCGGGCACGCCGGAGCACGTGGCGCCGCCCCCCGTTGCGGCGTCGGCCACGCACTCCATGCTCGTGGTGATCTCGCTCGTGTCCGGCCTGGGCGCGACCGCGCTGCTCGTGCTGCTGGGGGCCGCCGTGTGCAACGCCGTGCGGCGCCAGCAGCAGCAGCGGCACAAGGAGCGCCAGGACGGGCCCGGCGAGCGGTGCGGGAACGCAACGCTCGCCACCAGTAACAGATATCTGAGCCAGCCCTAGATTGACTCGGCGTTAAGTGAGCACCTGGTGCGGTGTGTAGTGAACTCGGCCACTGGGGAGACAAAGGCGGTCGGGGCGTGGTGTTGGCCACCCAGCCCCTCGTGTGCCGTGCCGGCCTTCATAGGTGCCGCTCGGTGTTCAGCACTTGCCCCAAACAGTCTGTTACAGGCGATACGGGGGATCCTTTGTCTTGTCAATGCACTGATGCTTGTGCTGTGAATATTAACATGCACTGGGCTAAATGAAGACAGCTTCACAGGTGCTGCACTTAATTTAGCTAAATTCCCTTTCTGGAGGGTAACAATTTCACCACGGATGTATGTGGTGCGGCATGGTGGTGCGTGCGGTGTCGTTTTATTTTTACTCTTTACCAAATTACGTATTTATTTTACCAGGTAAGACCCACTGAGCTATGTAGCTCAACCAAGTGGCTTATCATGCCGAAATGTATAGCAGCCAAATTCTCTAAACGCATGTTGATTCTAAATGTGGAGGGAAAAATCGTAGGACCCAGAGAAAAATCCACACAACTACGGGGAAAGAGAGACACGCCAACTCCAAATATACGTAAATTTACGCGATATAACCCAAAAAAAAACAAAGCCTACGTGTTAATCTCCGAATATACAACAGGCATCGTCAGGCTCAGGATCGAACCCACGACCTCCTGTATACCATACTCTTTGGTTCTTTCGGTAAAGTCACGTAGGTAGAAAAAATAATAGATCACGACGTTTCGATCGCAACAACAAGCGACTGTCTTCAGGTGAGAGAATCAGACTGCTGTGGACGAAGCATTATATTGACCCGAGAGGGGGGGTTGCCGCATCGGGCAAGAGGGTGGGGCCAGCGATTGTGAGAGATGGACTGTAGGACATGTGAGAATGAGAGTTCAATCCAAAGGGCATGTGAGCATGAGAGTTCAATCCAAAGGACATGTGAGAATGAGAGTGCAATCCAAAGGGCATGTGAGCATGAGAGTGCAATCCACAGGACATGTGAGCATGAGAGTTCAATCCACAGGACATGTATACCAGGCGAGGTAGTGAACCACTGGGTACGGTGGTGCGGTGTCTCCGCAGGGCCGGCCCGCCATGCGAGGCGCCCTCGAACCACGTGCTACTGGAGCGGATCCCACCCAACCCCATGTACCAGCGCCTGTCCAGCCTGCTGAGCTCGCGGCTGCAGAGCCTCGAGTACCCGCGCAACAACATCCAGTACGTGCGCGACATCGGCCAGGGCGCCTTCGGCCGCGTCTTCCAGGCCAGGTGGGCGCCGCACCTCCTGCCCGCTCGTCCGCCCGACCTGTGACCCGCACTGCAAATCGGTCACGCTTGTACAAGGAGCACCCCCCCCCCCCGAGCCTGGCCCCTGTGACCCCCCGTGCCCCCGTCCTTCCTAACCCCTCCGCGCCCGACTCCTGTGGGGCAGGGCCCCGGGGCTGCTGGTGGGTGAGGCGATCACCATGGTGGCCGTGAAGATGCTGAAGGAGGAGGCTTCACCAGACATGCAGGCCAACTTCCACCGTGAGGCGGCGCTCATGGCGGAGTTCACGCACCCCAACATCGTCAAGCTTCTGGGTGACAAAAGCACACACACATCCGCACGCACGCGCGCACGCACATACCCACGTGCACCCGCGCTCGCATGTACATGCACACACGCCCAAGCTTGTGCCAGGCTACGTGCACTTTAAGGCCATCACGTGAAATGTCGAAGGCAGGAGGTCACGGGGCAGCTTGAGGTGTCTCCCCATTACTGATGTTTACACACCTTACCGAGTACTAATTTTAAGGCCGAGTAGACCTTGGCAAAGGCAACAGGACCGGGTCACGTAATCCTCACTGGTGTTGGCCGTTACATTGCTTTCATGGCTTTATTTTGGTGATTTCGAAAACGTTTTTTGGTTTGGCCATGTTTGTTTGTTGTAGTACGGAGTTAGACTGATGGCCTTAACCTAAGTTGTCTTGTGGTTGTTGTTGTTGTTTGACTTGCATCCCACTGGGATTTTTGCACACAGCGTTGGTGTACGGTGCTTTTTCTGCATTTTGCTGTCTTTTCTTGGATTTTCTGTTTGCACTCAGTCACATATTTACTTTAAGATGTTTTCTTGTTCATGTTTTTGTTTTTTTGTTTGTTGCGGTTGCACCCGATTCAAGAGCCGAATGGCTCACAGGGCTACACCTAGTAAATTAAACTGAAAGCTGAAACTGAGCGGGAATCGAACTCGGGTGGCCGGGTTCGTAGCGCAGCGTGCTAACCGCTACACACACACACACGATCTGACACACACTTGCCGCCCACAGGAGTGTGCGCCGTGGGCAAGCCCTTCTGCCTCCTCTTCGAGTTCATGCCGCACGGAGACCTCAACGAGTACCTGCGGCGCTGCAGCTCCGAGGCGGCGCTGGCGGCGTCGTCGCCGGCGGCAGCGCCGACGGTGACGACGGCGACGACGACGACGCAGGGTGACCGCTCCACGCTGTCGGCTCAGAGCAGCGGCTCGGAGCCCGTGTCGCTGTGCTGTGCCGACAAGCTGTTCGTGGCCACGCAGGTCGCCGCCGGCATGGCCTACCTCGCCGAGCGCAAGTTCGTGCACCGGGACCTCGCCACGCGCAACTGCCTCGTCGGCAACCGCCTCGTCGTCAAGATCTCCGACTTCGGCCTCTCGCAGAGCATATACGCGGCCGACTACTACAAGGCGAACGAGAACGACGCCATCCCCATCCGCTGGATGCCGCCCGAGTCCATCTTCTACAACCGCTACACGAGCGAGTCGGACGTGTGGGCGTTCGGCGTCGTCCTCTGGGAGATCTTCTCGAACGGCCTGCAGCCCTACTTCGGCATGTCGCACGAGGAGGTCATCTACTTTGTGCGCGACGGCAACGTGCTCGCGTGCCCCGACGGGTGCCCGCTCGACCTCTACAACCTCATGCGCCTGTGCTGGGCGCACGCGCCCGCCGACCGGCCCAGCTTCGCCAGCGTCCAGCACGTGCTGGCGCGCATGCACGCGCAGCTGACGGCGCCGGCGCCATGAGTCGCGATGGGGAGCCGCCACCTTCCCCACCGCGTCCCTCGTCCGGGACGCGCTCGCGCTCTCTCGCTCGTTACACTGACGGGGCGCTGGCGCCCCTGCAGCCGCGGGCCCGTGCCGTCGCCGGTTCCCGCCCCAGTGGCGGCTTTGGCCAAATTAGGTGCCTCTCGTGCTCAGCGCGGGGGTTCATTCTGCCCCGGAGAGCCCTGCCGTGGCTCCGGTGGCACTCCCGTGTTCTGCCTAGTGGGGGCCCCATGCTCAGCCGGGGGGAGTTCAGTTTGTACTGCCCGGATTGGCTCCAGGACATCCGTTCTCGGTCGGGGGACTGCGTGCCGACCACGGGGTCTCTGTGATCGCCCAGAGGACCCGTACCCTGGTATCTGGATCCCCGTCTTGAGCCTCTAGGTCCCCTATCTAACCCAGGGGGCTCTTGTCTGGGCCCTGGAGTTCTCTATACCGGCCCTGATAGCTCCTGTCTGTCCCTGCTTGTCTGTCCCTGCTCTCTGACTATAGGGTCCCTGTGTGATGCTTAGGGACAACTTTGACCCGACGGGCCCCTGTCCACGCAGGAATGTGGGCTGTGGGCCCCGGTCGAACGCGTGGGTGTGTGAATGAGCGCTTTTCATTGCCGCTCCGACGGCAGTGGGGGAGCGTTTTTTTTCTCTCGAAAGGTCGCGATGAAATAAAACGATTCTTTTTCGATTTAAAGCTTTCGTGACTGCAGGGATTAATATTATTGGTTCTTTTGGTAAAGTCACGTAGAAGGGAAATAATAAAATAATAAAAATAAAACAATACAATTTTCACGACGTTTCAATTGCAACACAAGCAATCATGATCAGGTGTGAAAACCACAGCAAGAAAATTTGTTGCAATCGAAACGTCGTGAGAATTTTATTGTTTTATATTTGTATTATTTTATTATTTCCCTTTTACGTGACTTTACCGAAAGAACCAAGAAGATGAAAACGATTCGTGTTCACATGCGAGGCCTGGGACGGCGCTCGGTGATTTACTATACCTGGAGTTTCCGCCAATGACCTCGGCGCTTTGACATGAACTACGGACACGTGTGTTAATGCGCTGTCGCGATGTACATTGAGTAGGGGGTGCAATGATTCATCTGAATTCTCTATCCCATGACGATGCATCAAATCACGTAAGAATGAAAATGTTTTTTTCGATTTGTACGCACTGTATTTAATTACTTCATACCATTGCCCTTGCAGACACTGGAGGCGCTACAATTCTCTGCAATGTGAACATACGTTTTTTCACGAATTGAATCTCCACCCCGAGATGTAACATTGTGTAATAATAACCAGCACGGGGCCGGCGGGCGGGCGGGCGGTGGGGGATAAGTAGGATTTGAAATTGGAACATCAGCCATGATCTATCCACTGCTGGACGAATGCCTCCCCACGCCATCGCTGTATCTCGACGTCTCAACTGGAAGATGGGACAAACATCGGCCGATGCCATCAACCCGGCAACCGAACATCAACCAACGATCCCCCGGGTCTCTGGAGCAACGACAACTCGACCGGCTCGCGATGCCACGAAATGCGTCTGGCTCCTGCACACGAGAGGTTGATCTCGTCGCTCCACCCGCGACGGCAGTCGCCTTCTCGTTCCCGCTCCCTCTTGGCTGACGTTTCATCCCCAGTCTCGTCCACTGGCCCGTTATTTCTCCGAGGCCGTGCTGTGTGTCCTGTTCCGCGAGCCGGCTTAACTATTCCGAATGGTTAACGTTGTCTCCCATCGGCATTCGTGGTCCCGATCTGTTGCGTTCCTCTTGATTTGTCTCGGTGTATTTTTTTGCAGTAATACATCGCACCACACTTATGTGCATGCAGATACTCCTCTACTTACGAACATTCGACTTACGAACTTTCAGAGATATGAACCAACCTGGTCCATACGTCCAGTTGCGGCTGTTCGGACCGAGAGTCGTAAGTTCAACGGCCACGCAATAGATGGCGGCGGTGGCATCTACATCTGCAGAACGTGAAGAACCAGTGGCATCTACATCTGCAGAACGTGAAGAACCAGTGGCATCTACATCTGCAGAACGTGAAGAACCAGTGACATCTACATCTGCAGAACGTGAAGAACCAGTGGCATCTACATCTGCAGAACGTGAAGAACCAGTGACATCTACATCTGCAGAACGTGAAGAACCAGTGACATCTACAGGAGATTTGGCAACTTTTAAAGCCATTCTCTGTGTTTAGTGTACATGCCTTACAACATGTTTGACTTACGAAAAAATCGACTTACGTACAGAACTCTGGAACCTAACTTTTTCGTAAGTAGGGGAGTCCCTCTATGTTGAACTTCTTGTACACCGTACGCAGGCCAAACGCGTTAATCGGAGTTAAAGCCCAGCCATGTTTTTTTCTGCTTTAAACAAATGCTGCTGGGAAGAATAAGAAAAACAATTGCTGTTGAATACACCAATCAGATCACACGGAACCTTTGTACGCACGTGTCATTTACATTATCAACGTGTGGATAAGGTAGAGCACAAAATGGGACCTTTTTATAGTATCAAAGTATGAAAAAATATGAGTAGGTGTTTACCCTTTCTGGTAATAAAACAGGAGTTGTGTTAATATGTTTAAACGTCAAATAGATAAACCTTTTGCAAGGAATCGAATCTGCATTATGGGCCGTCCGTAAATGACGTCACACACCTAGGGGGGGAGGGGGGGGTCAGACATTTGTGACGATGTGTGACGAGGAGGGGGGGGTGAGAAATGTGACGTCACATCAAAATGCACAACTTTAAATAAATATAAACAACACGTTCTCCTTAATTAAATAGACTTTTTAATAAATATTTTCTCCTACAACATCAGAGTGCAGCGCCACATTAAATACGCACTACAATGACAATAGTTTAAAGCGATTTGAAGCATGTTTCTTTTTTGAGGGGGGGGGGGGGGCAGAGCTTTGTGACGTCATATTTGAGGGGGGGGGTCTGACTTTTTGTGACGCCGTGTGACGAAGGGGGGGGGGGGTCAAAACTCGTCCCAAATCGTGTGACGTCATTTATGGACGGCCCCTTACCCATACGTATTTGTGTTGAACATGCAAACAAACATGCTCTGGTAATATACAGGCATTGTCTTTGAGATTGATTGGCCTACACTAGAGACAGCAGCCTTCTTCATGACCCAGTCTCACCAGTGTCAGAGTTACGTAGAAGGGAAATAATAAAAAATAAAACATAATAAAATACAATTCTCACGACGTTTCGGCCACAACGCAAGCAGCCGTCCTCAGGTGAAGAACAGGGCTGTCGGAAAGACAGCGTCTGAAACGCCCTGTTCTTCACCTGAGGACGGCTGCTTGCGTTGTGGCCGAAACGTCGTGAGAATTGTATTTTATTTTTTATTATTTTATTATTTCCCTTCTACGTGACTTTACCGAAAGAACCAAGAAAATGAATCCCTGCAGTCACGAAAGCTTTAAATCAAAATTTAGTGTCAGAGTTTTCAAGTTTCAATTTTTCAAGTTTTCATTGATTAGGTACAGCCCTGTTGGTGAGCCATGCGGCTCTGAAGTCGGGTGCAACCGCAACAAACAAAACATGAACGGAGAACATCTTAAAGCGACGACGCGCATCAGAAAAATCCCTGATAAACCAGCAAATCTTCCCCCCCAAAAAAACACCGCTGGGTGCAAAAATCCCAGAGAACGCCAAGAGGCGAACAGGACAAGGGCAATGCAATATAAGAGCATTCATAGCTCGGGGTGAGCAGCTTAACAAGTATAACCCGTAAAAACAAAGTTTTTCACTATAAATCTTTTATATGCGTGGCGGCTAGAGTCCTCTCGTCCTCTGGCTTGAGATGGCTACCACCTATGGGTCAGATGATTGCATTGCACCATTAAGCAATTGGTAATTAAATATAATATTTTTGTCCTAAAAAGTGTAGAATTTTGGAAAAAAATTTCACGAACAATAATTGTCTCGCACAACGAGTCTGTGTGCTAAATGTCAGCTCGATTGGATCACGGGAAGTGGGTTAAAAAACGACCGAAAGATTTGCACGGTCGTAAGCAAGCAAGCGAACTTAATATAAAGGATTTAAAAATGGGATTTTTTATACCAATATCAAAGTATGACAACGTAAGAATAGGTGTTTTACGCTTTCTGGCAATAAAACAGGATTTGTGGTAAGATGTTCTAACACCAAATAGAGAGCGTTTGCAAGAAACAAGTCTGCATTAACCACACGAACTTGTGGTGAACTTGCAAAAATAAACACGCCCTGATAATATATGCATCTTAACACCTGAACATCTTCCTTGCAAACGGTTCCTGTTTGGCGTTTGAACATCCTAACACAACTCCCGTTTTATTGTCAGAAAAGGGTTAGAAACCTATATTTTTTAATCCTTTATATTAAGTTCGCTTGCTTGCGTGCTTGCTTGCTTACGACCGTGCAAACCTTTCGGTCGTTCTTTAACCCACTTCCCGTGATCCAATCGAGCTGACATTTTGCACACAGACTCGTTGTGCGAGACAATTAATGTTCGTGAAAAATTTTTCCAAAATTTTACACTGTTTAGGGAAAACAAATTAAATATTTAATTACTAATTATGTAATACTGCAGACAATCATCTGACCCATAGGTGGCAGCCATCTCAAGCCAGAGGACGAGAGGACTCAAACCGCCACGCATATAAAGGATTTATAGTGAAAAACTTTGTTTTTACTGGTTATACTTATTTTCAAAGCAAAAACCACCACCGTCTGAATGAATGAATAAATAAATAAAAATCGCGTTCTCGCGTTCAGCTTTGTCCTCGGCACGACCCGTAGCCGAGGACTACGTCATCACCCGGCTCAGCCAGCTGGGTCGCGTGTTCGGCCTCTCGCTCCCAGTGCCCCCCTCGCTCCCAGGGCCCCCGTGAAGGGGTCAGGGCTGTCTGTGAGTCCCCACTCACCCCCTAGGTCCCAGGGGGTTGCGACGAGCTGGGATGCCTGCCATGCGCTGCTACTACGAGGTGCTCGGGGCGGCGAGGAACGCGTCGGACGAAGAGCTCAAGAAGGCCTACCGGCGCCTGGCGCTGCAATGGCATCCAGGTACACACGGGGGGCACAGGTACACATGGGGGGCACGGCGGGGACCCCTCTCACGGGGACCCCTCTAAGGGGGACCCCTCTCACGGGGACACGGGGACCCCTCTCACGGGGACACGGAGACTCCTCTCACGGGGACACGGAGACTCCTCTCACGGGGACCTCTCTCACGGGGACCCCTCACGGGGACCCCTCTCACGGGGACCCCTCACGGGGACACGGGGACCCCTCTCACGGAGACTCTTCTCACGGGGACCCCTCACGGGGACCCCTCTCACGGGGACACGGGGACCCCTCTCACGGGGACCCCTCTAAGGGGACCCCTCTCACGGGGACACGGGGACCCCTCTCACGGGGACCCCTCTCACGGGGACACGGGGACCCCTCTCACGGGGACCCCTCTCACGGGGACCCCTCTAAGGGGACCCCTCTCACGGGGACACGGGGACCCCTCTCACGGGGACCCCTCTCACGGGGACACGGGGACCCCTCTCGCAGGAACCCCTCTCACGGGGACACGGGGACCCCTCTAAGGGGACCCCTCTAAGGGGACCCCTCTCACGGGGACCCCTCTCACGGGGACCCGGGGATCCCTCTAACGGGAGATCCACGGAACCCCTCTCACGGGGGACCAATGGAAACTCCTTTTCACGAAGGCCCCTTTCAAGCGTGCCCAGGGGATCGCTGTCAGTGGGACGCGTGGACCCCTCCTCCAACGGGGATGGGACTCGGGAAATCTCCAGAGGAGACCCAGGGATCAGGGACCCAGAAGCATTCCCCAGGGCCAGATTTCCCAGCGAGACCCAATTCCGATTATAATTACTGACCAATTAGGGACCGATTATGTTATTGCGCCTGCTAGCGGCCCTTGCGATGGAGAGCCCAAGCAAGACGTGTTCTGCGTGTTGGTGTGTACACGTGTTGGTGTGTACACGTTGGTGTGTGCGCGTTTTGGTGTGTGCACGTGTTGGTGTGTACACGTGGTGTTGGTGTGTACGCGTGTTGGCGTGTACACGTGTTGGTGTGTGTGCGTGTGTTGTGGTGTGCGCGTGTTGTTGTGTGCGCGTGTTGGTGTGTGCGCGTGTTGGTGTGTGCACGTGTTGTGTGCACGTGTTGTGTGCACGTGTTGGTGTGTGTGCGCGTGATGGTGTGTGCACGTGTTGGTGTGTACACGGGGTGCTTCAAAACATTTTTAACACTTAAATGGGACTATAGTTTTTAATGGAAAGAGAACGGATAATACACTGTAACATGATAACAAATGTCTGTTAAGAGCTCAAAAAGTCAAAGTCTCTTTGTGTAGGTTAATGTGTTAACGTGTCGGCGAGCCTTCGACGCTTCACGTGGCCTCAAGGTGCACCGAGCCTGGCACATACGCCGTGGTGACGTCAGTGCCATTTATTGGCGAATTACAGTTATATTAATGTGTGTTTAATTTTATGTTCATGTGTGTGCGTACGTAAGTCGACACGGCCTCAAATGAGTACCTGGTGTAGTGTGTAAAAACATCGCCACGGGGGAGACAAAGGCGGCCAGGCGTGGGGCTGGCCACCCAGCCCCTCGTGTGCCGTGTCGGCTTTCATAGGTGCTCGCAAACAGCACTTGCCCCAACAGTCTATTCAGGCTATACGGGGCATCTTTGTCTTTGTATATTAGTGGATGTTGATGTACGTGACAATGAGAGGTTCGTGGTTCGAATCCCGCGGCGGCCCTGGTTAATACTGCGGTGTGTATTGACCGTAATCTACTCGCAGTCCCAGTCACTCGCAGTGGACGATAAAGATCCACCGATGTCATTGGGAAGAGTAGGCCGCTGTGTGCCGGAGTCCGCATCCAAATTCTATTACACCGCAAATTACTCAATTGGGATCGCACAGCAGCAGCAGCAGCAGTCATTGCCCCCTTCTGGCAGACTAATGCCCCCAGGGCACTTCCTGCAAATGAGACTCCTGGTCCGGTCTTGAGTTCTCACTTGGTTACACAAAGTAATCTTGAACCTTTGTCCACGTGTGCCAGACAAGAACGCCGACAATGTGGAGGAGGCCACGGAGACGTTCAAGCTGATCCAGGCGGCGTACGACGTCCTGAGCGATGCGCAGGAGCGCGCATGGTGCGACCCGGTCACCACCGTAGCCACCACCACGGCCACCACCACGGCCACCACCACGGCCACCACCACGGCCACCACCACGGCCACCACCACGGCCACCACCACGGCCACCACCACGGCCACCACCACGGCCACCACCACGGCCACCACCACAGCCACCACCACAGCCACCACCACGCCTCCATCACCACAGCCACCACCACGCCTCCATCACCACAGCCTCCACCACCATACCAAACACTACAACCATCACCATAGCCACCACCACAGCCTCCTCCACCATAGAAACCACTACAACCACCATCACAGCAGAGGTCGTAACCCGGTACCCGATACCCGTACCCTACCCGATACCCGGCTACCCGTACCCAGCTGGGTACGGGTAGCCGTTTGCGACCCTGGTGCGGCCGGGTACGGGTAAGGAATCAAAATCCGTTTGCGACCTCTGCATCACAGCCTCCACAAACAGCACTATTGAAGCTGTAATGAGGGTTACTACTCTGTGGTTGAGCGCGAGAGCAAAATCCACGAAACGTAAAAAACAGACCACCTCGTTGCTCATTTTCTTTTAGAGTTGAACATTTATTTAAAGTTTGTTGAACATCGACTGTGTCATGCCCCCTGCAGTGATGGTGCTGATGTGTGTAGTGATGGATGTTGCTGGATGTGTTTGTGGTGGTGCTACCGGTGATGGTGCTGATGATGCTGACACTGATGTTTGTGGTGATGTGTGCGGTGATGTGTGTGCGGTGATGTGTGTGCGGTGATGTGTGTGCGGTGATGTGTGTGCGGTGGTGCTGCGGTGTGGCTGCAGGTACGACGCGCACAGGAAAGCCATCCTGCAGGGCGCCATGTCTGGCGGGGAATTCTCCGACGACAGCCTCGACCTCATGCCATACTTCACCGCTTCCTGCTACAGCGGCTTTGGCGACGACGACAAGGTGAGCCCCCCCCCCCACTCCTGCCTCCCACCAGGGGCCCCCCAGACACCCGTCTCCTGCGCCAGGTCACTTGCTGCCAGCTAACACTAAATCAACGGTGTGAAACATTTTCCTTATCGAGGGCCAAATCGGACTTTCTCAACTGCCCTTAGTGGAAATCGCACACATACAGTACAGTCACGCGCCCTTGCAGTGACTGAGTGTACGAAGATTAGAAACAGTGTTGGTCAACAAAATATTCCTCTCTAGTACCCGATCAGCACGGATGAGATGCTAGCAGCGACGGATAAATGTTTGTGTGCGGGCCCGTTTTGAAGAGGCCATATATGGCCACTGCGCCCCCCTGCAAAACATGGCGAACAGGCCGTACTGAAGCTACGTGTCGTGTGGAACGAAGCCTCCGGCCGTGGGTTTCCTCCTCCCCTACGCTAAACCATCCCTGTCGTCTTGTCGCTTCTCTCCGGAACCATCTGGGTGTGCCGCAGGGCTTCTACACCGTCTACCGCGGCGTGTTTGAGGAGGTGGCGGAGGAGGAGTTCGTGGAGGACGACGCCGACGATGAGTTTCCGCCGTTCGGAGACGCGGGCAGCGACTACGAGACGGTAACCATGACAGCGGTGGTGGGGGGGGGGGGGGGGCGATGGTGCTGCATGGTGTTTATCGTGATGGTTTGGTGGAAGTGTGATGTTGCTGATTATTTGATGCTGGCAGTAGCGCAGCTCGTGCAGTTGCATCGTGATTGTGCAGCTAATGGAAGTGTGATGGTGGTGTTGGTAGCATTTTTGACGGAGGCGCGACTGTGGTGCGATGTTGGGTGGTACCTGTGGTCTGACATTGGCTCCGGTGAAGATGCGACGGCTGATTGTAATGATGGCATGGAGGCAGTGGTGCTGACCGTGTGATTGTGCGTTTGGTGTTGATGGGGTGACGGCGCTGTGCAGGTGGTGCACGTGTTTTACGCGTACTGGCAGAGCTTCAGCTCACGCCGCTTGTTCTCGTGGAAGGAAGCCTACGACACGCGGCAGGTCAGTCGCTCCCTCATCCCTACACCTCCCTTCCTCATCCCTACACCACCCTCCCTCATCCCTACACCACCCTCCCTCATCCCTACACCTCCCTCCCTCATCCCTACACCTCCCTCCCTCATCCCTACACCTCCCTCCCTCCCTCATCCCTACACCTCCCTCCCTCATCCCTACACCTCCCTCCCTCATCATTCCACCTCCCTCCCTCATCCACCCCTAGGCCTACCTCCCTCCCTCATCCCTACACCTCCCTCCCTCCCTCCCTCATTCCTACACCTCCCTCCCTCCCTCCCTCATCCCTACACCTCCCTCCCTCATCCCTCCTTCCCTACATCCCTCCCCCCCCTCCCCACATCCCTCCCTCATCCCTCCCGTGGCAACGGTTCGGTCCCCGTGATTAACGTTGGATGCACGGCGGCGCAGGGGAGCAACCGGTGGGAGAAGCGCGCGATGGAGAAGGAGAACCGCAAGCTGCGGGAGCGGGCGCGGCGCGAGCGCTCCGAGGCCGTGCGCGAGCTTGTGGCGTTTGCGCGCAAGCGGGACCCCCGCGTCGCCGCGCACAAGCGCGTGCTGGAGGAGCGCAACGCCGAGAAAGCACGGCGGTCGCAGGAGGCGCGCCGGCGGCAGAAGGCGGAGAGAGCCAGGCACGTTGCACACGGGAAGACGCACATCGGAACACGTGCATTGAAAGTGCACGTGCGGCGCACTCAGACACACCGTGTGGGGAGCGGTAGTGACGCGGTTAGCTCGCTCTCCTCAGAACCCCGGAGACCCGAGTTCGATTCCCGCAAACGATCAACACCCATGACGATTTTCTGAATCGGTCCTGACCCGTCCCCTAGGTCGACTCAGCCTCAAATGACTACCTCGTGCGGTTTGTAAAAAATATCGCCACTGGGGAGGCAAAGGCGGCAGGGCGTGGTGCTGATCACCCACCCCCTCGTGCCCTGCAGACCTTCATAGCTACACGCCAACAGCACTTGCCCCGCCAGTTTATTGAGGCTAAATGGGGAACTTTTGTCTCTGTGCGTGTTTGTCTCTGCTTGTGTGTGTGAGTCCGCCTCTGTGTGCATCTAAGTGTGCAACACAGGCAGTGCGCATGTACCAGTAATCTCATGCAATTGACCAATAACTGCTGGGTTTGTCCCGTGACCTCTTGCCAACGGTGAGGGCCTTCCACACTTGCCGCGACGGCCTCAAAGCGCGCCTAGAAATAGCACAAGCCCTGCTAGCGACGTACACGCGACCTAGTGGCGAGTAGCGGCCGCTCATGCTGTTGTTGTTGCATCGCAGGCTGGCCGAGGGCTATGAGCAGCCCAGCTGGGTGTGTCTGGATGGGCTGGAGAAGGAGCTGGTCGCCCTCGAGGCGAGCTACCAGCACGAGTTTGGGGAGGAGCCGGCCAGCGACGGGGATGACTCCGGCCAAGACCCAGCCACGTCCGCAGAGCCAGGTCACCACCGCACGTGGCACCCGGCGTAACACCACGGCACCTTGCCAGTGAACTTACCGGGAAAACTGGCACCCACCCAGCACTACCCGGCTTCCCTACCAGCGTTCCATCACACATGACCCTGTGCTGGCTCCTATAAAAAAAACTTAACTTTTTTTATTTTACCAGGTAAAGCCCACCGAGCTATATTACTCTTTTTCAGAAGCGATCTGGCTACAATTGATAGCTCAACGAAGTGGCTTATCACGTGGAAATGTACATCAGCCAAATACTCTAAACGCATGTTGATTATAAATGTGGAGGGAAAAACTGGAGGACCCGGAGAAAAATCCACACGGCCACGGGTAGAGAAACATGCAAAAACTCTAGGTTGGCATCAAACCCACGACCTCTTTACCAGGCGAGATAGTTGACATCTATCCACCGCAGCGCCCTGGGAGAACCCCTGCCGTGCATTCTCTGTGCGGGACTCATGCGAGCAATGCGCCCGCCCCTCTTCCCTCCCACGTTTGGCGTGCAGAGGAGGCTGCACGGGACTGGGAAGACTTTGAGCTGTATTGCGCGGCCTGCAGCAAGGCCTTCAAGAGCCTCAAGGCGTGAGTACTACTCCTGTGCAGGCCCACTGGGGCGTGGGGTGGTGGTGTGTGTGTGGTGGTGGTATGGGAAGCGGTGGCGCAGCGGATCACGCGCTGCTATACGAACCCAGCGACCCAAGTTTCGATTCGCGCTCACGGCCAACACCAGTGACGATTATTTGAACCGGTCCTGGGCCTCCCCTAGATCGACTCGGCCTCCAATAAGTACTTGATCCGATGCGTAAAATATCGCCACTAGGGAGACAAAGGTGGCCTGGCGTGGTTCTGGCCACCCACCCCCTCGTGTGCCGTGCTGGTCTTCATAGGTGCTGATCACAGTTGATGACGGGGGTTGCGGTGCACGCGGTGCGGTCTCTCGTGTCGTGGCTCAGGAAGGAGAACCACGACCGGTCCAAGAAGCACCGAGACAACGTGGCTTGGCTACGGCAGCAGATGACAGCCGAGGAGTTCGCGTTCCTGTCCGGAGCGGGGCCCCAGGTGCTGCCCTCACCCGTGTCCTCACCGTGCCCTCACCGTGCCCTCACCGTGCCCTCATCGTGTCCTCACCAAGTCCTCACCGTGTCCTCACCGTGTCCTCACTTGTCATCATCCTGACCACACCGTGACCTCACCGTGTCCATGTCCTCACCGTGTCCTCACCGTGCCCTCACCGTGCCCTCACCGTGCCCTCACCGTGCCCTCACCAAGTCCTCACCGTGTCCTCACCGTGTCCTCACCGTGTCCTCACCCGTGTCCTCACCGTGTCCTCACCGTGTCCTCAACGTGTCCTCACCGTGTCCTCACTTGTCATCATCCTGACCACACCGTGACCTCACCATGCCCTTCTCACCTTGTCCCTACCATCTGTCTTGTGTTATCCTTTATCCTAACTCTGCTGTTGCTGCTCCCTATTGTGTCATGGAGGAGGAGGGAGGAGGCCTTAAGGGGGAAGTTGCTGATGTTGGAGGTGGGAAAGATGATGGAGGTGATGATTTGGAAGCTGAGGATGCTGATGATGGAGATGATGACAACGACGAGGACGACGATGATGATGATGATGACGACGGCGATGAAGAGGAGGAGATGCCCAAGACTGATGCGAGGAGACGACGGCGCCCAGTGAAATCCGCTCGGAGCACCGATGATACTCGCCACGCACCGCACACCCCCAGCACCGCACCCAACCTCGAACCGCACATCCCCGGCACCGCCAGCACCGCGCCCAACCAAGACACCGCACAGACTAACGGTACCGCACACGCAGACGAAATGGCACACGGCGACCACAACGCCAGGCCCGACGACCACGGTGCACCGTGCCTGGCACCCGCCTCGGAGGACTCCCCAGGAAGGGAAGGCCCCCCGGGGCCACCAGAGGTGGCGGTCAAGAAAGAGGAGAGGACTGAGTCCACGAGGGAGGAGGGGAAGCGGGCGAGGAAAGGTGGCGACGCAACGAGCTCCAGGTGAGGCCCATGTGACGCACACAGCACGGAGACATTGGGGTGTGCAGAGGGGTGGTGGGCACGCGGGGGGGGGGGGGGTGCCATAGGCTAATGGAGAGACTCTGTCCGCAGGGAGGATGGACGCAAGGGCAAGAAGAACAAGGATGTTCCCCCGCCCAGCGAGCCCGGCACCAGCCAGGTGCTCAACACAGCTCACCACAACAACCTTGCCACCCTCTCCACACAGTGTACTGTCGGCAACACCCTCACAAACCCTCACTTCACACCACAACCTCGATACACTCTCGGCACACTGATCAATGCCCTTCGTCAACATTTACCCCACAACCTCACGACACCACCTCCAATACACTTCTCCACACTGCTTCGCACACACACCCTTACCATTTTTCCCCATTACGGAACCCACGCCGCCACGCTCACCCGCAAGTCTCAACACACCCGCGCCTCGCTCACCGCAGCCACACCACCCACGCTCACCACAGCCACACCACCCGTGCTCACCGCAGCCACACCACCCACGCTCACCGCAGCCACACCACCCATGCTCACCACAGCCACACCACCCGTGCTCACCACAGCCACACCACCCATGCTCACCGCAGCCACACCACCCACGCTCACCGCAGCCACACCACCCATGCTCACCACAGCCACACCACCCGTGCTCACCACAGCCACACCACCCGTGCTCACCGCAGCCACACCACCCACGCTCACCGCAGCCACACCACCCGTGCTCACCACAGCCACACCACCCGTGCTCACCACAGCCACACCACCCATGCTCACCGCAGCCACACCACCCATGCTCACCGCAGCCACACCACCCACGCTCACCGCAGCCACACCACCCATGCTCACCACAGCCACACCACCCGTGCTCACCACAGCCACACCACCCGTGCTCACCGCAGCCACACCACCCACGCTCACCGCAGCCACACCACCCGTGCTCACCGCAGCCACACCACCCATGCTCACCACAGCCACACCACCCGTGCTCACCGCAGCCACACCACCCACGCTCACCGCAGCCACACCACCCATGCTCACCACAGCCACACCACCCGTGCTCACCGCGCCACACTTAAGCCGCCAGCATGACCCGTGTATGTTTTCCGGTGCCACTGCAGGAATCTCTGGGCTGCGCCAGCTGCGGTCAGGATTTCTCTTCCCGGAACCGGCTGTTCCAGCACCTGCGTAGCACCGGGCACGCCGCCCCCCGCACCGCCGAACCCACGTCCCCCACGGCGCCAGCAGCACCCGGCAAGAAGGGCAAACACAAGCGGAAATAGCCGCACAACCGCCCCCCCCCCACCCGTCCACCTCTTAACCAGCCTTGTTATTATTTTTGCGGAGATAAACCCTGCAAAGTCACGGCGTTGCATGTGCAATCTGTGGTGGTGCTGTGTGGTTGTAGAGGGGTGAGGGTCAATTCTTAGTGAAGGTAGGGTGGGGTGGTGGCCCAGCTGGGAGCTTTGGCGCCACCTGGGCCAAGCGGATCCTGTCGTTTCAAATGCTGCTGCTGCTGCTCTGGAGAATCGTACTGCAACCCATCTCTCTCTAAGCTCGCGAGAACGTGGACCGCTTTCACAGAAAGACACTCGCCACACAGTAGCGGGAGTTTGTTTATTTTCATATTTGCTTTTTTTTTCGAATCACTGTCTTGTGGCTGTCATTGGGGGATCGGAGCGGTGAGAGTTGGCTCGAGTAGGCAAGGTGAGGTGGTGTGAGTAAGGCTGATGGATCGAATGGTGTGGATTTAAGTAGCGTTGATTGGGCTTGGCTCCTTGTGCTGGGGAGATGGTGTGGCGTGGCTGGCAGGTGTAGTTGAGTCCCTGTTGAACAGGAGCACCGAACTCTGCGTCACACAAGCAACGTGATGTCGTTCGAATAATTGACGATCCTGTGCTCACTCTCACGTTGTTTAGTGGCCTAACCTCCCCCTTTGTTTTATCACTAATTCCACTGTCATTGTTTCCATGAACCTGGCGCCATTACACCTCTGCCCATGCTAAGGACCCGTTTTATCCCTGCCATGCTCAACCACGTTGGTTCACGTTTCTCTCTTCCTCCTTCCCCCCCCCCCCCCCGCACTGCTCCTCCACCTTAGACCTCCCTCCCCCATCCTCTGTTTCTCAAGTTGCTATAACCTTGCCCAAATCGAGACACTTGTTCTTATCTGCTGTGCTATCATGAGTGTCGTCTTTCTCCGTTATCCCCATCTCCGAAGTCTCCGTAGCCTGGCCTCAAGACCAGTCGTGCGTTCGTTCACATCTGTAATTCAAAACTAAGTGCTGCTTTGTTGCTGTCCTACGCTCATGTTCGGCCTTTTAAAAGAAAAAGGTGGTTTGGGTGTGGGGTGGGATCGTTGGGTAGCCACTTGGTGTAGCCACATGGTGGTGGTGGCCATTTAGGATGGTTGCAGAATGTGACTAAGTGACAGTTGTGGTCGTATTGTGTGGCTGTGTAGTGCAGTTAGCTGGTTTTACAACATGGTGTGGCCAAATGGTGGCGGCGGCGGTGTAGTTGTAGTAGTCGGCTGGTGGAGTTGCGTCGAGTGGCTGTGCGGTGGGGGTGGCTGTGCGGTGGCACGACCGGGTCGAGGCGGCTTGGCGCTTGTGTTGGCTGCTCAGGGCCGTGTGCATCACCGCGAGTGCAACATCCACGTCGGCAGTGGTAATGCACATGGGCGGCTTGATGCGGAACACCTGTGGCACCAGGACACACACCGATCCTGTGATGCTGCCATCGCCACAAGACCCCCATCCCCACTCGAAGCCCCTCCAGCCCGCAACCGCCCCCCCCTGACCTCACCTGTCCATAGACGCCGTCCTTTCCAATGAAGAGCGACATTTCCCTGCAGTCCTCCCAGATCTCGTTCATCTGCGCCGCCCGAAGTGGCGTCCTGCTGGCCTGAGCAAGCGCACAGCGTAGCGGCACTCGAACACGGCGCGTGTATGAGGCGGTGCGCACACGCACCCTGCGTTTGCATTCATCTGCATGTGCGCGTCTGCAATCGTACCTTGTCGGTGACGAGTTCAACAACAATCATGAGCCTCTTGCGCGCACGTCCCCCACCACCTTGAACTCGTCACGGAACCGAGCCAGCCCTGCCAGGAGCCGCCCCCCGTCCTCGGAGCACACAGCCGGGCTCCCGTCCTCCTCGATGACCTGCGCACGAGCACATGGACGGGGAGACACGTGGAGATGCAACAGGGGACACATGGCGGTGGGGCGGGGGGGACATACTGGGAGACATGTGAGGACATGGCAGGACTCGTGTGGTCTCACGGGGATACTGCCGAGCCTGTGCTCCACAGTACGGAGTGCAACAACCGGGAAATGCTTTTAAGTTTTTAATTTTACGAATGAAGATTGATGTGTTAATATTGGTTAAGTTTCCAAGTATGCACAAATGCATTATTTAACGAAGAAAATATCACAGGTTATGTATATTTACAAAGCTGGAAGCAAAACATTATTTTTGCAATAAACTGTTTGGTCCAAAAGTGCCAGACTTTTCTTCCCTCGATTTAAGATTAGTACTCGAAACTCACGTTTTACGCTCTTGCTGAGTGCAGGATAAATGCAGGATCTGGAATTTTACAAAAATTCGTGAACGACGTCGACTCAATGCACAGGGATGTTGCAAGAAGCGAGGAAGCCCCATGGGAAAGAAGAACCGGGTGTCGGGGCACTGAAGAACCAGGGTGGAGACCGAGAGGCAGGCCTCGCAGGAGGTGGATCGAAGTGGTTGGGACCAAGGTTGGAGTGCACGTGGAGATGATGGCCCAGGACAGGAGCGAGTGGAGAGCGGGTTCCAGGAAGGCAGAGCCCACACGAGAGGGGAGATTCCAGGAAGATGGAGGATCTTTATCCTCCAGATTGACAGGCTTACAAGAATAGAGACTGATGCACTTACATTGAGGCTTACATAGTGCCATAGACCTACTTAGATATCCTGATATTTACATAGTGAAACAGATACCTGTAGACTTACATACAGAATATAGACTTACATAGGCTTACAATGAGACCCACATACTTAAAGATATCTATATAATTACGTAAACCCTTGCAAATTACATCATCCATCCCAAGGGATGTTCCCAGTGAATGTAAAAAAAGGACAGACTTCCATAGAGACCCACAGACTCGCACAAGGCCCATAGAGTCTCATAAAACCCCATGTCTGTATGTTGAACTTTTTTCGCTCCATACGTAGATTTGCATAGACATGAATCAAGATCCATATTACTACTTCGAGACCCTATGCTTCCATACAACCCAACACATTCGGCAATAACATTGTTGCCTTAAAGGGAATATACAGTAGACAGGATGACCCAAAAGTAAGGACACGTGGGGTTATTTAACTAAATTTAACACTGGCATGAACACATTGTTTATTCTTTAAGTTAATATGTTATCTATTATTGTTATTATCAACGTTTCTTCTTTTTCAGGTGACATTTAAAAATGGAAATAGTTTTTTACCAAAGACAAACGAGTTCCATTTGGGTTGTTTTTACTTATGCTAAATAAGGACGCTGTCATCTTTACCAACAAAATCCCGAATTAATTGCAAAAAGAAAATGCATTAATACTAATAGCATTTGGTTTGAACATTCGTTAAAATAAATTAGATAACCCTATGTGACTTGTTAAAATAATATAACCCAATGTGGCCCGACTTTTGTGCCACCTTGTAAAACAGCTGACGTTTGTGGCAATATCTTACGCTTACATAGGGGCCGTCCATAAATGACGTCATGCACTTAGGGGGGGGGAGGGTGAGAAATGTGACGTCACGTAAAAATTTGCAACTTTAAATAAATATAGAATTGTTATAACAACACTAATTGTTATTACAACATCAGAGTGCAGCGCCACATTAAATACGCACTACAATGGCAATAGTTTAAAGCGATTTGAAGCATGTTTTATTTTCAAAATGGAAATATGGTTTTGGGGGGGGGGGCAGAGCTTTGTGACGTCAAACCGAAGCGGGGGGGGGGGCGGGGTCCCCGCTGACCAATCCCCGCTGTCCAATCCCCGCTGGCCAATCCCCGGTGACCAATCCCCGCTGTCCAATCCCCGCTGGCCAATCCCCGCCGTCCAATCCCCGCCGTCCAATCCCCGCCGTCCAATCCCCGCCGACCAATCCCCGCCGTCCAATCCCCGCCGTCCAATCTCCGCCGTCCAATCCCCGCCGTCTAATCTCCGCCGTCCAATCCCCGCCGTCCAATCCCCGCCGTCCAATCCCCGCCGGCCAATCTCCGCCGACCAATCCCCGCCGACCAATCCCCGCTGTCCAATCCCCGCTGTCCAATCCCCGCTGACCAATCCCCGCTGTCCAATCCCCGCTGTCCAATCCCCGCTGTCCAATCCCCGCTGTCCAATCCCCGCTGACCAATCCCCGCTGACCAATCCCCGCTGACCAATCCCCGCTGTCCAATCCCCGCTGACCAATCCCCGCTGTCCAATCCCCGCTGTCCAATCCCTGCAAGCCAATCCCCGCTGTCCAATCCCCGCTGTCCAATCCCCGCTGACCAATCCCCGCTGACCAATCCCCGCTGACCAATCCCCGCTGTCCAATCCCCGCTGACCAATCCCCGCTGTCCAATCCCCGCTGTCCAATCCCTGCAAGCCAATCCCCGCTGTCCAATCCCCGCTGTCCAATCCCCGCTGTCCAATCCCCGCTGTCCAATCCCCGCTGACCAATCCCCGCTGTCCAATCCCCGCTGGCCAATCCCCGCGACGACCAACAGCCGCGGCGGGGGACTGCGGACCAATCACGGAGCGCGTTGCTGCGGGGAGGGGCGTGCCGCGGTCTGGCTCCTCCCACCCGGGCCCCAGCTGCTCCTCGTGGAGAGAGAGAGGCGGGAGAGAGAGAGGCGGGTGGCTCCTCTCGTCGTCGTCGTCTTCTTCGTCGTCTCTCGGTGCAGGGCGACTCGCTGTTGCCCGTGGCTGGCGTCGTCTGCGTAGACGGAGCCATGAGCAAGCGCAAGGCGCCGCAGGAGACCCTCAATGAGGGCATTACAGATTTCCTCTTTGGTAAAACCTTTCAGATTTCTTTGTTTCGCGCCGATGTTGATATCGCCTTCCTCCCCCCCCCCCTCCGTTATAAACATCATCATCATCACCGTGACGATAGAAATTATCCTGCGTGAGACGTCGTCACCAGAAGTTACCAGCAGAGTGGCAAACCCACACACGGCTCGCTGGCCAGGCTGTGGACACGCCACCCGAGGCTTGAATTCGCGACAACCGCGGTGTTGCCTTGGCAAATACAACAGTGCTGTTGCTTATCAAACCATACGTGTAATCTGCGTCAAAGGTCGTGTCCGTCATGGTTGTGAAAAAGATATTGGGACGGTTGTGGAACGCGAGACTTACTAACAAGGCAGCTGTGTGAACGGGCCCCAGCGTGGTTCAATGTCTCTGCGCAGTGCACGTGTTGGATATTTGAGTTCTTCGAGTTCAGATGAATGCTCGGGGAGGATCTAGTTGAGGATCAATAATGTACTCGCTGGTTCTTTCGGTAAAGTCACGTAGGTGAAAATAAAAAATGAAATAACAATGAAAATAACTCCTGTAAAAAAAAATTCACCTACGTGACTTTACCGAAAGAGCCAAAGAGTATGGTTCCTTGCAGTCACGAAAACTTGAAATTTAGAATCAATAATGTGACTTATTGTTGTGGCTATTGGAGTGTAGAGTTTCCATAATATAGGTTTTTGGGTCAGATCGCGTTATTTATAAATGTGTCATAATCCTCCACCACCCGACACGGCCAAACAGTAAAAAATTAACCCGTAAAAACAAAGTTTTTCACTCTAAATCCTTTATATGCGTGGCGGTTAGAGCCTCTCGTCCTCTGGCTTGAGATGGCTGCCACCTATGGGTCAGATGATTGTCTGCCAGCATTAAGCAATTGGTAATTAAATATTTTTAACAAATTCCCTAAACAGTGTAAAATTTAGGAAAAAATTTTTCACGAAAATTAATTGTCACGCACAACGAGTCTGCGTCGAAAATGTCAGCTCGATTGGATCACGGGAAGTGGGTTAAAACACGACCGAATAGATGTGCACGGTCGTAAGCAAGCAAGCACGCAAGCGAACTTAATATAAAGGATTTTAAAAAGTCACGTTTTTTCAAAGGACAACATTGATTATATCCTATGGGGTCAATCTATGTCAACTAAAGAAGGGCTTGCAAGTGATATGACGTAAATGTTCTCGTAACATTGTCAGTAAATCGTGAGGTATGAGTCCTAGACCATCATTAGATCCACAATTCTTACTTGGATGCATATGTACGTGTTGTGCCACATGTGAATGAATATGGAGCAGTGAATGTGAGATCATCGCTGCTATTTTCCAAATTTGGAGGCTTATATCGCTGAGAATATGAAAGCAATACGTCCTAAATTTACTGTTTTAACAGATAAATTTCTGTCGATAGAAATGACACCAAAAAGTTTTTCTTGTATTTTATGTGGCGATTTAAACTAAATTTTATGCATTGTGGTTAAAAAACTTCATAATATTTTACTTTAGTTTGTGAATTCTGATTCTGAATAAGAGAAAGCACTGTTATGCATTATCTCTAGCCCTTCCCTATGCCAAGATACAGATTCTTAAAAATGCCTGCATGGAAACACGAGTCATAAGTGTTGCCTAATCCCCCCTCCCTCCCTACTTAATATCATTGGGGGAATGGGTACTGATATCCTTCTGAAAATCCCATATATATCATACAATTTATTGACAGTTTTACAGAAGAATAAAAGACATGTCAAATTATTGCCGCTATCTGGTGATTTGACATTGAATGAGCACGGGATTATCTCCACTGTGTTTACCACCACCCACTCAAAAAATATTTACTGCTTACACTTGCCTTTCTGGCAGTATGTGGTAGCAGCTCCTGCTTTTAGTCCATATAATACACAACATAACGATACAAGTCATACCTGTAATAACAAATTACAGATGCAAATAATAATTTTTTAATTTTGCAGTGCCTGTTGTACGAGTACTGTGTGTATGATATTGTTTTGGTGTGCTCTTTGTTTTTTCACAGAGCTGGCAAACTATGAGAAAAATGTGAATCGTGCCATTCACAAGTACAACGCCTATCGGTATGAAAGCAAATCACATTGGGATCTGTACACATCATGTCTGCACAGCTGGGCACAGGCATATGTATACACGTTCACAGTTAGTTCTCACCTTGCATACACAATCAACGTGAAATGGATGACGCACAATAATTCATTGAAAGCCAAGACATAAACACGTATTGTAGAGAACCAGACGAGATGTGATGGGCACGAGAGATTGAGCTTGTTTTTAATCTGGACTTATTGTGGTTGCCCGTACTTAAATCGGCATGCTCTTCCAGACCATTGGGCTGCCAATGAGATGCTCCATTCCTCTGTCTTCAGCTGAGTTGGTTTAACACACAGCAGCTCCTTTCCAGATGAGCGTAGGTTGCATGTTGGCACTTATAGGTTAAATGACCCATCTTCTTGGTTCTTTCGGTAAAGTCACGTAGAAGGGAAGTAATAAAATAATAAAAATAAAACATAATAAAATAAATTATTTTTTTATGTTTTATTTGTTATTAAATACATTAATTTATTACGTTTTTTATTTTTTATTTTATTACTTCCCTTCTATGTGACTTTACCGAAAGAACCAAGAAGATGAATCCCTGCAGTCACGAAAGCTTTAAATCGAAGGTTAAATGACGTCGCTCAGGTAGGTTGATTGACCGAAGGTTTTCACCTTCAAAGCGAGTACTGCCACCTTCAACTTGACTGTCATGCACTGGCAACCATTGAATGTCATTGAGAAGGTTCAAAGAGCTTGTGTGATGTGGAGCCAAGCAAACAACTCTGGCCAGGGTGTTCTTCATGGCTGAAGACATTTGCTGAGGCCATCATATACACCACACAGCAGCGTGGTATAATAGTCCGGGCATGTGACAACTACACATACACAATAGTATTTCTGACATCCTTGTCGGGCGTGATAGGTGCATGATCGGGTCAGCTCACCAACACGTGGTTCACCTAACAATGGAAAAATATTTTGCCTAGTTCCTTACAAATGTTTAAAAAACCTGAAAACAAACCGCCATGCATATGCATACATTAAACACATTCAACATATGGACCTGCAAAATAACATGTACTGCTGACTAACAAAATTAATATGGGGAAGAGCTGGTTTGGCTCGCCTCATGTTCTGGCTAAATGTTAATGGAGTTGAAACAAATATAATTAAGTACATGCCAAAGAGTTCAGGACCACGAGCAAGAACAGCAGTGGCACGATGCTCCTTGTTCCATATCGGAGTGGCAGCCTCTCTGCTTCAACTTTTCAGAATCCATCCTCATACACTTTCCAATCACAGTTTTTGCATTCTGTTCTTTAGCAAACTTTAAAATCTTATCCTTGGCATGCTCTATATCATACTTGGTCAATTGTCCAAGTCCGTTTTACATTATTAGAGCATGTGTACTTCATCTAACGTTTTCATATGTCTTTGTCGCCATGGTTACCAGTCACCAGTGTAACCATGGTCCCCAATAGATGGTTCTTTTGCTTAGTTGGCCAAGGAGAACAGGGCGGGATGCTCCTCGGAACCTGTGGTCATCACGTGGTGGTGGTGTGGCATGGGTGCACGCTCAGAATTTTTAGTACATTCTGGATGCTTTAACAGTGTATACTTGAATCATCCTCCCAGTAGAGTAACAGTTCTATGAATCGACAGTGGGTTGAATAATTACATGCCTCCTTCGCATGTGGATGGTAAGCAATGGAGTGCTTACCCCTATTAAATTGAGCCTTTTGTTAGGCAAAGAAAGTAATCTACTCTCAAATGAAGTGGGGTAATACAATTTTGCAATTAAGTATTTTTTTGTGGCAATGAAACATTACAAGCAATGCAAATTAAAATGAGGTTTGGATGGTAGTGAGTTGAAAAAGGTACAGAGGGCAATGCATAAGCGAAATAGGGAAGGAGTAAATATCGGATGGTTTCCTGCAAATACATGTACACACTGCATCCATGATTACAGTATTGTGTGTTTACTAAAGCATGATTGAGAGCACCAAAACATTGTCCATCGCAGGGGTTACATTCTTGAAAATTGCTGCAATCAGAAAATCCGCAAACTCAAAGGCAAATGGGAAAGCTAGGGTTTGATGCATGGTCCGTAATACGACACCCCCTCCTTTTCTTCTACGTTACCCTATATTAACTCAAATATGAAACCGGAAGTCTTTAAATGAAAAACATGATCAATATTTTGAATCGTGTTAAATATAACTCATAGACTAAATGTATAGATTGAAAACAATTAAGGTTGTTTACAGTACTGTACATGTATACGTAAAAGTAAACCTGAAAATCAAGATAAAGTTAATGATGCTGCACTCTCCCCTTTCACAAGTCTATTTCATACCTCTGCTTAATCGTTCCGAGACATCTCCTTCCTCTGCTTCTTTTCCTTCTATTCACTACCACTTGGTAGTAGTAATAGGTTTTTACCCTTTTATCTGGCAACACAACTGACACCTTTATACAAGGGATCATGTTTGCATTAACCACAATACTTGCGGTCAAAATGCAAAGAAAAAAGACAACTATGATAATGTGTACACTGTCCTTGAAATTGATTGGTCCACACCCGAGACAGCTTTTCTTAGAGCCCAGTCTCACATGGTGTTGGACCAGATGGGCCATTGGAAAATAATCAATAAGGTCACTGATAAAGTAAGAAGAATTGTGCAGCTCAACCTCACCGCTTCACTGGACGCTGGGAGCACTTGGACTGGGACCCGAATGGGCTGCACGGGAGACCGGATGGCTTGCGCGTATGCTTCTGCGGCAACATCATCGCGAGCAGTACGCTTACGTGATGCATACAGGAATCCCGCGATCAACCATGAAAGGTCGACCAACAGAGAGGCATGATCGGCAAACTGTATCTCAAACCATTTTGCGTCAATAGTCAAATCCATGATTGGGAAAGGTTTTGGTGTGCATTAATTGTAATCACCCCACATGTTCCTATCATCTTAGACATTATTGATCAACCTGAATGGTGGATAACTGATTAAGTGATGGCGATGAATAAAAAGAAAAATAATAATGCTGCGAATTTGATTTTGTTTTTACAGAAAAGCTGCAGCCGTCATCGCAAAGTATCCAAACAAGATAAAAAGTGGTTCTGAGGCCAAGCAACTTGTGAGCATCACTCCCATTCTAACATAAACACATGCCCATATACTCATGAATACACTCGTACACATTGCAAGATGCCAAACAATAGCCACTATTGACTGCTTAGTGGTGGACACATTACTGCAGTACCTGTGCCACTGAGATTACTCTCGGACCACGTAGAGCCGTGAAGGCTTGATGACAGGAGGTCACGGGTCAAGTTTCATGTGTTAGGAGCTGAGTTTAATAATACATAATAATTTAAAAGACTTTATAAATTCCACAGTTAAATGAAGGGACTCCCCCACACCATGTTAATCGTGTTTTTGTTGTTATCATACTTAACTTGCTGCTCAGTGTGGGTCAGTAAAGTGTGGGAGAGAGACAGGCAGGACCTGTTCAGATATCACTCCTTGGTTTGGTGAGACGTTGCCAGATTTCGAACTCAGGTTGCCATGTTACTGACTTGTTGATGCCATGTATGTGAGAATTGGTAGACAAACCTTTTGTAAATCCAGCTCGTGTGGTTGGTTATCCTCTACATTGTCTCTTATTATGTTCCCAATTTGTGAATTGCATACTGCATGCACTTTTCCAAATTGGCAATGCTATGATTATCTGAGGTCCCACAATCCCATTTTGGTTTCCATTAATGTACAGGAGGTCAATTGACCTCTACCTTCTGCTCTACACTGATTTTTTTTTTATGGGGGGATAATGCTTCTTGTTAATTTCTATTCTGGCCCTGCAAGCCTGTGGCTTTATGCTAGCATAGTGTACAATTGACATACCTTGCAGAAATAACGGAGCCTATACCCTACATTTCGCCACAAGTTATTTTATTCTAAAAAGAGTTGTAACCATTTACTTGAGTGTTGGGGAGCTAACATTGTTAATTACTAATGTTTGCGTGCAATTACATCAGCGAGCATAAACGATTGTGACTGAGTGGGTATAAGAGTGTGTACTGGTACAAGTAAATAATATATTCTGTGATAAGTGGATGGATTGTTAGATTGGAAGTACATGGATTTATGGATGAATAAGTGGGAGATCATGAGACACACTATATTTCTGTATCTCGGCAGGAAGGTGTTGGGGTGCAAATCGCAAAGAAGATTGATGAGTTCCTGTCAACGGGGAAGTTACAAAAGCTGGAAAAGGTAACATGAATGGTACAAATGTAAACCCCCATGAGCAGAGCTCTGTCTGACCTGTTTGAATGATTGTTTGAGCACATGCACTCATCTATGCGTTGTCAGTGATATGTGTATGCATGGAGAATCCTTAGTAGTCAAAGAGCTCAAATCACGATGGGGAAAATAGTGAGTTTAGGATTCGTCTCAACCTTTCACTCCTTCAGGCCTGCTAAAACATATCGCAGTGGGGAATTAGCAGTGTCTTCCTGTGGAGCGGCTGGTCCCCCCACAGTAAATTCCTTGAAGCTTTCGTAACTGCAAGGATTCATATTCTTAGGTTTTTTCGGTAAAGTCACGTAGGTAAAACATTAAAATTTATTAAAGTAAAATAAAATAAAAATCACGACGTTTCGGAGACAACACAAGCTTCCGTCTTCAGGTGGAACCGTCACAGCCACGACAGCTGTATCAAGTAGAAGGTCCAGGATTTTGTTGTTGTATGAATCTTTATCCATGATGACCGTGGCATTGCCCTTGTCTGCCGAGAGGATGACTATATCATCCGCGAGTTCAGAGCGTTCGTTTTTGCTGATGTTGCTAGTGACCAAGAACAGAATTGGGCACTGTCCTATTGCTCACTGAACAAAGAGAGACTGTAACTTGAACATGAATATCTCTTTGCAGATTCGTCTTGATGACACATCGTCTTCCATCAACTTCCTGACACGCATCACTGGCATCGGGTGAGGGCTTCTTGTGGTGATGATACGCGTGTCGTTGCAATCTGCTATTGTCACCGTGCTTCATAATGTGCACGTGTGCGAGGTACTGGAGACTCCCTGTATATCGCAGGGGTTACATTTTTTTTGTTTCTTTCGGTAAAGTCACGTAGAAAGAAAATAATAAAAGTAAAACAAAATAATTCTCACGACATTTCGGCCACAACGCAAGCAGCCGTCTTCAGGTGGAGAACAGGTCTGTCTGCCTTCTCGACAGACCTGTTTTCCACCTGAAGACGGCTGCTTGCGTTGTGGCCGAAACGTCGTGAGAATTATTTTATTATGTTTTATTTTTATATTTATTATTTTCCTTCTACGTGACTTTACCGAAAGAACCAAGAAGATGAATCCCTGCAGTCACGAAAGCTTTAAATCGAAATTTAGGGGTTACCTTGTTGGAAAGTGTCGTGAAAGCCAAAACCGCAATATTCAATACTTAAGCCTTGCCTAAATAATGGGGTTAGGTACACACAAACCAAAAATAGACACATCACAGTACTGTACTGTATGCCAAATAAACGAAAACTAAATAATTGAAATAAACACGTAAAAACCTATACAAAAAACATTGTTAGACAATAAATAGTATAAATACTTAATAAATACTGTACTTACTGATGATGATGATCCAAAGTGGGTGTATGTTATTGTCCATGAGTAGGGAGCGGTGGGATAGCAGTTAGCACGCTGCGCTACAAACCCGGCGACCTGAGTTTCAATTCCTGCTCATGCCCAATACCAGTGACGATTATCTGAATCAGTCCTGGGCCTCCCCTAGGTTAACTTAGCCTATCAAATGAGTATCTGGTGTGATGTGTAAATATCGCCATTGTGGAGACAAAAGGCGGCCGGGTGTAGTGCTGACCACTCCTCTTGATGGTTGGAATCAGTCCACTAGACCTTCTATCGAAAGTCCGGAAGTACTGATCCAGTGTAATGTGTGATCGGGGGGGTGCTATAGAGAGGGTGGGGGTTGGAGAGTATAGATGGACTGTTTGGCTTGAAATCATGGTTTGCTTCATGTAGACAATATACATTTACTGCATTGTGAAGATCTCTCATAAAATAAATCGGCACACTATGCCTCCTTTTCATATCTGTCCTTCCACGAAAAATACAAATATGTTTTGCACATCCCATCAACCACACAGCCTGATGGGAGTACATCATTTCAACCCCATTGTTTAATCAGAAGCAAACTCTGGACTTGTTTGGCATTCGGTGTCTATAATTAGCAGTAAAATATTTATTTTTGCCAATGCTGGTGAACAGCCAAAGTGTATAAAGCTTCTCTGTTAGGTTTGGGTTCTAACTTGTTGGCGAAATATGTAACACATAGCAATCATGATTATTGTGCTCATATGCATTGTCCTTGAGTGTGAATTATTCTGTCGCCTTTATGTTTTCACTCAATAAACATTTAGCTTGTTTAATTTGCCTGACCCACAGACCTGCTGTTGCCAAAAAGCTGTATGATGAGGGAATTAGAACACTGGACGGTAAGGAAAACCCCATAACACATTTACATTTCAGCATTGTGATAGATAACTTATAAGAAGAAGTTTCCGACTTGGATCATATTAGTCATTTATATATGTATGTATGTTAAACTTATTTCCCCGTATATAGCCGACCTTGATTTTTGCATAATAACTGCAGATTTGTGCAAGATTATTTGCTGATATTTTTGAAGATACCATTTTCCATTTTTAATGAACCATTTGTTTAGTGCTGTGGTTGCACCTGAGGTATGTGGCTTGGACACACTTTTATTTAGCAGCCAAGATGCAACAAATCACCATTTTTATTACGTGCACAACATTATTGTGCAGAAAAGATGGATTCGTCCACCCTTGTATTTTTTGTGTGTACATAGTTTATATTTCTGTTATTGTTTGTGAGAAACTAGAATGTCTACTTTTCCACTTTTTACAGACTTGAAAAATAACGTCGAGAGACTGAACCACCACCAGCGCATTGGCCTGAAGTGAGTGATTAACAAACTGTGATCTGTGAGCTTGGTATGTGTTAAACACATTCACATGTTGTACAGTGTTATATTTAAAAAGGTACATCAGAGGTGCCAAAGGGGGTCAGAGGGGGGGCTATCATATCCCCTCAGTTGGCAGTCCACATCAACAAGTCGGATATGCAGTGCCTGTTAATAGATTGGTTGTAGGAACCAGTTCGGTTTCATTTTACCAGTAAAAGCGATGTAATGTTTACGTCAACAGCATCATTTGTAGTGTTTGAAAATACATCGTAAAATGAAACAATATGTCGTAGAGATTGAAATGAAACACTTATTGTACATTAATAAATGGGAATTAATTACAAATGAAATGTTTTAGGTAAAGTTTTAAGTCAAAATGGAATGAGCTTTTAATTGATAAAATAATACATTGTCGATAGGCATGTAACGGTTCATCAAGTAATGGACACTCGCAATGCTGCATCAAATTATGTGTGTAGGAATCGATTATTATTTCTATTGCTATAAATTGTTTACAAACTATTTTCAAATGTTACATTTCGGGTAATTGAACGAACGGTAGAGAACAATTGAAAACGTAAGAAACAGTCTAATGAGAGTAAACAACAAACACACAATAGGTTCTTGAATATCATCTTAACTTGATCATATTGTGGTTTGTGTTGAATCATGGCTAAATATGCCTCCTATAAGGACGGGGGGGACATGGCCGATCGGGAATGTGTACTGCTATTTGCGGAGGTTTTTTTCCCCCCAATAATTGGTTTTGATCAGTTTTTTTTTTATAAATTAAGATAGTTATTTCATGAATAATTTTTTTATTGTTTGTATATATGTCCACGTGCACACAACTTGTAGACAGGGCCACACACATTTTGAAACAATACAAAACAATAAAAAGAGTCAACTCTTAAATGTAAATGCAATCTGCGGTTCATGAAATGGTCAGTGGAGATGATTAATTGTTCCATGTATATTGCAGTGTATGGTTGTAAAATGTGAATTGTAAGTTTTCAGTACTCTCGTCCGAGTCTATTTAAATGATCTATAATTTTTATGGTATGGTGTCAGAATTTTAGCATTGTGTTATGTCTTTGAATGCAGATACTTTGAGGATTTTGAAAAGAGGATTCCCAGAACTGAGCTGATGAAAATGCAGGTCAGCTATGTGCCATATACATGTGACTCTCACTTGTTCGACTCGGTGATGCATGTTAGTATGATTGCTAAGCTAATTATGGCCACAATGATTATCATGAAAACAGACTTTTGGTGGGGATTTGTTGTCAGTAATGTGAATATTATAAATGTGATGTTTAGGATCTGGTGTGCAAAGATATACAAGCTTTGGATCCTGATTACATTGCTTCAGTTTGTGGCAGCTTCCGCAGAGGTAACAAGCACACATTATTACACGTGCTATGGTACATGCAACATCTAAATAAAATGGAAGGATGCTAGTTGGCCCTGAACCTTGTTACATTATCTACAGATGCCACTGGACATGATGCTGAAGAGCCGCACACTAACGAGTCAGCAACACATTTCTTCAAAAGAATTGTTCGTTGAAAACCGTACTGTCAATCCTAAGCATAGGATCTATGTGCCCAAGAGCCCATTGGCACCGCAAGGTGCGTCACCACAGGCAATTGGATTCACGATTCCATAAAAAAGTATCTCAACTAGCAAGGGACGTCAGGCATCGTCCACATCCTTTCCCTGTCTGAATAAGGGTTAGAACATTTCATTGAATAATAATAATAGTGAAGGATGACATTCACGTGACCATTTTTAACAAAATGGTCACGTGAATACACAATATTGCTCTCCATTGGCAGTAAGGATAAGAATAACACAATACACAATATTGCTCTGCATTGGCAGTAAGGAGAAGAATAACAACACAAGGCTTGAAGCACACCCCCACACACCTAGAGAGAAAACCCAATTGTGTTCATCAGCAGCCCGGAGTAAGGAGATCATTGTAGCGCTGATTTTCGTGCCTGCCATTATGAGCCTTTGTCCTCGCTGGCAAAGCGAACTCACCATGGGAACAATTTATTGCCGTACCAGGTCCACTGCAGTGCTTGTTAACACCCCAGCCACACGGACTGAAGCTTCGCAAGAAATGTTAACAAAATATGGAGCTCACTATGGAAGTGAATGTGGGTTGTCGGATGTATGTGCCAAGGCGTCTGCACTGTGTTATACAAATATATTTCAATAAATAATACCGATTTGGCAGTTTGAAATCATTGACTATTCTTTATTGACTGGTTGTTGCAGGGGCAGAGTCAAGTGGTGACATGGATGTACTTCTGACTTATGAGAGTTACACATCTGAGAGCAAGAAGCAGGTGGTTTACAAATGAATCATAGCCACGGTTTCTACATTTTGTAAATACTTACCTATTTCCCCTCCAATTTGTACTTCATATTTGCCATTATTTAATTGCTATCTGCGCATTATTTTTTTCGGGATAAATTTTACAATATTCTCACATTGTTCATATAGTTTTGTTGTTGTTGTTTTACTCTCACACGGTTGTGATTTTCTTTTGTACCCTCAGCCATTTCTTTTGCATAGGGTGGTGGACCACTTGAAGTCCACTGGGTTCCTCACGGAGACATTATCCCGCGGTGAAACCAAGTTCATGGTAAGATTCCAAGAACACAGGATGAGATGTTACTATCCTTTGTGCAAGCACTTCCAAGAGTTCATGAACAGTGAGCCTGGTGAAATTTGGGGAGCGCATCGTCAGTAGTGAACCTTTGGTTCCTAGGGTGTTTCGGCCTTTCACACTATACACCCTCCCCAAAGGCGGCCAGCGACAGGGTGATCAATCCTACGCTTGCGTCCCATTCCCAATTAGTCATAGGAGTTGCCTTGTTGTTGATAGCCAACATCCCATGGGACTATGCATGGCAGGGGTGTCCTCCTCCCTGAGTCAAGCATTGTTGACTGCATACCTCCTGGCCCTCTCACTTTTTTGTCATTACATTCGACTTCATCATCATTGTAATAGTCATCACTGTTATCTTCAGAAGTCATTTGTTTGCATATACTCTTTAGAGGCATTGACATGAATCAATTGAAAATGTACGAATGTTATGAACGATATGTACAGTGTTAATGTGAACATGATGGATACTTACCCAATTGATTTTAAGAGCTGCACAACTTTGTGTTGTGAGTTTGTCCTTGTAGCCTTTGGACTTTTTCTCAACCAGACTCACCTGTTTTGTATTGTGCATCCAAATTAGCAGGGAATGGAGGAACTTATTATTTTAGGTTTATCTCATCAAATATGGTGACCCAGCTTTCCATTGTATCTTTCACCAGAGCAAGGAGCATGTCTTGTAAGTCACAGTCCACGTGATAAATTACGGACAACTGTTTGTCTCATGAACTTTATATTATAGTTCTAGATTTGAAGCTTTCGTGACTGCAAGGATTCATACTCTTAGTTCTTTCGGTAAAGTCACGTCGGTAAAAAATGAAATAAAAATTAATAAAAATAAAGCAATAAAAATCACGACGTTTCGGAGGCAACACAAGTCTCCGTCGTCAGGTGGGATCGTCACAGCCAGGGTTTTTTTTATTCCAACAGCCAATAGATCTTCTGGACAATTATTTTTCTGTGTGTTTCATAAGCAGCCGAACTCTGGAACTGGTTTCAACTTTAAAGAATCTCTTGACCAGTCAGGCCTGTTAGAAGAATTCTAATGGGTAGCCGTCTGTTATTTTGCATAATGTGGGGCTCATTTCAGTACTAGACAGTGATATTGAATATAAACTCATTCTGGCTGTCACACAGAGGGTTATGGGAAATAAACATTGTCTACTTGCATTGTACCTTATGATCTTGTATTAAATATATTTATGCTGGCGATTGAAATTAACTCCATTTAAGATAACCAAGTTCCATTTTCTCCATACCTAAGCAATGGAGCAGTGCTCATCTCTTTTGGCTGTTCTGAGCTCACTGAAAATTTGACGTGTTTACATTCCGAAAGTGTGGTGCAGTCTCTATCGGATGATCACTGGTGAGTTTGCACAGTTTAAGTGATCATTATGTCGAGGGATGATGAGATGAACTGACTACCAACTTTGGTTTGAACTCGCATGTGTGCATCAGCAAGAGTAATTTTTTATCCGGTCATTGATGATAACTCGATACTAACGTTTTTCTGTTTTTACGTCTCTTCGATGATGGCTATAAATACTCACAGGGCGTGGGAAGGCTTCCCGTGGTTGATGGTGATGATGATGATGAGGCAAACCGACCTCACCGCCGTATTGACATCCGGTGAGATGGAAATTATGAATGTTTTCTGTTTATTTTGTGGTATTATTCAGCAAACATGAGAGTAGACAATTTACTCTATCTGTATGTTTACTTAATGTTTCACATTTGTGCATTATTTGTGTGTGCTTTGCTGTGTGTGGTGTCCCACTGTGTTTCCATTTACCAGACTCATTCCAAAGGACCAGTACTTCTGCGGAGTGCTTTATTTTACAGGCAGTGATATTTTCAACAAGAACATGCGAACTCGGGCACTGGAAATGGGGTTCACCCTCAACGAGTACTCCATCCGGCCAATCGGCATCACCGGTATATTTGTAATGTGTCCCCGATGAATCGCCCAACTTTTAAACATTAACCTGTGTTAGCACTGCCCCCGATGGCTATAGCAGCAGCTTAACACCCAATTCTAGAATTTTACACTAAAACTGACATGCCTCAGATAAATGTACAGATGAGTAGAATTATCTGCTGGTCAAATAATTCTAAAACAAGTACTGTGCCTTGATGATCATGTTGAAGTAATTTATCTGTGGATTTTAATGCTCGTTTCTCTGCGTGTATCTGTGCGTGCACATGCATCTATCCTGCGCGTGTGCATCCACGATTACAGGAGTGATCGGTGAAGCGTTGCCGGTACACAGTGAACAGGACATCTTCTCTTATATCGGATGGTCATATCGCGAGCCTAAAGACCGGAGTGAATGAGTCTCACAACAGATCTGAAGCCTACTCTGTCTTACTGTGTAAAACTAATCTCAAGTTGGATAATTGGTGTGAGAGGGACATTTTTGTATTATCACATTTTTGTTTTAGGAATCACATTACCCCCAACATTAAAATTAGCATAATTTTACAAGACAGGGCTTTATAAGCATGTATTTACACGCAGGTTCACAGAATTAGGAACAATGGCACAATCTAAATTATGTAGCCATCTTGGTTGCTGCCTTATAACTGAAAATAGAAATGCAAACGTTTTGTGCAGTATTTTAGCACAAACCAAATCTGATATCCCAAGATTGTTTTACATTTCTGTTAAATCTACCTCTTGTATACAAAAAATCAGCCTCCATTGCCCTGTATATTGCGATGTGTGCAGAACTTTCCCCTGAACTAAATTCTAAATACAGGCGTGTTAAAATTTCTTGTTAAGTGAAAATTCGTAAAAACGATTGTTTTCCCGTTGACTTTTAACGTTTTTATGAAATGACTTTCTCCCTTCTCATACAAATCTACTTCCATCTCTCCCCTCCAGTAGTTTCCTCTTTATTTCTGCTCTGAATAAAGATCAGAAATCAAGAGTAATCCGTGTGTGGTTTATCCAATTTGTGGATTAACAGCACACCTGAGATTTTACATAAATTAATAACCGATGGATTTTCCCATAATCTAAAAACAGTTAGACATTATTATTCTTGGAAAAGTTTATTACTAGTAACGTGCTTAAACCGAACAGATATGTGCTCTTGTGAATCCGAAATCGCCTCTACAGTACAGTAGTTGCATATATTTACAACAGTGGCCAGAGTTTGATTTTGGCGTGGCTCTGCTATCCACTTAGTGGGCAGTCTTCTGCGCGGGAGCAGGAAAGTTTTATCACTGAGCATGCGCATCAATCAGTCAATTTTCTACTATAAATTTTTGTTTTGTTTTTTAAAAAACTCAATGTTCATAACTTAAACATAAATTATACCTATTTTAGTTTTTGGCATAGAGGTCGACGGAAAATGGATATTTTTGGATTATCCACGATTTTGAATTATCCGTGGCCTCCTTCCCCGTCAGCGCGGGTAATCGAGCTCTGCTGTATATTAAAAAGTTTTCCATTTCAAATTATGTCCATGCTCTTGTCTCAGATTTAGTGTATTGAGGTTCGGTTATATCTTGGTGCTTTTTATGTCAAAATGTTAATGTGTAACCTCGTATATTGAGTATCAAGGATGCGAGTACTGGTGCTCGTGTATAAATGCCATTAAGGTTACATCGGTACCCATCATACCAAATGGTTTTCATTGTGCTAATAAGGGATGCAATTATGGTCAAAACAGCTACATCATTTGGGCACAGAGGCTCATGAATCCAAGTCAAGGTGTAATTCCAGTTATTCCTTCAGCAGCCTTAGAATAGAGCTGAGTATGAATTCCTAAAATTTATATAGGTAGCCTAAAGGGAGAGTGAATGAGTGTTTTAAACTGGGGTGCATGGATGTAAAATGTTACCTAGTAAAGTATTACTGTTTTAACCCATGTGAAATATTTCAGTTATTGAGTAAACAACCAATATTTGTTTAAGGACATTCTTTATTGTGCATGTAAAAATAAAAAAGGCAAAAACAACAAAATTGCATATGCATTTTTAAAGTTTAGTAAATCATGCAAAGTGGTTCATTAAAAAGAAATCAACCTCTAGGCAGCATGTTGTCCACACTCATACCTGACATTCTACAGTCGTAAAACAGACTGACGTGCATGCATATATATATGCCACTTTCAGTTCAAGATGACACGAGCAACTACACTTGGGCTTGCATCGAACATTATTACATTTCCATCAGCTTAACCAGAAAATCCTCATTGAGCCTCGTTACTTTTTTATTACACGCTTTTTATTAACTCTGTTGTTGTATCCTCAAATCTTGTAACTCAATTTTAACCCACTTCCCAATGTGGTATCGACTGCAAACTTGGTATAGTTATGTCATACTGATGACAATACTATATTCTATCATGAAAAAATAAAAATTATATACTTTAAATATTCTTTTCTATATGTTGTGTTTCGGCTTGGGTCTAATTGTCCACGCTCAACTGACGTTGGCTGTAAATCACCACGGCCCCTTACGTTGTGGCAAGCTTCGGGGCCACTTCCTGGAGTCGTGGAATTCTGCCATTACGAGTCCGGTACATTTCATGAAAGCGTGTTTAAAAAAGTATTTTTAAATATTACTTATTTTGAAAGAACCTGCTTCAAATTTTTGTTCAATTCCCTACAATTTAAATTTTATTTAAATATCTAATTCATATATTTATACCTGCTAGAATAACAATAAACTATATTGGAAGGTTATATTATTTGGGTCTTTCGGTAAAGTTACGTTGATAGGTTCAAGGAAAATAAAAGTATTTGAACCCATCTACGTGACTTTACCGAAAGACCCAAAGAATATGAATTCCTGCAGTCACGAAAGCTTTAAGTCAAGAATTATATTGGAAGGCTTTTTAAGTCAAATGAGTGAAAGTCTTTAGCATGTGTGAATAATAAGCACATGGTCGTGTACAAAAAAGCTTCTTTCCAAGGCTTGCCTTCATTAGAAATGAAGCATTTGGGGATTTGCTTATAACTGAGGGCTCCACCATACATACCTTATGCTTCTGATTATAGCGTTGCACAAATGTGCGATTCTGCATTCAGTGTGTATAGCCTTTTAAAATGTAACAGTCCATCCACCAATATCTTTTAATTACAATTCAAATATTTTCAAATAGTGATAAATATGAAAACAACGCGATATGGATCATAAATATGTGGAACAAGCTTAATGTCCCCTTGGTCTGTTAAGTTTAATTTCACCGATTAATGATTGCACCCGCCAGCAATTCCTGAATTTAGTTTCGGATATACTTGTGCGAGCAAACGAATGTATTGGTTTCTTGAGCCGAGATGAATTCAAAGAAATAATTTGCCTTCAATTGTGTGATCCCATTGTCACGTACACCCCCCAGAAGATAATAAATTAATATATGGTCACGGCAACTTGAACCATCACACACACACCTACAGTATACGAGCTGAAGTCGACACACAGTAGGCGAGCCTCATCTATTCTCACGTGTGCCGGAAGACCGCTGTGAAAAGTAGGAAGGTGTGTCTCTTGTTAATCATGTAATCGATGGTCCATTGAGCAAATAAGTTAAATGCATTCGAATGCACAAACATTTGGATATGCAACACTAATGCCACTCGTGTAATGTACAAGTCCAAGGGCTTGGTGGTTAGATGTGTTTCATATCTTTGTATTTCGACTGTGAAAACTGTCAATAGTTTGTGTGAAAATAGATTAGGTTTGCCTATATTTTCTAATGACTGAAATATTAAAACCTGATGAATGAATCGTGTCATTATCCATCACAAAACTGAACATGTATACAGGCAAAGTAAAAAAAATGCACACTTACTAACCCTACTTAATATATTTACATGATATTTAACACTTGCGTTTGAATCTAAAAACACCACTGGTAAAGTAAAGCTCTACAGGTATCCGTTGATTGACGAAATGTATGCATTCTTTAAAAAAAAAAACACGCATAAAACGAAATTTCGTAAATCGGAATGGCTTTTTCCATTAATACAAAAAATTTGGGATGTGTTTTGGACATATATACCTACAGTATATCACTTTTAACAATACAAAAAAATTGACAAATATTAAAACGATTGAATAATTTAAAACAAACAACCATTTAAAGGAACTCGCCGAAAGATATGCGTGTTGGAATGACGGGAAAGGGGTCGTGTCGAAGCGTCACTTGGCGCTGGAGGGATCCCGTAACTGCAGAGGATGGATGACGCAGCATCACGGGGTGCTGCTTGCTTGATTAGGGGCCGTCCATAAATGACGTCACGCGATTTTGGACGATTTTTGACCCCCCCCCCTTCGTCACACCGCGTCACAAAAAGTCAGACCCCCCCCCCCCTCAAATATGACGTCACAAAGCTCTGCCCCCCCCCCCCCCCCCAAATAAAACATGCTTCAAATCGCTTTCAACTATTGTCATTGTAGTGCGTGTTTAATGTGCCGCTGCACTGATGTTGTAGGAGAAAACATTTATTAAAAAGTCTATTTAATTAAGTAGAACGTGTTGTCTATATTTATTTAAAGTTGCGCATTTTGATGTGACGTCACAATTCTCACCCCCTCCCCGCTAGGTGCGTGACGTCATTTATGGACGGCCCCTTATCTCATTACGCGTACCATGTAAAATTTCGTTTCCACGGAATTTCGATTTGTTAAATCGAAAAGTAATCCACAATTTGCCAATTGCGTCAACGCGAAACATCGTAAACTGAACGTCCTTAAATGGAGAGATAACTCCCCGTATTGCTATTACTAAACTGTAATAGACGACAGATATATGTTCACCTAAGTGGTGTCTGTACAACTCTTACAAGGGACTTGTTCCAAAGGTTCTTTTGGCGATGTAAATATATACTGGACAGTAGTTAGAACTGAAGGAGTGAAGGGCATGTGTGATTGGCCATTGGGAAAATATTTGTGAGAACAACTACCTTTGTAAGCACTCACAACCTCGGTACTGTTAAGCCTCCGTGTGTGGCCTGAAAGTTCTCAGTCGTTTAATTCAATGGTCACCAATTTGCTCTGAACACATCATTCAGTGGCCACCGCTCGGGGGACTTGACTGCTTGCATTGATTCAATGCAGCACATGTATACGACACGTTCAGGGCTCCCCTCCCCTCCTTGTCAGCTCAGCGAAATCACGGTGAGCCGAGTAAGTGGCGATCCCTGCTCTTTAAATCGAGCACGTGGCGTGAACACGCTGGGACGACGACGCCGAGAGGAGAGCGCCGTCTCAGGTCGGCGGTCGCGTTTTCCCACCGATATTATTAAGGCGTACAGGTAAGATGAACACCTATGCAAAGATGTCATGCATTTGCCGAGTTCAATTGAGTGCTGGGCGCTGAAATAGTGTTCTCACGTCTGTGTTAGAATTGTGTCAGTGACCGCTTATGGAAACTAAATTGAACATTAAGTACTAACATCGACCAATAGGTATTACCTAGTGCGTTATGTATCCTGTCAACCTGCATTCTCAGAGATACCTAGGAACATCAGTCGATCTAGTGGCCAGAGGTCAGTGGATTCAGTGGTAAAGACAAAGATCCTCAATATAACCTTAAACGTACTTATTGGACAAATGTTGTTATGGGCATCTTATTTAGATCGCTACGACACACGAGGGGGTGGCCAGCACCACGCCCTGCCGTCTTGGACTCCCCGACGCTATTGTTTTACCCACATCAACCAGGTACTCATTTGAGGCTGAGTCAATCTAGGGATAGGCCCGGGGACCATTTCAGATATTCATCGCCGATTTTGGCCGTGAAGTGGGAAGCAAATTCAAGTTGCCGGTTCGTAGTGCAAGTGACCTAACCCACGTCATTCGCGCTCCCCGCAGGCACGCTGTTATACCGCCTGGCACACGTGCAGCAGCCGTGTCGGATGGCTACCACCGGCCCCTCCGTCGACAGCGTGTCCGGTGGCCACGTGCGCCTTGTCGTGACCGCCAACCGTGGCTGCCGCTCCGCGACTTCTCCCGCCGCGGCGCGCGTCTTTCTCGGGGGCCCCCCCGGCTGGAGGCAGGGCCCTCGTGGGCCGGCAGGAGAGGCCCGGACCGCAGTCGCAGCGCTCGAAGAGCTCCAGGCCCCGCGAGCCTTTGGGTCTGGCGCGTCGCGAGCACGCCTCTCCGAGCGCGCGCACGCGCTTGCAGACGCGCGACCACAGGTGACGGGCGCAGCAGAGACCCGCGGCGCACTCGGACGAGCGGAGGCACGCGGAGCCCTCTTCAGCTGCGCGGTGCGAGAAGGGATGGCGGGCCGGGAGGGGGGAGGTTAATTTTAAGTTCTTTTATTAGGTAATAACGTTTTGTGTTGCCTCCGAAACGTCGTGATTTTTTATTTAAATTTTTTTATTTTACTTAAATTAATTTTAATTTGTTACCTACGTGACTTTACCGAAAAAACCTAAGAATATGAATCCTTGCAGTCACGAAAGCTTCAAATCTAGAATTAGCCATATTTGTTTGTTGTAGCACAGAATTAGACTGATGACTTTGATCTAAATTGTCTTGTGGTTGTTATTGTTGGACTTGCATCCCACTGGGATTTTTGCACACAGCGTTGACATACGGTGCTTTTTCTGGAAGACTTTGCTGTTTTTTCCTGGATTTTTCTGTTGCGCGTCGTCGCTTTAAGATGTTTCTTGTTCATGTTTTTGTTTGTTGCTGTTGCACCCGATTCAAGAGCTGCATGGCTCACAGGGCTATACCTCGTGACTGCAGGATTTAAAGCTTTCGGTAAAGTCACGTAGAAGGGAAATAATAAAATAATAAAAATACAACATGATAAAATAATTCTCACGACGTTTCGGCCACAACGCAAGCAGCGAAGAACAGGTCTGTCGGGAAGACAGCGTCTGAATGAATTTCCGACAGACCTGTTCTTCACCTGAGGACGAATAGGATGGAGTAGGTCTGGCAAAAATCAGCTGAACTAGATACACCTTACAAAACAAATTACACCGATATGTTCATTGTCTTTTGATTGTAACATATGACATTGTTTAAAGGCAGTACAGAGTGTGCAAGTGAATTTGTCATTTTACTGTGTGGTATGATGATGGTGCGGACTTATATCGGAGGTATTCTAACATGATGGAGTGTGATTAGTACCCTTGTGTATGTTCACTGTGGCAGACGGTGGCAGTTGTGATGGTTCCAAACTTTTCACTTCCTCTTCCTCTGATGATTCCGTTGTCATGACAATACAGGTCCCTTCAAAAAAAACATAAAAACAACAATTGTTATGGACACGTGTGACGAAAAGTGGAAAATCCTAAATATATATTGGAGTTATTTCAGTAAAATATACGCTATAATAACCATAATAGGTGCTAAGGATATATAGCTAATAGCCTAACTAGTTTTTTGGAGTTGACAATGTAATGCTTTCTCTGTACCTCCCCATCGATGTATAACCTACATCTGTACGGTTATGTTATCTCACGTTGAATACAATCACGCGATATGCGCTGTTCATATTCGTGCATTGTTATAGCGTTGCAGTCTTTGTGTCTTGCCGTCTTCTATACAGTACAATACTTAATGATTGCAAATATGACAATTAAACGCGTTAAACGTATCGTGTTGTTCTAAATGTAATTTCACGACTTTGCAATCGGGATGATCGTTATTCTAATTGTAATAGCCGTGATGCCTGCTATCAACCTTTCATTACGCAGACTGTTGTTTTGTAGCAATGCGCATGCTTTCATTTATTGTATGGACAAGGTTTGACATGGGCAAGCCATCATCTCTACAGGGTCATGAAAAATAGGTAAAAAAACAAGCTTTTAAATTCACACACTTTTATTTTCACTCAAAAGTACAAAATAAATTAATGAAAGTGGGTGGCTTGCATAAAGAAAATTAAACATATCTAAAGGACGCCACCCACTTTTATTCAGTACATCAAATTTAATTAATTCTGGGTATCAAAAATAATTGATTTTACACTTCAGAGTGCAAATAAAAGTGTGTGCGTTGAAAAGCCTGGTTTTTTTAAAATCCTTTATATTAAGTTCACTTGCTTGCTTGCTTGCACGCTTACGACCGTGCAAATCTTTCGGTCGTTTTTTAACCCATTTCCCGTGATCCAATCGAGCTGACATTTTGCACACAGACTCGTTGTGCGTGACAATTTATTTTCGTGAAAAAAAAATTCCAAAAATTTTCACTTTTTAGGTAAATTTTTTTAAATATTTAATTACCAATTGCTTAATGGTGGCAGGCAATCATCTGACCCATAGGTGGCAGCCATCTCAAGCCAGAGGACGAGAGGACTCTAGCCGCCCGTTTCAAAGACCAATGTGGGCTGGGTTGTGGCCCATTGAACACGCATATAAAGGATTTATAGTGGAAAAACTTTGTTTTTACGGGTTTACTTGTTTATTTACCGAGTCTTTTTTTTATTGGTGTCTCTGCGAGCATCCCTTTGGGTGCAATTACCTTGCTGGCAGTGGCTGCCCAAGCAGCACATTTGGTGGCGGTGGCAGCGCTTGCCAACTCGACGACAAGCCACGCAGACGTGGCTTCCCAGGCGCATGCCGCCACAGAACATGTCCCGGGAACAGTCGACGTCACGCGCACATTCCACTCCCTGCAGGCATAAATAAGAAGCATTCGTACATCACCATTGTGCTTTGACCCATTTGAGGTACCGAACCTCATTGATTTTGAAAAACATTTTGATTTAATGATATGATAATTTATTTAAAAAAATACACTTCTATGGCTGTGAACTAATATAATTTTTTTTAAAATCAATGAACATGACAGTATAAATTTCCTACTGAAGTGGTATTTCATCAAGGGCTTCTAGCCGTCATTCTATCCTTGATGTTGCAGATAATCACCTCGGTTTCACCATTACTTAAAGAGCCATCTCAGCGTTCCCCCATGCCTCTGCACAGGTTGACCCGGTCAAAGAGGGTCGGGCGCGGTGGGAGGTATGGCCATGCATGTAGCACTGTTCATGACGAGTTCTGCCATATTCACGCTGCCACCATGTGGCCGGATTACACCTCAGAAATATGGCTGACTGGGCCTCCTGCAAAGCAGGCCTTTGCGGCAGGTAAGGGGATCTGTCCCTGGTTAATTTGTGCCATCCCATTACTGACAGACTGATCCCAGAACAGTCTTACACAGCCTACACATACACAAGCCACATTTAGCCCATATGGTCATACCAACTGTTGGGGTAAGTGCTGTTAGTGAACACATATTAAGGTGGCATGGCACATTAAGTGGTGGTGTGTCGAATGCTGATGTTTACAAACCACACCAAGTACCTAATTAGGACTAGTTAACCTCATCCAGGAATAAAAATGGATCACTGCATTTATTATGATGTGCACGAAGAACCACTCGCCATCAAATACAAATGCACACACATGATGCATATTCATACAGGTGCATGGACAGAGGCATATATGGCAGGCGTGTTACAATGCATCCATGGAGATTATAATCATTGTTGCCTTTCAGTCGAGACAATGGTCCCTATACCATAAAGGTATGCCTTTTCGATATATCAGGCACCCAGAGGCACTTTAATATTTTGCATACACATTGGTATAATACAACTGTTAAAACCCAGTCTGCCCATAACAACCAAATAATGTAAGGTGCATATCAAATTGATACTATAGTTATATCAGTATCAAGATATTGAATGATACAAAGCCTTTACCCTTTCTGGCACAAGTATAGGTGTTGAGATGTAAAAAACATCATCTAGACACCTATTACAAGGCATTAAGTCTGCATTAATCACACGTAAAAAAATGCAAACTAAAACATTTGTGACATGTGGCTTGTGTAGTTTTAATAGAATATTTCAAATAAATCAACTACCACAAAATGGGAGGATTGCCATGTGAGAGCATTACATACTTGTGGTGTGCAGAGAGCAATCAGTGTGAGCACCGATCCATGTTCTATTTTTATTTAAATACATGCATGAACCATAATGGGTGTTCTTTAATATTTGAAATATCGGTGTTTTAGCTATTTAATCTATGGCGGGCGGGGGGGGGGAAACCCTTTCACCACGTGTTATTTGATATCAAATACACTCATTCTCAATTGAGGAATAGTCTGAGCAAACTACTGCACGTACATGATGAAATATATTTGTGATGTTTGAACAAAATATATATCCTCAGGCTTCAACATGGTATATAGGAGCTTGATAATAATGAAAGCATCTATAAGCCAATTTAGCTCAGACTTTTTGACTGTTGTAAACTGAATCTGTGTTGCCCGAAGGCTTTCCACTTGTGACACACAAAGGCCACCGTACTTCTTTCATTATCTCAGCAGGAAACTGTTGTTGCCCAATATAAATATTTAATGCCTCAGATTACATATCATGTGTTCGTTTGTAGAGATTAGTCTAATAAATTAGCTTGTATTGAAAATGTTGCCTTTGTTATGGTTCTTTCAAGCTTTCAGAATAGTAATTTGTAAAATACCAATGATGAACTCATACTGTTTAAATGTATAACATTACCACCAAAATTCTGTATAGATTTCCAGATATTTCGCATTTACGTTCACTTTACTAGAAATGTTAATTCCCAGCATGGAACATATTTTTTCAAAAAGGCTACTATGTGATTGGTAAAAAATATATAACATATTTCTGTATAGTATAAATCCATGAACGCAGATGTTATGTACAGCAGTATCTCTCTACGGTATATTAAGATTGTGTTGCACAGCATTCCTGGGGCGGGGTAGGGGATATGTGATGGTGGGGGGAGCTCGAGATGCATGACACATCTCAAAGAGAAAGGTCAGGCCCTGCAGGCCACGGTGACTCCCTCTATAGCCGTGGGGAATAGGTGGTGTCTGTTGCAAAGGGACACCAGTTTTCACACAGATATTGGGTCACTTGCGCGTGTGTGAGGGTGCATGTTTATGTTTACGTGATACGCACACATAGTTCAGATGGAGAGACTAGCGAGAGATGGTAAACATAGCACAAAATGTCCAACAAAACATGACAGTCCCATACAGAATGATGAGCGTGTGATTCACATCTTTTGGCAGATCTATTAAAACTTGCAATGAGTTAAAATGTATTTGCACAGTAATCACTGACTCCACCTAAAAAAAATGTTAATTCAATTTGGATTTTTACTTATTGAGCTAAATTATAGTTACGATAATTTTAAATATTGGTTTTACTGTCATACAATGAACAATACCGTGTCGCAGGGCAAGTGGGGAAATTATGCTCCATAGTGGATAGATAAGTGGTCATGAAGGGATTTCAGAAGTCGTTCTGCAATTTCCGCTTGTGCGGACTGATTTATGAGCGTTCCGAATGGGTACTTCGCTTCATGACATGATGCTAATAGAATTTCGATATCTGAGAAAAAAATAAAATAAACATAAACACGTGGAACCCACCATTAGAACCTCCTTTGCCAGTAGCAAAATATGATTATTGTTTTTTTACCCTTTCATCTGTCAGATTTAGAGATGTCGCAGACCTGCCAGAGGTTGTCTAAACTGGTGGGAACCAATCAGGGGCTGTGGTCTGGATGACTTCAAATAATGTCAAAAATATTTTCAGGAAAGCCTCATCGAGACTCACGGGATGTTTGGCTATTTTCCTTTTAAGGCATGTTTGGTGTCATTCATCGTCATTTATAGTTCTGCTGAATGAAGGCCACCTCATGCCTTTACAGTTAGGGGGACTGTTTGGTGAAGCGAGACAGAAGACCAGCTCAGATATCACTTGTTACTTATATCAGCTGTGATGGGAATAACAGTGAGGTTTTGCTGGGTCCATGGTACTTACCACTGTGTCACCACGGTATGCATCACAACGAGTGTATACTTTCTTTTCTTAAAATAATCCAATTGTCAATTAATATTTAATGTACTCAAGTACGGTACTTGAGTTTAGAATTGCGTAGCTCAGTAGAGATACACTGTAGCCCAGGGAGATTAATCACTAGGGGGCCTCGCTTGACAGAAGACGAGTTAAAGACAATTACCGTGGTAATCTTTTTACAGTATAAACACGTATTTTATAATGCGAATTGCACTTAAATTGTTGAGTGTGAACACATTAAAAGTTGTTTTTAAATGTAAAAAATGTACGATAAAATCTGAACTCGGGATTCAAAGCCACATTGATGCTGTGTTAAATCCACGTCATGTTTCATCCCCTCGGCCACATCGCCTCCACCCATAACGCCGTGACTTGTTTCCTCTACATAACCCAACTAACCAGTGCACCGTGTCATCTCAGCCACATCCCTGTCATGCTAATGAATTCACGCACGTTAAATTCAATCCACTCACACCACTCGAGTCCATAGATTCACACTCGGGCGATGCCCTCTCCCCGTTCACTGCCCCCACCAAGACTTTGAACCAGCCGCCACTGCTAGCTTCGTTTCCAACAAATCGACGGCCCCTGTTAGCGGTGAATCGACTGATATCCGAGGGTTCCAATCTATCACTCACACTGCCTTTTTAGATTGCGGAGTTACATTTTAATCGTAAAAAAATACTGAAATAGTAAAAATACTCAAGTTAACAAACAGATATGTTACAATATTTTGAATGTTTTTTTAAGGTCAAAATTTTATCCATGCATGGTTGATCCAATCTTATGATCAGATTTCGATTTTTGTTTGTTAAAAAAGTCAAATTAGAGCACATTCCGATGGAATGGTTGATGCACAGCTAAATGTTGCCGACAAATAAATAGTTCGACTTACGCGGTTGACAGCGTTGTTTTTACGTTGAATTAAGTGATTAATACAATTGCGCCAGATTGTTATGAATAGGTAAAGTTGCAAAGCCTGCAATTACTCGCCCACGCCACTGCCGCAGAAAGCACCTTGCACTACAGGGAGCTCAAGAGGCACCTCGAGTGTGTATTTGGCCTACCCTTCCACGCTTTACTCCACCACATGCGACCTGCCAGTCGACTGGTGCCGAGTTGCAGTGGATTGGGAAATCCTGCATGCCTTGAATATGCTACAGCCCTCGATAAATCCACTGCTGGATGAATATATTCATGCGTTTTTTTTATTTCTTCACCCACTCTGGTCAGTGGGGATTGGTGAAGGTGAATTGGGGGTGGGAGGAGCGCTAAAACCGGTTTAAATATCACTCGCAACTGATGTTGGCCGACTGGATATCAAAATTAAGGCGCCATATTCAAAATGCAATGCGTAAACTACATTTGTTGTTAGAATAGATAGGTGAAGAGCGGGTACTGGCATGGTCGCCTGGGGCAAAACCAATCTTTGCTGATATCAACGAACGGGGAAACGCCGATTATTTTAAGGGCTCGATATCCGTGACTCGTCACATGCGTGTGCTCACGCAAACATCGGATTCTTCCCGTCACTCGCGGAATGCTCTTCCCGTTATCCTCAATGCTGATGACGACTTTAGAAGATGAGAGGAATCGGCATGATAGTGAGCTGTGGGAGGGCGCTAAACTCATCCGGGTTATCTGCAGACGTCGCTGATCGTACCGAGCTGCGGACAGTGAAGCGCTCACATCTACAAAGTGTTAGCAGATAACAGCTGATGACTATGGATGACTATGGCCGTCTTTGTCACGAATTACATCTGCCACTGCCGCTTTGATAAATGACAGTGACGGTGATAACGGTCACGCACATGGCTCGACGCGGGTCGCCGTGATATCGAGATACAATATCTGTTCTACGATATCCACGATGACGATATCAGTTCTTTTTAAATCCTTTATATTAAGTTCGCTTGCTTGCGCGCTTACGACCGTGCAAATCTTTCGGTCGTTTTTTAACCCACTTCCCGTGATCCAATCGAGCTGACATTTTGCACACAGACTCGTTGTGCGTGACAATTTATTTTCGTGAAATTTTTTTCCGTAACTTTACACTTTTTAGGAATTTTTTTTTATATTTAATTACCAATTTCTTAATGGTGGCAGGCAATCATCTGACCCATAGGTTGCAGCCATCTCAAGCCAGAGGACGAGAGGACTCTAGCCGCCACGCATATAAAGGATTTATAGTGAAAAACTTTGTTTTTACGGGTTAATTTTTTTAATATCGTACCTGACCCAAAAAATGTCTCAATCATGTGTGCATGTGAAGCGTTTGCCGGATAAACGTATGCCATGGTGAGTATATGGAGTCACCTTATTCTTACAGGCGGTATGACTTGTAAAGTTGCAACGATTCGGCTTATGTCGAGGGAACTGCGGTTGAATGACATTTAAGGAATCAGTACAATATTCGTACTTGTAAGTACATCGAGGAACCAATGCAAACAATTCACGACGATGCAAATGTTGAAATGCAATAAAAAAAATTAACCCGTAAAAACAAAGTTTTTCACTATAAATCCTTTATATGCGTGGCGGCTAGAGTCCTCTCGTCCTCTGGCTTGAGATGGCTGCCACCTATGGGTCAGATGATTGCCTGCCACCATTAAGCAATTGGTAATTAAATATAATTTATTTTTTCTAAAAAGTGTAAAATTTAGGAAAAATATTTTCACGAAAATAGATTGTCACGCACAACGAGTCTGTGTGCAAAATGTCAGCTCGATTGGATCACGAGAAGTGGGTTAAAAAAAACAAACGAAAGATTTGCACGGTCGTAAGCGCGCAAGCAAGCAAGCAAGTGAACTTAATATAAAGGATTTAAAAAGTTAAAGGAAACCGACATCGCGATAATCGGCATATCGTGGAGTTGATGGTATCGAGTGGCGAAAAATTAGGTGGCAATGCCAAGCTCACGCAGAAGCGCTCTGCGAACACGAGGCAAGTGAGCCTGTGTCTAGAACTAATCCCCACGTGGCATCGTATCGTGTACCGCACAACAACGAGGAGAAGACGGACGCTGACTTCGCAGAGCGATGGGATGGTGACGACGACACCTGATGATGATGATGGGTGGGTGAAACAATTCACAGCTCCTCATTGCCGGCGACGTTATACATTGTCGAGATTCAGGGCCGCGGTGCCATTCGATGAATCAACTCTCATTTGATGAATCGATCCGTAGTTATACCCATGGAGATGGTGAGGACTGAGGGTTTCATTTTCGTCGTAGCTGCGAGGTACAAAAATAGTATGCACCGACTGCACTATTCTATTTGCGATGACTTCTGAGATGTTATTTTGTGGACGGATGTTTTTTGTGGATAGGAGATATTAAAAAGACTCAATTTAACCGCAAATTCACTTACCTACAATGAGAGGAGTTCTCCTGTAATGTTGCCTGATTCATTACCGGAATACTCTCAATGATTACACCTGTTTCTGCTAGGACTTGTACACTTGCTATGTGGACGAAAACAAATGTATTTGGCTCAGCCCCATCAGTGAATTTCTAAGTCGATTGTGTTGCAAAAAAGCAACTCGTGCCATCCACCCCGATGCCTGTTACGCAGTCTTATCTGAAATCCGTCATATCAGACGCTCACATTGCATAAAAGCCTCGTATGATCTCCGTGTGTGGTGTCAGACAACAGCGTGGAATGCAGGTTGACAGCAGCGAGTGAGCTGTGAATGGATGTGACTGAACGAACGCGTGCACCACCAACATTGCTGCCACTGTGCCACAAAGTCGCGCGCAACGCGAGCAGCACGAGGAGGATGATGAAGAGGATGAAGAGGAGAAGGAGGATGATGAAGAGGATGAGGAGGATGAGGAGGAGGATGATGATGAAGAGGAGGAGGATAAGGAGGATGATGAGGAGGAGGAACGGGTGAGCTCACGTAAGTCTCGTCGGCCGCGTGATTCTTCGCCTGCTGCTGCCCGGGGAAGGTGCCGGGTCGCAGAGAAGCGGCGCCCCCGTCTTGTGTCCCGGGACCCTTGATGGCGTTGGGGTGCGGGGGTCCGCCGGCGAGGGCTCGTGCCCAGAGCGCGCAGAGGCACAGGGCGAGGAACACGGCCATGCCTGCTGCTGATTGCCCAACGCGCGGCGGCGACAAACTTGAATGAATGCGCACTTGCGAATAAGGCTCGAGAGGTGTTTGGAACCAAATGCAAAGTCGAGCGCCGAGGTTGCCGTAGCGCAGCCGTCCGGTGAGTGCGACTCAGGCGGCGGAGGAGCGTTGCGTCTCACGAGGAGCAGCAGCAGCAGGAGCAGGAGGAGGACCCTGGCTGCTGTCGGCACGAAGGGCTCTGCCTCTTATAGGGATCTCGGCTCGGCGCGCGCGCGCTCACACGGGGGCACTCGCACGCACGGGCACATACACGCGCACTCTCACACAAAAAGACAAAGATCCCCCGTATAGCCTGAACAGACTGTAGGGGCAAGTGCTGTTAGCGAGCACCTATGAAGGCCGGAACGATACACGAGGGGGTGGGTGGCCAGCACCACGCCCGACCGCCTTTGTCTCCCTAGTGGCGATGTTTACACACCGCACCAGGTACTCATTTAAGGCTGAGTCGACCTAGGGGAGGCCCAGGACCGGTTCAGATAATCGTCACTGGTGTTAGCCGTGAGCGGGAATCGAACCCGGGTCGCCAGGTTCATAGCGCAGCGCGCTAACCGCTACACTACCGCTCCCCACTCTCACACACACACAGGTACACACACACACAGGTACACACACACACAGGTACACACACACACAGGTGCACACACACAGGTACACACACACACAGGTACACACACACAGGTACATACACACACACACAGGTACACACACACACACAGGTACACACACAGGTACACATACACAGGTACACACACACACAGGTACACACACACACAGGTACACACACACAGACACACACACAGATACACACACACACACACAGGTACACACACACAGGTACACACACACACAGGTACACACACACAGGTACACACACACACAGGTACACACACACACAGATACACACACACAGGTACACACACACACAGGTACACACACACAGGTACACACACACAGGTACACACACACACAGGTACACACACACACGTACACACACAGGTACACACACACACAGGTACACACACACAGGTACACACACACACAGGTACACACACACACACACAGACAAAGATCCCCCGTATAGCCTGGAACAGACTGTCGGGCAAGTGCTGTTAGTGAGCACCTCATGAAGGTCTGCACGGCGCACGAGGAGGTGGGTCACCGGCACCGCGCCTGGCCGCCTTTGTCTCCCCAGTGCCGATATTTTATACACGGCACCGGATACTAATTTGAGGCCGAGTCGACCTAGGGGAGGCCCAGGAGCTATTCAGATAATTGTCACTGGTGTTGGCTGTTAGCGGGTCTCACTCTCACACACTCACTCTCACACACACAAAATACAAAGATCCCCCGTTTACCCTAAACAGACTGTTCGGACAAGTGATGTTATCGAGCATCTATGAAGGCCAGCACCACGCCCGACCACCTTTGTCTCCCCAGTGGCGATGTTTACACACCACGCCAGGTACTCATTTGAGGCTGAATGCGAGTGTATCTGAGCGTGCGCGCGTGTGTGTGGTGATTAGTGCGCTGTGCTGCAAACCCAGCCGCACAACAGTGACGATCATCTGAAAAGTTACTGGACTGCCCCTAGGTCGACTCAACCTCAATATCTGGAAGAAAAAAACATTAAATAATGAAGCAATCGCAAGCAAGCAATGTTTTCATTGATTGCATTTCACAATGTGAAAGTTTATTTCAACCGCTGACAAGGTCGGTTGCAGCTTCAGTGTGCATCTACGAAGATGGAATTCTGATATTCTTAGGTTTTTCGGTAAAGTCACGTAGGTAAAACATTAAAATTAATAAAAGTAAAATAAAATAAAAATCACGACGTTTCGGAGGCAACACAAGCTTCCGTCTTCCGTTGCCTCCGAAACGTCGTGATTTTTATTTTATTTTACTTTTATTAATTTTAATGTTTTACCTACGTGACTTTACCGAAAAACCTAAGAATATGAATCCTTGCAGTCACGAAAGCTTCAAATCTAGAATTAATGGAATTCTGATTTGTGAAGGTGGCTCTGGCTACCAGAGCACAGCAGTGAAGCGCAGAAGCTGTCCAAGAAGAATTGAACACGTGACATAGCAGTGCATCGTGTTTGGTTTATTCAGTACGCACAAGCAGTTGAAAATGGACAACATTTAAATACAGGATTTATAATTACGTTTGGTAATTGAACATGTTGAATATATTTTTTGATGTGTCTTCGATTGTGAATTGTCAATTATCAAATACGATTTATCGATTATTTGAATGTGTAACAAACATAATATTTTAAATTCCTTACTAGTATTAAAAATGTCGAAAATTAAGGACATTAAATTGTTTAATATGTTGTCAATATTTGAGGATATATTAAATAAGCTTATTAAATATTTTCGAAGATCAAACACAACAACAACTATCGTGCCGTAACAGAGCTGCTGGCGTAACTTACACAAGTGATCAGCACAGTACGTACATCACATTTCAATGCAATAAGTTATATAGCAGTGGTTAGAATATTTCACGATGAAACCAGCGAGCTGAGTTCAAAGCCCGACCACGGCTACCATCAGTGGCGATTTGATACCTGAATGGGCCTTGCCTCCCCGCTCTCCTTCGCTAACTCGCACAGACCAGCGTGGTGAAGTTGGTAAAAAAAAACTCCTTTGACTAAATAGAGCCACTCTTCCAGCAGTCGGGTTGACATTATTACTGCAAATGAACAATAACGAATACTATTGGTAACATTAAGTTCATTGGCTCCAACGGCCCTGTCGGGCAGTGTTGGTGGGGTGCTAACGTTGACCGCATGCTGTGCCAGACCGCCTTGCGTGGGGTGATAGCGTCCCCTTGTTAATCACAAGCAGCAGCAATAGACACACAAACGATTACATGATTATTGGATAGTTCTCTAAGGATCAGCACGTACAGCCAATGTAGGTAGCGGCATTGATGCAGCACTCGAAGATCTGTTGTGAAACGGTAAACGTAACGTGTTTTAACAAAGCTACGCACGGGCGAGGCATAATGATGAATTGTTTACAACTTTTCAAGTTTTTATCGCATGCTATAGATTTGTCTCGACATGCGTGTTGAAAAACGGGAGATGGCTGACGATGGTTATTTAAATATTTTCAGATATAGTTTGATCATATGCATATTTTATATACCTGACAACCAATACCGCCAATATGTGCGTAAAACTTTAGAGCAGACGCGCAGCCATTCAGGACAACTGATTTCACAACATGATCACTTTGAAACCTAATGCCACTGAGGTGCTTTTTGTGAGCATAAACAGATGGGAAGCACAGGGTTAGAGTGCTTGCAAACTCACTCAGGAGAACGTCCCTGCCGGCATCATCAAAGTAGCTTGCAGAGTGACAATACGCGCTCGGACAAACGCTTCATGGCGAACATGAATAAGTTGGGTGTGACAGGAGGACAATTGCGTGAATGCATGTGTATGTCACGCTTGCATTCTTAGGTGAAAACATTGTGGAAGCTGCGTCACAATGGTTAAAGTTGTAAAGATAGTGATTCAAATTAAGTCTTAAAATGACTTCAGAAGAGGTGTGTAATGTGGGGCAAAGAGAGATATAAAGAGAGATAAGGTCTGATCTTTTTAATTGGCATTGCCATTTAAGCAGCAGGTAAAAGTATGCGAATAAGTTATTCGCTATCTGCAAGTGGAAAATTTCAAAGGTAAGAATCAAGCTTCGCAGAAGTAATACGTAAAAATCCATTACAATTAATAGCAAATACTGCAATATTATATGGAACAAAACATTTATTGGACCAGCCATATTTCAGGATAACCGATGAGGACATGACAAGTTTAAATCAGGTGAAGTTATATGCAAAGTTCATCACCATCTGCAAGGTGTAAAATTGATTTGGGCTGCAAAAAATATGATCCACTGACAAATGCAGACTCATTGCTCCTGCAGAATGAACAGAGAACATCAGATGACATTGAGATAGGAATGTATGGGATAATCATTTTTATTATTCATTGCTTATATAAAAATCAAAGGACACGGTTTTAGATACAATTCAGATTGATACCGCACAGATTTGGTGTCACATGTAGGCTCTAGTGTTACGCACAACAGGTTGCAAGTACACGACATCAAATATTCATGAAGCGTCTGTGGCGGTTAGGCGGCATGCAAGATCTGAAAAACGAGGGCCGTGAGAACAAAGCGTTTAATATGAACACGTCAGCAGAGCCAAGTTAACAGCAGCACGCTAAGCACTTTAAGACTCAGTTAAACATCCCCATGCTTTAACGTTATAATAGCTTATTTCTAAAATGATAAAGTGCAAAGTATCATTCATGTTGATGTCACATTCATGTAATAGCCATGGGCTAATAGCATTAGTATTACAGGCATCATAATGAAGACCGAATTTTAAACTTTTGCAGTTCGGAGATAATATTAAAAGAGAAGAGACACTCCGACAGAGAAGTAATTCTCATCAACACTTGCATCTAGTGTTCCCAGTCACATACATTGAAACATTTAAAGGCATAAACCTACTTCTCACACTCCCATTAGCGTCTCCATGCATTAATAGCATTATAATCATACATATGATTGTATAACAACTACAATTATGGTGGGTTTTTTTACTACTCCACCCACCTAAAAGAAAGTTACATAAATCCACAGGTCTCCATAACCTGTGTGCAAAGAGATGGTAAAAACATACAATTTCTCACCAACACATTTCTGAGTAACTTTATTGACGATTTCCAATCCGTTGAAAGGTGCAACATCCAGGACACCTCTACTGGACAGCAGTCAGTACTGAAAATTCACGCGAACATGTGGATCAAAATATCCAACGTCCACCTCATCCATACAAGCGATGTCATTTACCGAAAAAAAAACCTATTTAGGTAAATAACCTGAAAGGCTTCAGGAAGTTTTGAGAACTCAGAATTCGGTTACACTGGCTGAAAATAATATGCGGACTGCCTGAGAAATTTTAGGCAATTGCCATTCTGACTGAAATCCAAGGAGTTGACATGATTGTATTTCCTGAAACAGAATTGGCAAATTATATTTTGCTTTTGACAACGGAAAACAAAATTCAAGGTCCTAAATAGATCCACCCTGCTTTG